CCTGGCAGGGCAAAAAAATCCTTAGTTAATTAATTTTCATTATAGACAGCTTTATAAAAGTATAAAAGCTCTCATAAAGTATTTTTCTGAGGTCTGTCTTATCAGGTAAATTGCTGTACACAGTGTATTCATTAATTTTCATTTTCATGCAATAAAGGCTCCATGCTTCCATAAAGGACGTACTTTTCCTTTTTTAAGGGTATTTGGGCAGTTTATTCTCTGTTGTATTCTCAAGTAAACAATACATGCAAGGACAGTACAGTATTTTCTGACAAAACACTCATACTTATTTTTTTAACCCCATTCCTGATAACCCGGCATTTTCACAAATTCGGCTACCCTTCGGTCCACATTAGGCCGAGTTTTCGAGGCTCTACTGTATTTGTTAATAACAAAATAAAAATAAGCAAAATAACATATGCTTGTTGAGTACAAATAATAAAAACTACTGAGATAAAAAATACATATTGACAGACTTGATGCAAGCATGAAATATGAGTAAATAAATAGAAACAGTATTGAAGGAGAAAATATTATATAGATGAAAAGAGAATTCGAACAACTAACCTTTCACTCTAGCATTGAATCCTTTTCTTTTTCCTAATATTTTTGGGTTTGTTAACCTTTTTTCAGGTCTTCTAAATCAAACATAAAACTAGTAAAAAGGAAAGGATTCAGTGCTGGAGTGAAAGGTTTGTGCTTGAAATTTGAACTTGATAAAAAGTGATTTTCAGAAAAAAGCAATTGATTATAATAAAATACTGATAGAATTTTTGGAGATTAAGGGTTAATGAAAAGAGTGTTAAATCTTATGATATAAACTATTACGTTTTTCTGGATTTGATTTTAATGCATGTCTCCCATAGTACAAAAGAGTTGTTTCATTGCTCAGAGACCAAGCATAGTAATATAGTAACAACTAATCCAGCTCTTTAATAATCTTTCAAGTACAGGATACTAAACTGTAATGTTACACTAATGAAAAAGAGGGTACACACAACTTGTATATGAGAAATTAAAGTGAAAGAAAAAAAACAACACAAAATTTGAGGAAAAATTTAAACTAGATTTTAACAATTTTGAATTTAAAACTATCGAAAATGTTTCTTAATCGATGACAATTAAAAAACTAATGGAGTGTAAAATTTACAGATACTTATAAATCATTTGTACAAATACAATCAAATGGCAATAAAAGAATTCTTGAGATCAGCTGAATATAAATAAAGGTACTTAAAAGTATAAATCTAAACAATTCATTATTTCAATGACAATTTTAATTTACAGTATATTCTCTTTAATACAGCAATATAATTTTTTCTTGTAGGAATTTTAGATCTGGTTTAAAGTATTACATTATTTTTTTTATAATTAAATAATATGAAACATAAATAAATTATAAATTTTATAAATATTAATCTTATTTGTTATACTTAAGACATGTAAAAAAAAAATTAAAAAATTAATATATCAAAATATTAAAATTACCAAAGTTTATGAAGATCAGAATTACTTTTAATTCTCAGTTCATCTTTATGCCATGATCGACCTATAAAATAATAATAATATTTATTTGAAATAGCAAACTTTGAATTTTGAATGGATTATCTTTGAGAGATGAAGACTTATGCAATAATTTAAATTTTTTCTTTATACACTTACCAGATTTTACTTCTTGTTCTCCCCAGTTTTTCTGGTCATCAAAGAATTCCATTAAATCGTTTAATTTAGTAGTAGTAAATAAAGATTTTGACATTTGTTGTGATATTAATGGTTTTCTCAAGTCACTGTTAAAAAATATATTAATTAAATATTTATCAAAATAAAAATTTCTTAAATAATAGTCAGAACAACTAATTGTTTCAAGACAAAATTTTTTTGAGTTAATAATATATATCTTTAATTAAATAACTCCACAAAACTTTCAAAAACACCAGCACAAAAATATATTTAAAATAAATATGTTAAGACAAATGTTTTTGATTCAATTAGGATCTACTTCAGATCATTAATGTTCGAAAGAATTAGAATACAGGATGTTCAAATTTAAATATTTTAAAATTGTGGCAACTGTAAACCCTTACAACCAGTATACAGTAAAAATCACACCTAGGTGTTAATATTAATGTTAAAACTAAAATAAAAATTAACAAATACATTTTTAAGGTCAAATGCAAATTAATTGATTTCCTATTTTTTAATGTTGCTGAGATTATCAAAAAAAGGATTGCCAGGCATACGAGATATTCGTCTCTTCCTTAAAATTGATGCATTCCCTCTTTAGTTCAGCTTTAAAAATTTTCAACATATTTATTTTAAATATATTTTTGGCTGGTGTTTTTGAAGGTTTTGTGGAGTTATTTAATTGTTTTATAACCAGCTTTGTGACCTGCGAAGCAGGTTAATTAAAAGAGGAGTACCTCAAGCCAGTAGCATTTAATGCTACAGGTCAGAGGGAGTGCTCCACTAAATGTAACTAAATGTAAAAAACTAAATGTAACCAGCTTTGTGAAGATTCAGTAATATATATCTTCTCAAAACACATCTAATAATATATAAATCCTGTGGCAATAAATATCTATAGATTAATTGTTTGCAAATCTCTATATGTTATGACTATAGATATAGGTTTTTCTGAGCTATGACTGAAACTATCAGTCATCTACTGTAGCTTGTATATTTGCATCACAATACTTTTTCAATTTTGCTTTTCCATGCTGGTTTTGATTAATTTTAAGTTAAAATTAGTGTTTTTATCACCAGCACCAATCAAAACATTATACAAAATCAAAACAATTCTATTTGGGTTGTGTACTATGTGCCTCCATGACAGCACCTTCACATTACACAGGCTGCCATTGTACTTGATACAGGAACAAGAACAGGGAGTTAAAGGAAGGCCTGACTCAATGGTATAGCCTTGGGAAGGAAATGGGATAGGTATGGTTAAGAAGAGTATGAGGTGGGGTGGGGATGAGAAGGAAAAGAGGGAGGAAAGGAGGGTCACTGAGCATCTGCTGGGAACCAATTGTGGAATGCAAATGATAAAGAATCCACATATGGTTAATTTACATGTTAGAGGGTTAGACACGACAATTACCATTTGGTGGGGACGATCAAAAGGAGCCAAGAGAAAGGTGGTAAGGTACAGTAAAAGCAGATAGATGTCGATATATAATGCATTCATTTTACAGGGTAATGCTTATTGCAAGGGAAATATGTAGTACAGTGGTTAAACATAATACAGCAGATAATTATAGTACAATGGTTATACGTGTTACAAAGGGTATACAAGATACAATGGCTAGACAAATTACAATATTACAATGGTTAAACAAATTACAATATTACAATGGTTATACAATTTGCAATAGTTGTACATATTACTATGATAATCATATTTTACTGGTTATATAAATTACAATGGTTAAACATGATATGAAGGAAATCGATGATACCATAAACAAACAAGATACAATACACTAGTAGAGGCTGAGTAGCATTAAGATAACACAGCAAAGAGGATGCAGAGTTACAAGTTGCTTATGTTGGTCTGCTGGTGGTTCATAAGTTAAAGGCATGGTATATTTTCCTGTTGTCCATGAAGGTATTTAGATTGCAGGGCCAGTGGTGCTCGTCGTTTTCCACCAGACGATACAGTTTGAACCTGTACACAAACCATCAAAACATTGTTACAAGTTTACTGAACTGACTTAAAACAATACTTCAATAATATGAGTTCCATGATTATCTCTTTAGTGTTGTTGTATACCTAATACAACCTATTCAAAGTAGATCCCAATACTTATAATACAAGCTCCAATATGATCTTTCAATACAGCTCGATCATCTCAAATTGGATTGATAAAATAAGGTAATGCAACACATGGCTGATCTACCAAGAAAGGATGTGTTTGAATCATGTTATTATTGACCATGATCCATGTAGTTGGTGCTCCTCAACCTTGACAACTTATAAAAGCATTGCATATGTTGGAAATGTTGTTCACAGTAACAGACATAAAATTGTCAAAGAAATAGTATCAGAAGTTAAAACATCTGTTAAAGGATGGCACAATGTTCTAATAAATCATTTGAACATACAGCATGTTTGTCAATACACGGTTCTAAGAATTTTATCTTCAGAACAAAAGAAAAAAATTGCAAATGACAGTATTACAACACCTAATTGCAATAGCTGATACAGATAAAAGTTTTTAAAATAATCTAGTAAAAAAAATGAGACATGGTGTTTCTCATACAATCCACAATCGACATATCTTATCCAGATGAAGAAATACCTTGTAGACAGGAGCAAAGGAAAAATTATGTTAACAGCCAGGGTATTATTCACCAGAAATTTATTCTAGAAGACCAGATGATTACCAAGAAAATGTATCTTGATATCTTTTGTTGTCAGAAAGCATCTCTCAGAGATGCAATAAGGAGAAATGAAAAACAAATACATGGATTCTTCTTCATGACAATGTTTCATATTGGTTAAACAGTGCCTAGCAAAGTATAATATGATAACACTGTAACACCCTGCACATTCCCCATATGTCACCAACAGATTTTTATTATTTCCTTGTTTGAAATCCAAGTTGATTTAGGGACTCTGAAGATATTGCTGCCTGACTTTAAGTTAGAGTTTCAAGTTGATGAGTTTAATAATGATTTTCTCAAATTTTTCTGTGGATGATAATTCTCAAGAATCTGTTCACAAAATTGCATAGGGTTTATGATACTTTTGAGTGCATTTTCAAGGAGTCCTCTTGTGTCCAATCACAATGCTGGTAACATACTGTATCAGTAAAAGGATATTGATGTAAGGTTATCAGTGGCGTGCCGTCCATGGAAGCATCACTTTCCTTGTATTTTCTAAAATATAAATACATATTGTGCGATTATTTTCATATTTTCACATACTTTGAATAAATTAAAATTAATATTTTACCACAACTGCATTATGTATCTTATTACAAATTGTGAAAAATCGATAAGATTGCTATTGTATATTCGAATATAAATTTGTATATGCATATTTCCAATGGAAGCGCTATATTGTCAAATACGGGACAGCTTCCACGGTGAAAATATTTGAATAGTGTAAAGCAGCCAGATTACGGGCATTTGCTTTACAGAGCACCAACTTCACACAGTTTAGCTCATGGATGCTACACACCAAAATATCGTATGACACTTCCAATGAGTCTATCCAGGGCCAACACAGCTTCCCTATCATCAAATGTCACTGCACGCCACTGACGGTTATAAAGGCATAGTACAGTATTGTGTTTGCATAAAGCCATAGTGTTTGTTTATGTTAACCATCTGTATTCACATGGAATACAAGAGAAAATGTAGATTGCAGATCTATCAAATGGTAGAGGGTACACAAGAAAATTGACTCATCTTAAAAAGTACCAACTTTGACTTAACAAGACCGTATTATATGGAAAACCAGTAAACCTTATATACAGTGCCTGGGACTTGTAGATAGCTGCTAAGTCAAACTGCACAACTTGAAATGTTTTACCATATATCCTGTATTTTCAATTTGTTTTCGTCATATGTATCTTATGAAATATAGTTTTTATTTAAATAATGGCAAGATTTCAAATGTGAATACTGTTTGATACTGTTGGAACTTTAACAGAGCTGTAGAGCATGCCCATAAAAGCAAAAACATCAAAGTAACCACACCTTTATATTTAACTCTACTCAACTTTATAAATTTTCATAATTTTAGCAAATATTAATTACACTGAATTACAAAGAAATCTACTTTATAAGTTAATAAAAAATGTTCATATAACTGAAACAAATTAATATCATTACCCAATATTCACAAGTCTAATTTTACTTGTGAATTTGTAAAGAGTACACAAAGTTCTAGCATTCATCTTCACAAATTAAATAAACTTTTAAATTATAAATAATACAAACACAATCCAAGATATTTTAAAACTAAGAGACCGTCAACACGTGAGCGATTGTTTAATGACTTTTACGCCATCTAACGAGAAAAATTTTACAGATAAATTTTTTAACCGTATAGATAAATTTTAAATTTTATCTTAATATTTTTTTATTTTTATTGACTGAAAACAATTACTAAAATTATTAATAAATAAAATATTAATAATAAATATTTTCAACGATAATTTTATTTCAGATGGCGTTTCTTACATTTTACATCGTTTGGTCTGCTTGAAATGGAGAAGTGGCAAGAGTGTTCTTTGTGAGTCCGTGTTTTTATTAATAAATGATAATAAACCTAATGTCTTTGCAGCATATTTTAATATAATGAATTTACATACGACATAAGGCTACTTAAAAGCCATTTTTTTATTACTTAACCATTCATTAAATACGCACCACGATAGTAAAATTACACTGTGAAGATCAGTTATTCACCTATTGGACAAATAGTAAACATTTTACTGATAACATCCACTTAAATGTAGTTTTAGATAAGCTTTCAATTTTGATTTAAAACGATACTCGGGGTTTTTTTTTGCTGTTCGATGGTACAAATGCAGCTCTGAATGAGGCAATTGGGACCTTATCAAAGCTGGGGGGTCAAACTTAGACACAATTGCACTGTTGGGACCTTAACAGAGCTGTAGAATATGCCCATAGGAGCAAAAACGACCAAGGAACCATACCTCTGAGGTTGTGACTATGCAGATGCGAGCAAGCGAATTTTCCGAGTGAGCGAGAATGTGGCGAGAAAAGGTGATGACGTTTTAAGCTCTCTGTTTCTTGTTCTTGTCTGTGTGGTTGTAATAAATGAGAACAAGAAACAGAGAGCGTGAAATGTCATTACCTTTTTTCTCCACATATTCTCGCTCACTTGGAAAATTCACTTGCTTACATCTGCATAGTCGCATCTTAAGTATGACCTTTTGCAATGATAGCCTCATAAGATCTTACCGAAATTTGTGGGTGGAGTCCATACTCTTCATTTATAACTGCAATTTTGCAGTCCTAAATGAATAAACTGAAATCTGGATATTTGGAGATGTAGTTTTTAAAAATATGCTTGCAATGAACCAGTTTTCATGTAAATGATTAATCGTACATAACTTCATAAATTCTACAAGCTCTTACCCAGAGTGAAACAAATGAAATAAAGTAGTGTTTTTTCATTGTCCATACTTAGTTAACTTTGAAAAGAGTAGGATTTTTTTGTTGAGAAAGTTCAAGAATAAGTTTAATTGAAACATTTTAGAAAACTCAAATGCTTTAGGCTATGAAAGAAATAATTATTTTCTCATGCCAAATAATTCTTACCAGATAAAATTTACAAGCACTATCTAATGATATTAATAAACTTTAATAGTTTTTAATGCTTTAGACTATGCATTCATCATCAGGAGTCAAGAAGAGAGAGAACAATTTATTCTTTTTTTCTTGTTTAAGATTGAATAATCCAAAATTGTTTTTTTCTAAAAAAAAATTGCAGTTTTAATTGGATTTAAAATTTCAATTTCAGAAATTTGTATTTTACAGATCCATATTAACATTTTCAGCAATTACTTATTTCTTTTGTAGATATTGTAAATACATCTATCCCTTTTTTTATGCAGTCTACTTTTCACAATTTTGAAATAATACAGTTGACAAAAGAAAACAAATCCTCTTTATGCTGTTAATTTTTTATCTGGAAAAAAAGCAGTTTATTTGAAAATTTTTAAATTTAATTTTTTGTTAAAATTGTGTTATTTAAAGTTACTCTTTTTGTTGAAATACTAATTTTAAAATTACATGTTTCTAAATTGACAGTTAGTTTATCTGTTTTAAGCACAGTACAGTAATGTATGTACTGTACTGTACATCAGAGAATACTGTACTGTAAGTTGGTTTTGTTTCCTATGCTATGTTGTGTTTATGATATTTAAGTAGAAATATTGTTAATGATAAATGATGGTAGAATTAAAAAGCTTGTTTCTCGTGTTAATGACTTATTTTAACATACCATTGAAGTTATGGCTCCTTTCAAGCATTTTTGTACAAGACGCATGTTCTGTAATTTTATACATGATTTTTGTTATATCCACCATGCAAAAAGAGGGCTAGGAGTATATGATTGGTTTTATGTCACTCAGACATATTTTTAATATTTTTTTTCTTTGTTAACTTATTTCTCTAACTTATTTTGTTTTATATCTTATTAAAATTTAATAGTGAATTTATTATAATAAATTTAGCAATTATCATTTATTCTGTTTTGAAAATAACTTCTTGAAATAAAAATTATTTTTATACTATTCTGATTATATATAATGTTCTGAATTATTTGTCGTCATTGTAAATGTTACACTTATGATGATGATCTAAGTAAATCAGTTGTTCTATGATTGTAAAATTTTCTCATTTTATATATTTTTAATATCTAAAACTAATTTCTAATAATTGTTTTGGTTGTTTTTCCTCAATTGATCATCAGTTTTACAAGTTATTTTATTATTTTTTGATTTATTGAATCAGCATAATAGAAATTATCTGTAATTTATTCCTGTACTTTTCTTACTTTCATGGATAATTATTAATAATATTTTGTCAACGTGTATCATAAAACAGACTAATCCCTTAAAAAAATCAGATTTTTTTAAAGACTGATGTTAGATTACTTTGATGAACTTCTTTCAACTAATCTATCATCAGTCTTTAAGTTTCAACAAAGTAAATGGATAGAATAAATAAAGTAAAATTTATATTTATTTATTTTTCATTAAAAATATTTTTCTGACTAATGAATATTTGCCAATTATTTATCATTATTTGTTTTTGTATTGATAAATAAATACTTTGCAAAAATTTGTTCATGCAATATTAAATAATTAAAGAATTTAAATTTTACAATAAAATAATGTTTAATGTGCTAACTGTTAATTGTTTTTTCTTTGGTCCACAAATTACTCATCAAAAAAATATTGTTTCTGTAGTAATATATGTTTTTGGTAACTGTAGACCAAGCAATTTCTCTCTCTCTCTCACTTTTGATTCATTTTTATGTATTCATTTCTGAAAACTGGCATAATTATGTTTTTAAATATTCTATAAAGTTACTGTAAAAGTGTTTACATGAGTAGTAAATTAATTTTTTTCTACTGTTGTCATAAACTAAGATTTTTTAATTTTTATATATTGTTTTCTTACAGCAATAGGAACATAATTTGCTTCAAGATATTTATAACAGTAAAACCTCTAAATTTTGAATTTGAAGGTACCAAAAAATGGCTAGTTTGAGTTATGGAGAATTCTAATTGTGGAGTATATAAAAATTAGAAAATTTTCAGACAAAGTACAAAGCAGTAGAATAAAAGATGCAATTCTGCAATGTGTTTAAATCCATGGTATTTATTTGAATCATTATTAGAACAATACATGAGGTTGTAATAATGATTTAAATATTACAAATTTAGGTATATCACAAAATTATCTCTGTTACATTGAATTTATTCAAAAATCAAATTTTGCATAATACATTACATGAATTAGCTACTGGAAAATGTAGGTGATTAGCAAATAGAGCTTTATTACTGTAAAAGATTACACAAGTTCATAAAGTGCTGAAGACAAAATTCAAGATGGCTGCCATAAACAAAGAAATAGGCTCTAAATATTACAAATATTATAAATAAATATCTAAATAGAAATATGAAGTTATAAGAAAATCAGTATCCTGTAATGGAAATTAAAAAACGGAACACTGAAATAAACTTTGGCTACTATGGTGTCTCTTCTTGCCTGCTGTTATAAAAAAACAACTGTTAACATTTCCACCAGGTAGAGAACATGACTAGAGGATTTGATCCCACTTTTCAGTCCCAAAATTTTCGGGATTAAGTTTTCCTAATCCCGAGATTTTCGGGATTGACATCATTTTAAAAAAAGTTGCAAAATAGACTGCATGAAGCGAAACGTTCAGTGCCAGTGCTTTTAACAGAATTGCTTGCCTATCATTTTAATATAAAACACAAAAAATTTTATTCCAAGCAAGCAGCAGAAATTAACCTAGCAGGCTTGCGATGCTTGCTTGTAATAAAACTTTTTGTATTTTCAACTAAAATGATAGGCAAGCAGTTCTCACTGGGTTACTTGGTAATATACTTCATTTTTGTACTTTTGAATTTTCGCGGGCGCCAATCGATTTTCTGGTGCAGTCGAGAGCACTACTCAGTGCATTTTACCTGTCAATGTGTCAGCCATCTTGTTTTGCCAGTGTAGTTAATATAGACCCGACGCCTCTCGCTTAGGGGGATCGACCTTAGGGGAAAAGATTACGACCCTCGCCTTGCCCGCAATCTGTCAGGATGATGCGAGAAAGTCTTTTTACGTTTCGGGATAGTGGTTTGCTGGACGCTGAGAGACTCACACAGAGACTGAATTTACAAAATTAACGCGTTTATTTTTAGAAAGACATGCTTACAATGATCGAAACAATCAGGATTGTAGCCTTTACTCATACAATTCCGATCCGTGTCGATCGGACTGTTTTCTTCCATCCTCCCCGTGTCCTCGAAGCTTATAAGTATTTACTAACGATTCCTCCAACTTCCATCAAACCTAAACGCGTTTTCTCAGCAGCTGCATATATGTGCAACAAATTGAGAAGCAGACTTGGTGATGAGACACTGGATGCGTTGTTATTTCTCAGATCATATTTTCGCAATTCAAATTAGAATGTTCCTATTAGATTAGTTTTCTTTATATTTAAGAAAAATGTGACTGATTAATATTATTTTTAAATACTTTTTGCTAAGAAACTTACTTTACTACCTACTTACTAGGTTGTTATATGAAAGTAGTCTATTTAGTCGATGTTAAGAGAGATTTTTGTTAATTTTCAACGTTTATTTGCATAGTTTGTTACATAAAGGTTTTTTCAATTTATGTGAGTTTAAAGAGATCTCAGTGATGCTTAAAAAAGAATAAATTTAACATGAAACAGTGATTTTAAGTCTGGTTAGTCTGACTCTAAGTCTGATTAGTTAGAGTGATTAAATTAACTAGGTGTATACCGTAAAATACGTTGATTTTTGTCTAAATTTTGATTTTTGATTTCTGTAAGATTTTCTTATTTTTTATTAACCCTCAATACCAAAATAATCCTGGGATCCTGGGATTGAATAAGTATAATCCCGAAATCCCGGGATTAGAAATAAGGACCCGGATCGAATTTCCTAAACATGACTTTTAAGCTGCTTGACAATTCTACAGGAAAACTAGATTTAGCACATTTTTTGCTAAATTGGCAATTCTGATGTCTTTGGCTTACTTATCCAGCTGTATTAAAGTTAATTTACTAAGCAGTGTGCCAAAAGAATTCACAGAACTTAATAAACTTAGATCGCTCAGCACCTGATGAGTTCAACTTGAGGGATAAAACATTGAGATCCATTATATAGAAACACATTATGTTATACAGAGTGTTTGCCAGAACCAATAATAAGGTTCAACTTAAGGAAGGACTTAAGGTTACAGTTTGACTTAAAGATTGGAGGTTTTACTATAATTTGTTTTCGATTTGTCAAAAGTGATAACAACGAAAATATGTAATAACATGAAAAAATAGTTTTAATTACTTTTAGAGATTTTGAGTAAAAAATAGATTTATTTTAATGCTAATGTAAATGATGCTTTTGCATGGTCACTATTTAATTTTTCTGTTTGCCACTGCAGTAAAAGTTGAGTTTGACTGGACTCAAAATATGTCCTTATTTCTATTGTACTCTGATATCATAATGGAAACATGTCACAGCTTTGTAACTTACTAATATAGATTCCATTATAATGGGAATCAGTGAACAACATGAATTACAACAGAATGTGTTTAATATTAAAGATCATTTAATTGTCTCTTTATCCATTGTTTTATTATTTGTGTGGATTACAGTATTTGTTATGTTCAATGTTATTCTAATGCTTAGCAAGATGTTGCAAGCATTCTAATGATGGTCCAACACATACAAATACTAATGAACATTATTACATAATTGTGTTTGAGATTGCATATCCTTGACTTCTTGAGTAATATTAACAGATCATTGTCATTAGAGATTAGTCTTTGTAAAGATGATTGATTATAGATGAGTAAAATGTAGTTAGAAAAGGTGCATTCATTTTTGGGACAAGTTTGTTGCACATTTGATTGTTTACTATTAAGTTGCTAAGAGATTGCTACTTTCTTACTAATAGTTTATTTATATTGTAATTTGTAATGTTTAGAATATTTTGTTAGAATTTTAATATTTTTGGAAATCTGTATTTTGGTTTAGCTCCAAATAAAGTACGTATTTATTAATCTTTAGGAAATTAAGAACTGTTTGATGACATTGAATAGTATTAATTTGATTGTCTAAAAGTTTTAGAAAAATTTGATTTTTCTATCAAATTTTAATCAGTTTAACTTTTTAGAAAAATTTGTAAGGAAATCACTGAGAGATTTTGAACTTGCAACTTAATAAATAATTGATTGATTAAATATGTAATGAGAATTTTTCCATCACTAATGTCAATGAAATTAAAAATGTAAATTTACAAAGTTAATTTTTTCAGGTTTTTTAATTTATTATCTATTAGTAATTATTTTCTTCATATAAATAAGTTATATACATTACTTATTTATATTAAGATAATCAATTTATAAATGTTAAAATTACTTTAATACTGATTACAATAATAAACTTTTTTTTTTAGGTATTAATATTCCTGAAGAAAACATTCTTTCAAAATTATTTCAAAATGACTTCACACATGATGCATTTTGTTATTGGTCTGAAAAGTCGTAGTGAGGAACTACGTTCAAAGACAGCACGAGATTTACATCACTATGTTACAACTGAATTAAGAGAAATGTCCGTAGAAGATGTCACATCTTTTATGGATGATTTTAATCATCATATATTTGAGATGGTCTCTAGTTCTGATATAAGTGAAAAAAAGGGAGGAATATTAGCAATAGGTAATCTTGCTTTTTAATAACAAATTTAAATTAAGTCATTATTGCTTAACAATACACTTAATTATCCTTTATCCATATACAGTTTTATATCTATTAAGAGTTTGATAGATAATAATAATTTTATATTTTACTTTATTGAAAACATAAAAATAGTTAAAACAGTTTTATGTAAAATAATACAAAACTATTAGTCAAAAAATTTATTCATATCATAATTTATAATATATATATTACAAATTATGATATGAATAAATTTTTACTATTAATGTATATGTACGTATGTATATATAAGTTATATATATACACATATATATTAATACTAAAAATGTATATGTAAACTATATTATAATATTATATCTATGATATTTGCAAAACTGAAAAGGTAATAAGTTTATATTAATCTATATATATTATATATATATAGGTATATATATTAAAACCTTTACCCATATATTATTGTGAGAATCTGAAGAGGGGACAATCCATTAATTAATTACTTAAAGTAATATTCCAATCCAATACCCCCTGGGAAAAAAAGGCAAACAAAAGGCCACCAAAAAGGGGAAGACCAACCCGGACCTACTCACACACATCCTATTTCTTGTGATTTCTTGATAGACAAAACAGATCAAATATCCCTCCAGATCAACAATTATGTTATAGAAAAGGAATTAGCCTTACCTTTCAAATGCCTAACAATTAAATTATTAGTTTGGTATTTACGATTGTATAAATATTTGGTTAATTTCCATGTTTTTAAATATATTTAGACTTTATTTATACTTTTGAAAAAAGGTATTAATTTTGTTAATTTTTTATATGTTTTAGTAATATTTTTTGGTTAAATTTGAATAAATTAATTTTCTCTTGTTTTTTAATTTATAATTTAATATTTAAAGCTGTTTATTTTTACAGTTAATTTAATTGGAGTTGATGTGGGAAATACAAGTACTCGAATCAGTCGGTTTGCTAATTATCTTCGTAACTTACTTCCATCTGCTGATACTACTGTAATGGAACTTGCAGCTTGTGCAGTGGGAAGATTGGCATTAGCAAGTGGAACTTACACTGCTGAATATGTAGATTTTGAAGTGAAAAGAGCTTTTGAATGGTTGAGTGGAGATAGAAATGAAGGAAAAAGACATGCTGCTGTATGTAACATTTTAATAAATATGTAACAAGTTATAAAGAAAAATTAATTGAGAAAAACTTATTTTACTAAAAACACAGAAAATTAGATCTTTGTTAAAAATATTGTATTAGTCAATGTTCATTCACTGTGTGTTCCTATGAAAATTTTTTTTAATGTGTAACAAATATTACTTACAAAAAATTGAAAATCAGCTANATTATCTCCACAGAATGTGGGTGTGTGGTCACTCTTAGCTTCATTTCTCCCCATAGATCTTACTGGCATGGGTGTCCCTACCAGGAGCTTGTGCTCCAGCCTGCATTGCCCTATGGTTCAGTAAAATTACTGGGCTCTCCCACCACGACCAGGTGGTTACCACGGGAGAGTATTATTATTATTATTATTATGTTGGGTTTAGTGGGTTATACTCGGTTGATACCAGTGGCTGTGTACTATGCCAGACCAGAATAAAGGCATAGCAACCAAACTAAAACTAAAATTAAATAAGTGTGTCAGTGTCTGTATTCAGGAATTTCCTAACAATGTGGCATGTATTCAATATAGTGGCCTTCTGTAGTATGATGTATGTATTTCTATTCAATTGTAATGTTCCCAGGCTTTTGTGTAGTATGCAGGATATAACACCTGTACAGGAGAGAACGACAGGTACAATAAGCACCCTATCCATTTTTCACAGATGCCTTATTTCCTGGGTTAGTTCTGTGTACTTGCTGATTACCACCATTTTTTAAAAAAAGAGAGAAAATATTACATTTTATTAGATATATATCAGTTCATCTGATAAGCAATCACTGTTAATAATCACTTATTTGTGAAAAAAATATTAAAAAAATAACAGACCCTTTTCTCTTGCACTTTGGGCTAATGTTAAATTAACATTACCTACTATTATTGTTAATAATAGCCTAGACTGCATGAGAAAATGGTCCATTATTTTTTATTTTAGTTTTTTGCAAATGACTGATTATTAACAGTGATCTCTTATAATATGTACCAACACATTTACAGATTTAAATTTTTGTTCATAAATAAAGCTATAGTAATTTTTCTATTTATTTAATTATTAAAGTGAATTACTTAGTATTTAATAGTAGAATTGTTGCAGAAATTTATTATTACTTTAGTTTTTCAATTTTTTAAAATAATTTATCTACATTCATGAAACAAATAATAAATGTGAATATAAAAATGAATTTAAAAATAAAAATTTAATGTGAAAACTATAGGAGTAACTCAAAATAAATAATTTAATATTTTAAATTACTTTGTATTGAATCTATGCAACTTTCAATAATTTTACATCATATCAGGAATTTAAAATATTTTAAAATTTACAAACGTGCAGTGGGTGATTGGTTAATGAACAGTTCAGACTGCGAACAAATTGGAAAATGAACACTTTTGTGAAAGATTTTTATGTTCGAACAACAAGCACATGTTCGGATAACAAACATCTCACAGAACAAACACAAGAAGAAGTGACGTAAAATACTGCATGCCAATTGGTGTTCCCTTGTATCCAGGTGACAATTTGAAACCTTTCAGAGCTTGAGAAATGTCAACATCGATGCATCAATGATACTGATTGGATAGTATTCCTCTGAACTTTGAAACTTTCCCTTGTAATTCCAGCCTTTTGTTTATCTTTCTGGCAAAGAATTTTTTTATAGTCTTCATGAGACTCTCGGGCGGGCACTTGTTAAGTTTTGCATTGGTTTTTGTTTTCGAAAGGTGCGAGTTTAACTGTCCCATTGGATATTTATTAATGTTTTAACATCAAATTTTGAATTTCATCTGGGCCTCACATTTACATAATTTTTTTGTGCACTAGTTGATTTCTGTTCTCTGAATTTTTGTAAGTGCTTTTCTGAATTTTTTATTTAAAAAAGAAACTGATAATATAATGGAGCCTAAAAAGAGTGGATTTTTTCAAGAACTGTGCTCACCACAGAAACCAAGCAAGAGATAATAACCAAGGTAGAGAGTGGGCAGAAGATGTCTGATGTTGCTAGGCAGTATGGCTTGAATAGGTCTACAGTAGACATAATCTTAGCTAAGAAAGATATTATCAAGAAGACTCAAGCAGCTAATAGAGTAATGAAAATCATATCTGAGAAATAAAGAACATCGAAGAGTTCATAATGAAATCCTGAAACTAATCTGATGACAGAAAAACTCCAAGAACTCTTAAATGAAGAACACCAAGAAACTCAACAAGATGTGTTTTATCCAGAAAGAGAGGAAGATGAAAGAAGATCAATGCTGACATCTGCTATTGAAAATCTTTTGAAGAAGTGGGAGAATGTCAAAACAATAGTCATCCAAATGGCATCCAAGCCAGGTTGAGGTTAATAGGCTTGAGAATCACCACAACAACAATGTAATTAATTCTGAAAAATCCTGAAGAAGAAAGAAAAGCAATTGACATTGGACAGATTCTTTAACCCCCACAAGCGAAATAAACACGACTGATAAAAATGTAAGACTGTGTATGTATGTATTTTTTATTATTACATATAAATATATGTAGTAAGAAAGTGTATAATTTTTATTTTTTGGGGTCTCCAGAATGAATTAATCAAATCCCCATAAAAATCTATTGTAAATTGATAATTGGTTAACGAACAATTCAGATAGTGAACATGGTTTTGGAACGGATTATATTCATTAACCAATCACCCACTGTATTTTTATTTCTTCTGAAATGATGAAAATTCTTGAATTGTGTTTATATTTTTAACTCTTCTGTTTTAAGATTAAAATCAATCCAATGTTGTTCTGTCCATTCTTATTCTATTATGTACTACTAGATTTGAATTCAAATAAAATTTTTGAATTAAAAATACCAGCTTATGTACTATATACTTTACATTGATATTATCATCCAGACCTTTGGTTCTGTTGTACCATCTATTCTTTGAATAACTGCAAATCATTTTGATTTGCATTTTAATATTAGTTGCTGGTTTAATAATTACTTTCTTTGTCATATATGACAAAGAAAAGCAAGAACATTGTCTGTCATTATTGCTTATGATGATTTAAAAATTATTAATTCTGATATTTTGAAATTCAAAATGATGATTTAAAATTATCTTGTTTAATTTTAAAATTAATTTGTCTAGAGTTATAACATGTTACTCATTAGTTAGAAATCCATTGTATTTTTCCTTTTTTTAGTTAATGGAAATATAATAGAGTATGTGCAGTCAATAAGTGATCTAGATGTCATATTTGAGGAAACATTTTGTTTAAATTTGATGAAATTATTAAGAACCCTGCTTTATATAAGGAAGTTCCTTGAAGACATGGCTGTTCTATATCATCAAATTTTTTCTTAAGACTCAATTTTTTACAAATTTTTAAACAATAATTCACTATTATTTGTCTTTTTGGAGTAATGTTGCTTGCTCTTTTGCTTTTCAAAGTGATTTTCAAACTGGATAAAGTATAATTTTTGTTAAATAGATTTTCATTTATAGAGCAAAACTAGGATTTCCAAACTTTGCACATATCAAATATATAGATCATACTGTTTGTTTTTAGATTTTTTTAAATGTGTTTATTCTGCTCCCTTTGTGATGATCTCGTGCACACTCCTTTCCAAATATCTAATTATTTATGCTATGCATTACAGAAATTTTCTGAGATATTTCTAGATGTTCTATTAGTTACTGTTAGTTTGTAAATGCTATTGAAGATATAGAACAATTACGTGTTTCCAGTTTATTCCATTTTAAGAAACATTGTAACAAATTATTTTATTAACAAATTTAATTTAATTTATTTATTATTGATGTTTGTTTTTATTCTGAGATTATTTGTTTGTCATCTCAAGGTAGTGATCTTTAGTTTAACATTTTATTTGTTTAATTGAAAATAAATAAATATTTAGAATGTAAATATCTATACTAATATAAGAGAAAAATCATATAAAACATTATAATTTAATATTAGATAAAATGTTCATAAATAATGTTATTCTCATAATTGATAATTTTATCAATTATGAGAATAACATTATTTATAAGGATTAGGAAATAAATAATAGTTTAAATATTTATCCTTGTCACTTTAGAATCAGAAATTTAGATCAGTTTTTCGTTTACTTTAATTTTTTGATCTGTGATTCCAATGATGTGACATTTCCATTGAGTAGATGTTTTTAAACATTTATTGTGATGTCTTTAGAATATTTAAGTATGTTTCAATAATTTAAAATTTATTTGAAATAAATATTTTATATGCTTTTTATTTGGCAACTACCCAATGGGTAAAATAACCCATTTGGTAGTGCCTTGTATCTTCTGTAGAAATAAAAGAAAAAAATTGAAGTGATGTTGTGTGTTGTTACTTTAACATAGAAATTTGTATTTTTACTTCGGGACATTGACACTGTGTTTATTTATGTTGTAATGTTTGGAATGTTTTATGCTTTTACGTATTCTATTTGTTTAGGTTAACTTTTAATAGTTTTGATGTATGAATGACACTGTGTTTTAATTTTTGAGAACTTAGGAACTTTTTGATATCTTTATTATATTTAATAGTTTTTGTTTTAGCAAATAAATTCAAATAAATTTAGTTAAATCTTACATCATTTTTGTTATGTTTTATATTATATTAGCCTATAATCAGAGAAGCAGCAGTGGCAGCTCTGCGAGCAGCTCTTGTTGTCACTACACAACGTGAAACCAAAGAATCCCAAAAACCTCAGTGGTATAGGGTAAATAATTGCATTTTTATATAGTTTAAAATAAAATAACCAAAAAATATATATAATTATTTTTTATATCATAATTTATTCAAAAATTATAACTATTTTTTATATCAGTGAGTATTTATAGTTTTCATTAAAATATAAAAATATATGTCATGTTTGAATGTTTAATAGAAGCTATCAATTTGCAGATAATTTTATTTTAGAAAATTATATTAAATAAATTATAAATTACATTTCTTAAAAATATGAATTTATCATTTAGCAATGTTATGATGAAGCAGAAAAAGGATTTGATGAAATTCCACCTAGAGAAAAAAGTGTAAACAGAGACGACAGACTTCATGGTTCACTATTAGTAATAAATGAATTACTTAGATGCAGTAATGCTGAAGGAGAGGTAAGTTTCTTGATGATTTTAAGATAAAGATTTCTATATACAGTAGAACCTCGATTATCCGGATTTTTCAAAATAAACAAAAATTTTACGAATTTGCTGATTTGCACTTGGTGAATTATGATACTGTTTATGTACATGATGGAATGCATAACTTTTTTTGTGTTTCAACAACGTCTTACTCGGAACAGTGGCCATAAACGCTTAAATATATTTTGCATTGTAATAAAAATGTAACTTGACATACGTATTTATAAATAATTTTATTTTCAAATTACATCATTTCTATGACCAAGGGCGGCGTAAGGCATGGGCAATGTGGGCCACCGCTATGCCTCGCAGTCCGAAGGGCCTTGAGTTTCAAAGGTTTATGCATTACAGTAATACCTCGACTTATGCTACCCCGACTTACGCGAACCCAGAGTTACACGATTTTCAAATCTCATCGATTCGTCTTTTGTTTGAGCGCCACGCAACTCTTGATTACTCACTCCCCCCACACTATTGTTCAGCTTACATGTTTGGACATGTCACGCAAAATCGACACATAGCTAGAATTTATTTTGTGTTATTTATTTCTATATTTGTTATATCTACAAAAACTTGAGAGACACTATGTGGTGATTTCTTGTAACCGTGAACGAATCAAAAGACGAGATAAGATTAACGAGAACATTTATTAGCTTACATACATCAGACTTGGATTTTACACTAATGGCGAAATTATACCCCGACTTACGCGAATTCGACTTACGCGGTTATCACTCAGTCCCACCTATCGCGTAAGTTCGGGGTATTACTGTACTTAAAAGCCACAAATGTGACAAAAAAATTTTACTTGTCATAAAATGATAAATAGTTTGTCAAATTTTTATTCATAAAAATGCAGTTTCAACTGCTTTTTATTTTATAAAATCCGTTTTTTGCACCACCAGAGGGCCTTTTAAACGTGTCTTTCTTGAAAATTTGATCACGATTTAAATACAGTATTTACTTTTAATATTACCGATATGTCATTGAAAAGAAAACGTGTTGTATTATATTATCATTAAAAGACAAAGTATTTGTTTCGGTTATCCGAATTTTTCGTTATCTGGACTACCTTCATCCCCAATTATTCCGGATAATCGAGGTTCTACTGTATTTAATTTTGAGAATAAATTCTTAAATTATATGATATAAAGTGATCATTTTTATGCTTGTACTAATAAAATATTAGTACTGAAAATTATTTTAAATGTCAGTGAATTATAAAAAGTAAATTTTTCTTTTTTATTTGAAATGATGTAAAAACTATTAATTAAAACGAGTCAGAAATTGAAACTAACTGTTAGTTGATTTGTGCTTTATTTTGATTTGAAAAAGAATAAATAGCCACAACTATCATAGAAATAATTATTGAATCTGTAATAATGTAAGAAATTGGAAAATAAGTTGAAACTATGTTTTTGAAGTTGTTGTGATGAACTGTCAGTCAATGTGTGCACTGCACTGCAACAAAAATAGGAGAGGGCAAGACCTAAGTAAGCAAATTGTGATGCTGAGAATGAGTTAGTGCTCACCCAGCTGCATGGGAACACTTCAATAGCAAGGCTGGTGAGGTGTTCCCATGCAGTTGGGTGAACACTTGATGGGAGTGATCTGTAATGGAAGAAATCTGTAACCATTTGAAATCTGTAACCATTTGACCATGCCTCATTGACATTACACAGGAACAAGACTGAACTGACTTGTAAAAAATAACAGAACAGTAAATATGACACAGATTGCAGAAAAATTTAATGGAGAAGATTGGATGGTATCTCAATGCATAGTGCATAGAATACTAACAGCTAACAGCTATGAGCTAACAGCTAACAGCTAACAGCTATCCTTTGATGGCTAACAGCTATGTAGCAGTGTTGCACACTGCTACATAGCTGTTAGCCATCAAAGGATCATTGCTAAAACTAGCACATTGTCAACATTTACAGGAACATGTGATGTATATGAAATGTCTCTTTAATCCAAAACCTGTTCGGTAGACTGACTTACAGCATTTAATGCTGTAAGGCAGTCTACCGAACAGGTTTTGGATTAAAGAGACATTTTATATACAAGAACCAATAGACAGCAACCACATTATAGTGTGAGGGACATGTGATCATTGATCATGGATGTTGGATCAGGTGATAAAAGTTATCTGATCTGAAAAATTTTGATTTTAATTGCATTATGTGAGTAGCAGCATTTGTGTATGTCATTTACTAGTTGCCAGGCTCTTGGGTGCACCATTGGACAAAAACAGGCTGGCAGAAGTGGTGTAATGCTTTGAGAGGGTTTTGTTGGGAGGCCTTATGGCCCATTGTAAAGTACTATTTTTAACTGATCGCTCTACAATGAATTTCGTTCCGGAAAGAGCCAGTACCTAACGGGTACTTTACGCGGGTTCACGTTTGTTAGTTTGCCAGGCCTGGACTTTCACGTGCACCGAAATAAATTAGAGACAAGTTAGTCAAAATCAATAAAAGTATTTAATAAAGATCTAGGAATAACTATTTACAATATTTATAACAAACAACAAATTTATTCTATCAAATAAAATCCAAATAAAGTCAACCCGACAAAATCCAAATCTTATTCTAACTTAGAACTATTCCCCTTGGAATTCCGACAAAATCAATCCTTAAGTTAAGGTACAGAAATTCTTACAACTATAAATCCTAACCGTCACCTCAATTATACTAGGAACCTTTTTTTCCAACTCAAGACTTCCTATTCCTTGATCCACAAATCGAAAACTGCAATCGCTTTGGACTATTTCCTATTGGACACCTCGTTCACTGCTACTAGCAGACTATGCTTATTCTTTTCAGGAGCTCACCTCTGTTGTCTTCACTTGAGCTATGCTATTTATAGTCTGAGGTGACGTCACAGTTTCTAAGTGAGACACTCCCCTCATTTACATACTTACACGTAACATTCACTTTTTTCTTTAACCTTTTACAGTCTTTTCTTGAACAATTATCGAGATGTTTCCTTTAAGGTTTAACAAGTCCCTAAAAGTCTGTAGGGTCTTTCCCCCCCCTTTCAATGCGGGCTTACCATCTGCTGCTCGGGCATGCACGTGAGTGCAATTGCTAGCTATGGCGCTTTCGTTGCGTCGTCGGTGAGTTGGTTTTATCATCTTTTTTTTTTTTTTTTTAACTTTCTAAGGTGATGGGTGAGGAAACCTTCGTCCTAACTAAACATAAGCCCCAAACAAAATATAATAAAAGCAAAATAAAAGTAAAATAAAAATAACGCTCGGACTTGGTTCCTTACACCATGATTTCTGTGGACTACATTTTGACAAGATACATCTACTTAAACATTATTGTGGATTAGGTACACTCTTTAATGAGCATGATCTTTTCTGTAGAGACAGTCTTTTTCAATGGGACAATGTACAGAGTGTTTCACTAGGTAGTTACAACTTTCATGTGGAATAACTGTTTAAAGACAAATGAGATGGAGTTGTAAATTGAGAATGTTGATAAGGTGGTGAAAGGCATTCAGATGGAAGTAGTGAGACAGTAAACACTTGATATTGCACATATCACACAGAGGATTTTCCCATCAGTAATGGAGGACTTTGAGACATGTTTTGTCCTTCTGCTTTTTTTAATTTCAATATTTAACAGATTCAAACATCGTTATTTTCTAGGAATTATCACATCCACAGACTCTTTGTTGCTGATTGCTAATTGTTGCTGATTGGATAGTATTTTTGTTGCTGATTGGATAGTATTTTTGAAATCTGGATGTGATAATTCCTAAAAAAATAACAGTGTTTGAACTGGTTATATATTGAGATTTGAGACATGTGTTTGATATATGTTGTTACAATACAATACAATACAAGTAAAGACTTAGGCAGTTCTACCTTAACCTTTGAAGTGAAGGATTATGAGGGTGGGGGAGAGAGGAAAGAGGAAGTAGGGGGAAGGGGGAAAGATAGAAAAGTGGGAAGTGAATCACCTGAGCAGGCAAGCAGGATCTGTTACTAGTCAAAAGAAAAATTTACATGCACAGTGTGGGTCGCAGCCCAGCTGAATACAGATATTACGTTGCTCATAGGATAAAGCAGTGGTTAGAAGCTGCAATTAAATGACAACAGCATGACAAGACAGGTGCAACCTGTGACAAAACAGGACATAAGGGCATGATGAGAAAGAACACAACACTATGTGTGGCAAAGACAGAACAGGTATGACATAACGTGTAACATTTTTTCCCTCTACCACTGACTCGCAACGATCAAAACATAAACACGAAACAAAGTAGATGCAACGCACAGAAAAACAGACACCAACAAAGAATGAACACAGGAGACAAACAAAAGTGGGCTTCATGCTGGAAGCCTACGCACAAAGAAATGGTGTCAAGCAGGTGGAGATTGGCTAGTGGGCAGTTGAAGGCACGCTACGGGTGAGGTCCAGGAGGGTGACTGCTGACTCTTTAATGAAGGCAGAGAAGGTCGTAAAGGTGTTCTTGGTGTTGAAGAAGTCTGGGCAGTTGAAGGGCCAATGTAGCACTGTCCCTTCAACTACCCTGACTTCTTCAACACCAAGAACTGGTTACATATTGAGATTTTGATGTAGATGTTGACAATGTGCTGGTTTTAGCAAAGATCCCTTGATGGCTAACAGCTATGTAGCAGTGTGCAACAGTGTTCTATGCACTATGCATTAAGATACCATCCAATCTTCTCCATTAAATTTTTCTGCAATCTGTGTCATATTTACTGTTCTGTTATTTTTTACAAGTCAGTTCAGTCTTGTTCCTGTGTAATGTCAATGAGACATGATCAACCAACACATTTCAAATGGTTTCTCCCTGGCCAATGCAATGTACAACAAGGGCCAGTGCTACCTCTGGCCCTTGTTGTACATTGCATTGGCCAGAAGCTTTCGTTGGTTTTTGTACTTTGGGCACAGGAAGATGACGTGGAGGGGAGTCTCAATGTCCAAAGTGCAGTTGCACAACCCATCACCTTTGAGAAGGAACCTGTGTAGGTAGCCTTTGAAATTCCCATGCCCTGTGACAAATTGAGTTGAGTGATAGTTTGATATGTTGTGACAGCTGATGGTTAGCATATCGAACACTAATTCCCTTTGGCATTCACATACTGCTGTAAAACATATTTTTTCTTCCAATAAAGTACATTCATTTAACCTATTCCCTGGTATTTCAACATATCTTGGGTCAAAACATGATGACCTTGACCTGTAAACTTGAGATATCTCATTTCTGTATTGGGACATTTTTTATACAAAATGTCATTAGTTGGCATAATTTTTATATTAAAACTAACTTCTGAAATATAATTTTTTTTGTTTTTACATTTATTAATATGTCTATTTTGTTTGTGCAAAATAAAAGAATAATTTTGGATGATACAATAGCCATGATTATTTTTTTCTAAAATGTGGAATTTTTGTTAGGCTTATCATTGACAAAAATTCAATGTGGTGCGACACAACGGAAAAAAATTTCAACATGGGATAGGTTAATTTCTCTTTTTTTTGTTACTATCCTGTGAAACACACTGTACCTTACATTAAGGTGCGCATTATTCAGTGGTAGTTTGAAGAATATGACAAGGAGTTTGGCAAGTTGCCTTGGTTGCCAAATTTACCAAACTTCAATTTCATTGAGCATCTGTAGAATGCTTTCCAATTACAGGTCTTCTCTACCGCTCCTGCACCAAGAAACTTGCAGGAATTGGGAGACCTATTTGTGGCTGTATACCCCCAGATACCATAGAACACCTTCAATTAGAGACTTTATTGAGTCTATAACTTGGAGAGTCCTGCCTGTTTTAGCAGTGCATGGTAGAGTAACATATTTTAGACATGTTGCCATAATGTTTTGCTTGATCAGTGTATGAAAGAAAAAGAGTCGTAGAGTATGAACTGTTTATGAATTAAAGTTGTTAGAATAATAAAATAGTGTCTTAATATTAATATTATTTAATACATTTACTATAGATTTAAATTTAATGTAAAATAATTATTTTACACGGAATTCTTGTTTGTTTCTTAAGATTGGTATGCAATATATATGCAATAAATTATAAAATTTACAAACTTACACAAATTTATAAAATAAAATTTTAATATATAATGTAAATTTATAAAAAATATAAAATATNAGTTGCCAAGTGTATACAAACATCGCTAAACCCGATATATAATATAGCTAAATACCAACCAAATGCCGAAATTCTATCGGGCTAGTTTAAGGCTAATTACTAAATGAATTACATAACCAATTTGGCTCTAGAGGTAAGCATTAGGTGCCATCTCATATTAACATTCATAATTAAAAATTAATTAATTAATTTAAATAATTTAGAACCGTTGGGAGAAAATGTATCAGGTCTAGCGATGTTTGTATATATTATGCTTGCGATGGCAGGTTGAGTGCCTTATAGGACGTGGGCACCGGATGTGTCCCCAGCCGCGTTGTAATAACCGTCGATGGTTATAACGTTAGCATATATAGGCTGGAAGAGGAGATCGGACTTGAGGTCCAGATAGCGTAACTGGCAACGCATCTGCATGGTAAGCAGGAGTTGTGGGTTTGATTCCTGCTCCAGGCTGATTTTTTTCTCCCAGCGGTTCTAAATTATTTTAATTAATTAATTAATTTATAATTATTAATGTTAATATGAAATGGTGCCTAACGCTTACCTCTAGAGCCAAATTGGTTACGTAATTCATTTAGTAATTAGCCTTAAACTAGCCCGATAGAATTTCGGCATTTGGTTGGTGTTTAGCTGTAAAATAATTATTTTACATGAAATTCTTGTTTATTTCTTAAGATTGGTATGCAATGTATATGCAATAAATTATAAAATTTATAAACTTATACAAATTTATAAAATAAAATTTTAATATATTTTTATCAGATTTCAGTTACTAATTTTCTATCATTAAGTTTTCTCTGTTTCAGAAAATCAGGCACGAATTAGAAGATATAACTCAGCAACAAGCAACTCATGAAGCATATTCTCAACGTTATCACTTTCTTAAAGAACTTGGATCTGGATCTTTGACTCGTAGTTTTCGTGCACTTCATCAGTTACATCATTATCATCATTTAACAGCTCATCATGGAATTGGTCTATCAGCTGTTGTTCGTTACCATAAAGCTCTTGGGACATTTCCTGGAACAATGTCACAAACACGTCGTTTGCCATTATATGAAAGTAATACATGTAAACAGTTAATGATAGAAAAATTTGATCATGTAAGTAAAAATAAATACAATAACTTATAAAACATAAATTTAAAGATAAAGGTTGTTAAGGAATTCATGGAAACAATTTTTTTTCTGCAAAACATTCAGAAACATTGTAATTCTAGAATATACATTTGAATGACTGTTGGATATGGGTTTGAATGTTACTATTATATTAGTCTGGGTTAGTAGAACAACATTAGGAGGAATTGGAAAGCAAATGTGTGGAAATTCTTGTTTAATAAGGAAATACAGCATACACAATGAACAAAAAATGAACTCACCAATGCACAATACAAACCCATCAAGATAGTTTCCAAGATTGTTCACAGTACATTCACAGTACATTGCCATGGTGGGGAAGGAGATGAATACCATTTGCTTCATGTGAGTAGGGATGTCATGAGTAGTTTTAAAGTATTGATTCCAGACAATATTGGGGTACCCAGCATCGAGTATTGAAACTGAAAATCTTGCCAGCTGTTGTTGTTTAATCTGTGGCTTGATTTTGAAACATTTTGTATAGTTGAAACTTTTAATTTTAACATAGATAATATGCTTTATTCTAGTTAGTTATTATTAACAAGTTGTTAAAACTGATTTCTATTATAAACTAAATGTTACCAATATTGTATCAGTTGATTTGAGATTTTAATATATTTTCAAATTTTTCAAATAATTGAGGAGTTATTTATAAATATTAATCTGAACTCTAAGAACACTATATATAGATTCTGAAAATGAAATTTGATATAATAAATTTATTGATTTTTGGTCATTAATACAGTCGACCTTCCCCTATAACACTGTTGATTTTTCCGTTTTATATGAATTCCATGTTGTACGAGTCACTTAGATTTTACAAATACGTGTGCTGGGCTGTGAACAGCTCACGTATTTGTAAAATCTAAGTGACTTGTACAATATGGAATTCATATAAAACGGAAAAATCAACAGTGTTATAGGGGGTCGACTGTATTTACTATATAAGTTTAGCTTAATCAAAAATAGTATAAGATTCGGTTTTGGCTGCAACTGACTTTAAAATCCAAATTTGCTTTTCAGTTTTGGATTTGACTGCATAATCCAATTTTGGTTGAATCTTACCTGTATGTGAAAAAAGTAAATATACTAGACTCAATACTCAAGGTAACACACCAAAAATATTAAGTACAAAAAAATACTCGGTATCAAAAGAAAGTATTGATACAGTATTGGTATTGGCAGTATCAGGACATTCCTACATATGAATCACTATTGTGTACTATCATTAGCTGAAATGCCATCAAGATGTCCTTTTTGTTCATAAATTGTTTTCCATGCAATGGCTTCTTTACTTTGGAAATCAAATCAAAGTTATATGGACTGAAGTTTGGCAAATACAGAGTGTTTTCCACTTTAATCTTTCCATTTTTGAATGATACTGATAACAGACTGACTGACTGATCACATGATAACAAGCAACTACTGCACATTTATCCCATCTAGTGGTGACATTCAGAAGCACATCCAACAGTCTTTCAACTGTATATTCTAGAATTACCGAGTTGCCACATGTTTCAAAGAAAAAATTGTTGCCATGAATTCCAAAATGACCCTTGTATATTATAATATAGATTAATAAAACAGTTATGTCACTGCGATTTCAAATATATGTGATGCTAATAAAATATATTTAATTATATTTACATAGTATAATTTTAAACAAAATTAATGTTTAAAATTATTAATTTAATTAAATTTTATTTAATTCAATAATTTGTAGAGTATTGGAAGACAATTTGGTCTCTTATTGTGTGGGGTCTGTGGTATTGTTTTTTCAGGTTTCATGTAGGTGATGCCCTGAGTAAGAAATTTTAACATGTCTTGTGGATTGATGATGATGTCTGTTAGGTGTTTAGCTAGTTCTTGGTGCAGTGATGTAAACTTTTTGTATCAGAAATTGTGAATGTTGTTTACACCAGGTGTCTTCCAGTTGTATGTTCTGCTAATAGTGTATTGGACATCGTGTATGTTTATTTCAGCACAGGGCATAGTAGCATAGTTGGTATGTTGTGCAAGTTTCTGTTCTCCTTGATCCAGCTTGCATCAGCATTGTGTTTTGACAGCATTGGACCAAAGAGAAGACCAATAAGTTGTGACTTCTTCTTCTGTTGGTGTGCCACTGTACTATGTATCAGGACAGTTTGTTTGTTTTGATACTAATTTGTATCTAAAAGTTTGTTTTTATCATTGTTTGTAAATAACTTATTTTGTTGTTTTTGTAGTGTATATGTTTTGTATGTTGAGTCTATGTGCTTTGGCTAAGAGTTTCTGTTTCAGTGTATCAATGTATTCTGTGATGTGTATGTTGTGATGTTCATGTTTTGCATGTGTTTTGATTTTCTTGAAAATGTTTTTGAGTTGTTTGTTTAATTTGGGTGTTATGTTGTTTTTAGTGTATTGTGTCAGCCTGCCTAATTGCTGTCTAATGTCATTTATTTGTGTTTCTATTCTTCTCTGCCAGGCAGGCTTGTGATAGAATTGTGTTTTATGTGTATCTGTCTGCGATTGTATTTTCAGTCCATGGTGTGTCACTACTGTGACTGCCCCAGCATAAACTAATGTATGAATGTCTGAGAGTGTAGAAATTAAATGAATGTAGTGTGGTAGTAAGTGAGTGTTTATATAATTTAATGTTTTTCCTACTTCCTTTGACGGGTTGATTTTTGGTATTCGTGGTCTTTGTGTGGGATCAGTACCAGTATATTTAGTGAGTGTTTCCTGAAATATAAGTGAGAGCATATTAACTAATTCTATGTCTACGTTATCAGTGATGGATGAGGAAGTGCCTGTAGTATCATTAGTGGTAGCTGTTGTATGTGTGCTATTATCAATGCTTGTTGCTGGATTATCCTGACAGGTTGTGATCTTCATTAATGTTAAATGTTTGTCTGTTGATGTATTTGATCATCAACCTTTTTTGTAGGATAAAGTGGTTGTGTATGATTGTTCTTTTTTGATCAACAATCCTTTGTTCGGTGACAGTGAGGTGAGGATATTGTTGTGTGAATCTATGGTGTAGTTGTTGTCTGTATGCTGTCATGTTTGTTTCGAGTCTTGTGATGGTGTAGTAAGTATGGATGATAAACTCGTTCATTTCTGATGTCCATTTCATCCGTTGGCATGGTTTTCCAGCCTTTGTGGTCTGTGGATGCATTGCCACATAAACACCAAGGCTAGGTTGGTTCCTCACAACTGTTGAGGGCATTGCAGTATCCATGCTTGGGCCAGTGCTGCTTTTGCCACCAGTAACCAAGGGAGATTGTGGCCTATTTTTCGAACTTGAACTTTTGCCAAACCCACGAATGCAGACCTTGTTAACCCAGGTGATGTACAAGCTGGTGTCATACTTAGATCTGGTTACTACTATGATAAATATTATATGGGTATGAATATGGGTATGGTCACTCTTAGCTTCATTTCTCCCCATAGACCTTACTGGCAATTGTGTCCCTACCAGGAGCTTGTGCTCCAGCCTGCATTGCCCTATGAATCAGTAAAATTACTGGGCTCTCCCACCATGACCAGATGGTGACCACGGGGGAGCTAACTCTTTTAAACTCATGACAATTCACTGTTCTTTGTTTGAAAATTGTCAGTGCAAACTTTACTCACTCATGGTCATTCAACTAATATTATTCAAAAATTCACCAAAAATCCAGCAATTATCATACACATACAAAAATAATTCATGTATATACATTACTTTTTGTTGTTTATGGTATAAAGTTTCTTTTCACTAGCATAAAAAATTTCTCCCAAAAAAAAAAATATGTTAAAAATGACAGTTTGAATATTATTTATAATTTACACAACTTGATCATAGATAAAATTTTTTGATTATATATTTGATTTCCTTCAGTAACCCTGCACAAATGGCCATTTTGTTCTGTACATTTTGATTAAAACAAACTCAAACAGTATTTTTACACAAAGAAATTTCTTACTTCAAAAAAATTATAAATACTTAAAATAAAATAAAAATAAAATGCCATTTGGTATTAAATATGTGAAACAAGTGTACAGAATAACCTACAGTAGTGTAGTGCCATCTATGAATGGAATGTTTTATAAGAATTGTAAATTCTCAGAGTGACAATAAATTGTCAAATGATTTGTTTCATTAATTAACTACTTGACGATATATTGACAAAATGATTGCAAAATGGTTAAGATACAGGATTACAAAATGACAATGTTCCTGTGCAGCTAACAACAAAACAGCATGAAATATTGTTACTAACTGAAAAAAGAGGATTCTTATTCCAAAGTCTGAGAGTAAATTGATCCATAGAATCAGCCAGTCTTTATATGGAAAATAAACTAAAAATATTTTGATACTATTTGTTTAAATTATGAAGATTCTTAACAAGTAACGTACAACTATATTTTACAATAATTTTCAGATTTGTCAACAAGTGATGCGTCTGAAAGCTACAAGAAGTGTCTACATTCAACAGACTTTATTGATAATAATTCCAAGATTGGCTGCCTTTCAAACACAGGAATTTGTTAAAAGGTTTGTATAGTTTTAATGTGAAGGTTATTTTAATAATTTATATATAATTAGCAAATATTTATTGTGACATCATCACAATACCAGGCTGCAATTTTTAATCATATTTTTAATGTATTTAATTTAAAATATATGGTTTCCATCTCAAATTAGTAGTGGCTTCCCTCATACATGATACTCTTTCTTTAACAATACAGTCATACTGGCCATCTATCTAACATCTTTTGTGAGAAAATTTTTGAATTGAAATAACAGGACTTCTGGTTTGCATTAGAAGTTCGTATATCATTAATCAGGGCCTCTTAACCCTAAGGTTTTCATATCTGATCTCGCCTGTCACCTATCTAACTGTTCTTGAAATTAAGGAAGGAATGATAGACAGACAGATGACAATGGGAATTTATGGGTCTACAATTTTTTCAAAAGGCATCCCATAATAATCCTCACAATAATTTATTAAATTATTGTGAGGATCTGGGTAATCTATTAAATTATTGAGAGATTTTATTATAATTTTTTGTTAATTGAGGATCTGGGTTCCCACAATTAACAAAAAAATTATAATAAAATCCAAATGGAAGGTTTTATTATAATTCCTTCATTAAGGACATTACTGAATTCTGGAATAATCAAAATCCTGACACACCTGCACCAAAAAGACATAAAGATGAGACATTGAATTCTTGCAGCTCAAGTTGTGCAAAGACTGTTATGTCTCATTAGGTCCTGGACAATCTAAGCTATTGATATGTCCCCTGGGTTTAAGTGATATGGTCGATTCTCAGGACTAATCAGTAAATGAAAGAGGGGCCAAATGAAGGAAAGGGCTTGAAATTGATTCAGATCAGACACTCCACATTAGGAAGTCATACTATTTTTGTCTGTTTATTTAATGCAATCAATGGCCATTGATTGCATTAGATGCACAGATTTATCTTCATGTTAAGAAAACACATTGAGTTTCTGAATTAGTGTGTTCCTAAAAGACAGCAGATTATGTGAACTTTTAAAAAGATTAAGGAGCAAACACTCAGGTAACATCACTGAGCTGTCTCACCCCATGATTCACACTCTCTGTAACTACTGTGAAAATTTTTCTGTTCATTAATTGTTAATTGTAATAAAATGTTTATTACTACTAAAATCATTTTTGTTTGTTTTAATATACAGTATAGACAAGTCATCCTTTGTTCAACATTGCACTTTTACATATCTTTCATCCAAAACCTAAGTAAACTGTAAGAATGAAACCGAAACTTTTCTCTATTGCAGGGATGGGCAACCCATGGCCCGCAGTAATATTTTTTTCGACCTGCATAAAATATGAATAAATATATCAATTTCCCAGCTTAAGGAAATATGCAGCAAAAATTCAAATGTTATTTTCTACAACTTATGTATGTGAATAGTTTTCCACAATAAATTTAGTAAAAATTAAAACAAAAAAACTGGCTAACAGACACATCAAAACTAATTAAAATCTAGCAGTGACTAATATTTAACCAAATATTTCCAATATATTACATTTACATCAGTTCCAGAAGCTAAATTAAGTATACCTATGCTAATTTATAATTATATATGAATAAATAATTGTGATTTACCGACTTTTTTCTTCTTTTCTCGTATGCAGCGTGCGTCAGTTCAAAAGTTTTGAAATGCGACCCTTATATAGAAAAAGGTTGCACATCCCTGCTCTATTGTGATGCAAATAATGTGATCCCACATTGTTATTAAAATTTAATAGAAAAATGAAAATGATTTAATTCATTTATTATTTATTTGTAAAATGAATAAGCCTAATTTAACATGAAATATTTGATTCTTAATTTCAGGATTTTTTGATCTTTGGATTATGTAGTATAATATATTAATACATGTTTGTAAAGTATATTATTTGTTTGTTTGTATTAGTATATTAAACTACACAATCCTACACTGATTCTGATTATTGTTTCAAATTTTTTTCTACTCTTGGAAGATCAAAATTAAAAAAACATACTGTATGTATTAAAATATGATTAAAGTATAGATAGATCTTTTTTGAACAATCTTAAGTAGGTTAATGAAGATGATCGTCTTCTGTTCAGATAAATAATTAAGAATTGATTGCAGTTTTAATAATCTTTATTCTGAAATTATATTTTAAAAATTTTTGTTTTATTTAATGGAGATTGATGTAACTGAACATTGTGTTGAACAAAAGTATTTTGAGAATGAGAAGCCAATTGGTAAAATTGAACTTGGGCATTTTCTGTGAAGAAATAGTTTCTGTAGTAACTGTAATAAAATTTATATCTCTCACTAATTTTATTCTATACTTTTATTGAAAATATAAACTGCAAAATTATTAAATTGAATAGAAAGAATTTCTTGAAATTATTCTGTGAATTTATTATAAAATGTAGAATCCCATTTTCTTATTTGACTCAAGAAGAAAAGACTCAAAGAAGAAAATAAAATATATGGATTGAATTCTTTATGATATTATTTATGGAAAAGAATATAACACAACTGAATTATATTTTTAAATATCATTTTAATTAAATTATCTTAAAATAAAAAATAATTAAATCAAATAATTTTAAAATAATTTAAATAAATATTTTAAAATACAAAATTAAAAATATTTATTTTTTTATGTTAAAAAATGGTCATTCTGTTATGTTGTATTATTTGTCATAAATGATATCACAAACTTTTTGATTCATATATTTTATTTAAATAATACAACTTTAAAAGTATTCAACAATTTAAATTATTTTCAAAAACAACAAGCCAACCAATGCCATATGTCATTGGGCTAGAAGACGGCTATAATACTAATAAAATATGAAACAATTTGGCACTAGAGGGAGGTGTTAGGTACCATCTTTTAATAAATTTAATAATTATAATTTTTAATTAAATAATTGCAAGTTCCTCTCTGGGCAGATTCTTTTCTTTCAGTAGTTCTAAATTATTTAATTAAAAATGATAATTATTCTAGCTCAATGACATATAGCATTGGTTGGCTTGTTGTTTTATAATGTATTGAGTTACAGTGATGATGTTTGTTCAAATTATTTTTCTTTAAATGACTTTATGGATACTGATTCTTGGAGTTAGTTCATATCTGGTAGTGTTAATTTAACTGTTTTCTTGCCATAAATGACAGCATAAACTTTTAAATATATACATGTGATTAGAAAAAGTTTCTAACTTTTAATCTCTGTTCTATCAACAAATAGAACAGAGATTATTTCATTTTGGTGTTTAGCTATATTGGTTGGTGTTTAGCTATATTTCATTTTCATTATATATTTCATTTTTTTATGTTAAATTACCTTTAAATTAAAAATTCACTGGATGACAGTTTTCATATTAATTAAGATTGAAGATAAAGTCTGTCAAAACAATCAACTTTTTAAACATTTTCCTGTGTCAGAAATTATCGTGAGATTTATACCAGAACCTGAATGTGAATTAAAAAGGTGACTGTTTTGATGGACTTCGTTTTCATTCTTAATTAACTGTGAATTATTTTGCTAACTCTTATGTCAGTTTTTTACTACCATATATAAAGTTAAATATAAGAAATGAAATAAAAAAAACCTAAGATACTATGATTTCTAATTGATAACTTTGATTGTATTTATTGTTTAATGATAGCAATGCTTTTCAGAATTTAAAGATTTTTAATAAAAATAATTATGAAGTTAGTTACAGAAAAATTTAAATGTTATGTTATATGTAAATAACAACTCAAAGCCCAAATAGTATATAATAAATTACCAAACGATCGCCTAAATATCGGGCTATAATTAAATGATTGGAATAAAGTAATTTGACATTAGAGGTAGGCTTTAGGTGCCATCTCTTAAGTAAATTAATAATTAAAATTAAATAAATTATTAAATAAATTTTAGAACCTTCTGGAATAAAAGAACTTGCCCGGGATGGGGCTTGAACCCGCAACCTCCGCTTGTATTTATTTAACCAAGTAAGGTTATATCTAATCTAATATACTTCTGGAAGCAAAGACTTGCTCAGAGTCCGGGTGGCGTAACTGGCAAGCACACCGCACGGCAAGTGGAGTTTGCGGGTTCAAGCCCCGTCCCAGGCCAGTTCTTTTATTCCAGAAGGTTCTAAAATTTATTTAATTTTAATTATTAATTTACTTAAGAGATGGCGCTTAACGCCTACCACTAATGTCAAATTACTTTATTCCAATCATTTAATTATAGCCCGATATTTAATTTGTTATGTTATATGAATGAAATACAGATATTCTGAGACTGTAAGAACTACTATTTCTAAAATTAATATATTAACATATCATTTCAGTTATTTAAATGAAGCAATGGCTTATTTACTTGGATGTTTGAGAAGAGACAGAGAGAGATTTTCTGCATTTACTGCTATCGGATTACTCTCAGTTGCAGTAGGACCTGAAATAAAGCGCCATATACCAAGAATAATGGATGTGATCAGAAATTCTTTACCTTCTAAGGATACTCCTTCAAAGTATTATACATAATATTACTTTAATTTTTAAATATAACAAGTTTTTAAACAAAATATATATTATGTTTAAAAAATTTGTAAATAAATAGTAACTTTCTAAATAATTATAAATATAATTCTATAAGTATATAGAGGGTTTAATTTTGAATGAAAATCTTCTAATTGTATTTTAATTTGAATTATTTATTTGAGATATGGAATCTTGAGACACTATTTTCTACAATGCTAATAAGAAAAATAAAAATATTAAACACACAACTTTAATGTGTTTTAGTGAGCACAAAGTTTTTTTAGTTTGAACTTAGTCTAAGCACTTACCTTCTGGACATATAATAGACTTAAACATTTGATTGGGATAATGCAAAATTAGTGAAACATTCTCTCTCAGCTAGCTTTAGTTATTTTAAAATTCTTAGAAATTTCTAAATCTGTAATTCAAAATGAGACAATTAATCAGTATGAATTGGCGATTTCTCTTTTGCCTGAAGATATTTAATCCATATTTAACAAATATGAATGTATATTTATATACACTTATGCTAAACAAAATAAGCAAAATTCATTCATACTTAAAGGAATTCTGCTTAATTTTATATCAGAATACAGAATTGTTTTCACTATTTCTGTTTTACTGTTTTGTTTATTGTTTTTATATTTTTTCATTTACAGAAAAACAATTTTCATAATTATTATTATTATTTTAATTTTTTTTTATATACATTAGTGCATTTTATTTTTAAATTATATATTTAAAAATTTGTATATGAAAAAAATTAATTGAGCCAAAACTTTTTGTTTAATATGTAATCTCTGGCATTACAAAGCAGTATTTTCTAATAATTTTAAAGTAGTTTTGCTTGAAGTTTATTGTTTAGATTAAGTCAATCATTAATTTATAAAATCTTATATTAAATAAATAATTTCTTACAAGGAAGCATATTATTCTTATCAGAACTGAATTAAAACTTAAATTTTGAATAAAGTAGCTTACCAAAGTTGTTTTTATAATAGACTAGATTATTTAAAGTGTTGCAAATATAGTTGAATCTGCTTGGTTGTCATGTTTGAACTGACTGACACTGATAATGTTAACCAATTAATAACATTAACAGAGTTAAGAAAATAAGATCACAATTAGTGGTCTGAGATACAAGATCAACAGGCATCTTCAATTGGAATTGAATTCAACGGCGTCATATTAATTTTCGATGTTGATCTCTCATGTCTGTGGTCTCTGAATTTGCTTAGAAATAAGTGAGTGGCCAATTGAGTCACAAGGAAGAGTATTCAAAACTAATTTGAATGTTAGATCAAGGGATCAAATTTATAAACTGAGTTAGATTTTATAATCATACAGACTAATTACTATTGAAATGGCTGAGAACAACTACATACCATAATTTTCCGTGGCTCACAGTTGAGTTTTAATTATAGTTTGTGCAGATTAATTGCAGTCAACACAATATCAGGTAACCTGTATGATTATGAAATTTAAACCTATCAACATATATCTAACTTAATTTAGGTCTAAAAATGAAGATTGGACAAAAACTTGATAGCATTAGTAACACATTTGCATGGTAAACAGAAATTGTGGATTCATATTCCATTCTTAGTTGATTTTTTTTCCAGAATTTTCTGAATTATTTACTGAAAACTGTAATTTTAATTATTAATCTTAGTTTAAGATAGCACTTAATTGTCAACCTTTAGGTCAAATTCTGTAATTTATTTAATTAATAATTAGCTTAAGCTCAAACATAATCTGAATTTTAGATATATCTAGCTATTAAAATCAACCTTTTTATATTTATAATTACACTATGGTTTATTGTATAATTAGTTTCAATTTTAAAATTAAAATATTTAAGTGTAATAATACATATTGTGTTATTTTGTAGAAAAAAAGGACCAGCTATGGAACCAGCTGTTTTTACATGTATTAGTATGTTGGGGAGAGCAGTTGGTCTTTCAATTAAAAATGATATCAAGGAATTATTAGAACCAATGATGGCTACAGGACTAAGGTAATTTTAAATTTTATTAAGCATATTATTTGTTTAGAATTTTATTGATTCATATACAATCAAATAAAATTATTTGCACAGTTAATTATAAAAATTTTTTTAAAATTTCCTCTGAGAAGAATGAAAATATAGATTAATTAATAAAACAGAAAAATTTACTAAGAATATTGTATCAAGAATTTATCAATATCTCTCATCTTTGCACAATAAACATAGGAGAAATATATTTCTAAATGGAGAGGTAGTTCAAAAGAATTGATTGCCTGTATGATGATAAAATAATGGATTATTTTTTTTATCAAGGAAAAACAAAAGGAAATGGTAATATAGTAAAACCTTCAATTTTTTATCTAAAACCTTATATTTTAGATGTATCAGTTCTGGAAACAAGGTTCAGTTTCTAGAGCCCCTAAACAAATTGCATTTGAAGTATGAAAATTAACCCTAACATTTATTTATTTCAAATGATTAATTTATAAATAACAGTTTTGTTTTCCAAAAATCTCTAAAATGTTTAAAAATAATAGAATGGTTTTTTTTTATAAATACTTATATTTTTATTATATTTGATCGATTTTATTAACTGTGATACTGTTTGTTAATTTTTATAATATAAGCTATATATTCAAAATTATTAAAAAACTTGCATTACACATTTATTTTAAAACATTTTAGAACTTGACAGTTTGCCAAAATTAAAAAATAAAAGTTTTTCAATTAAATCTATGATTAAATTAATTAAAAACCTACTAATGTGAGGTGGGAATAAGGACTTATCACACCAATGATAATAAGCACAAACACCCAGGTAGGTTTTTAATTAATTTAATTAAACCAAGGGCAAAAAGCAATTTCTTTATGATATTGAGTTTTAAAAAATATAATTATACTGGGTTTTTCATTAAGAGCAGTTGAACCTTTAAACTGTTACAGATGCCTTAGTTTTTATTTGATTGTCAGATAATTTACATATCCACTCTCTAGTGTTTGGCAAATCATCATGGAAAGATTTATAGTTCTTCAATATGTTGAAATTATTAAAACTTATCAGAATTCTTGTTCAATTCATTTGATTTATGGTCAACATAACTAGCCAACAGAACTCATGATATCTTGTTCAGTTAAAAAAATTCAAAGAAACTGGATCAGTTATTGATGCATGTGCTCCAACATGAATTCATGTTCACTGACAGGACTTTTTCAAGAAATGCAGCTATTAATTGGCCACCATAATCTTGTGACTTAACTCTGTTGAATTACTTTTTATGGAGGTTACATTAAATCTCTTGTTTATTCCAACAAGCCATAAACTGCTGACAGCTATATAGCAAATATCATTCACATTATTGGTGAGATACATTCTGATTTAAGTGCCATTGAAAATTTCATCGAAAATTGGGTTAATCATATTCACTCTTTCAAATGCAATTGTGGAAACCATTTAAATGATATTGTTTTTCATAAGTGATGACATTAAGTATACTATAAAATAAAAGATTAGCATCATGTTGTTTTTGAAACCGTGTTTTGCGAATATATTGGACTTTGAATTCACATTTGAGTTATAAATAAACACTTGGCTTTATTTATAATTGAAATGTGAGTTAGAAGTCCAGATTAGCATCATATTATCTTCTGCAGTTTTCATTTTATTTTAATTCAAAATTTTCTAAAATTCAATTACTCTTATTGGAAACTATGTAGTAATAGTAATTTTTAAAAACAAGAAAAATTTTTTCAATTTTATATATGCTTTATTCTTCATTAGGTTTTCAATTTGAATGCATCTAAATGTTAGATATATATTTCTAAAACTTTTGAACAAAATGGCCAATATGCATTAACAGGGTGTCCAATGGGCATGGAAAACCTGGAAATATTAGAGCATTTATCAAATAAGGGAAAAGTCTTGGAAATCTCAAACAATGATATTCAATGAAATTGTTATGAAATTCAAAAAGAACAGAACTGAACTTATGATGCATTAAAAACTGTATATGGTGGTGAGATTTTGTTATGTGTTCATTAACATAAAATATTTGTAGAAGGGCAAGAATTAGTGGAGAATAAGTCAAAGATCTGGATGTTCTTCAGCTTCAGCTGTGGGTGTAATATTGAACATGAACAAACTCTCATTCTTCAAGATTGATAAATAATTAGAAGTTATCATTTTGAAACATTAAAAACATCCAAAAAGCTGTAACCAATGTTGTGTAACAGTGCAATGAAAATAACTTCCAGGGATGCTATGAGACATGGAAAAAGATAGAATAAGTGTTATGTCAGAAGGGTGTTATTTTGAAGGCAGTTTGCACTAAATGTAATAATTTTGAATAATTGATTTGTAAAAATTTATTAATTTATAAAATTTGTCTCATTAGTCAGACCTTGCAATATTAGAAAATATACTGTTAAATTCTTTCCTTAAAGATTTGTAATTTTATATTTTATATTTTGAAGTCAGTATTTTTTCATTTATATTTCATATATAGTATTTACAAAAATATCAAGTAAATGCAAAATTAAAATTTTAATAAACCATAATGTAAATTTTTATCATTACTATAAGTGCAATGTAAATTTATTTTTCTTTTGATACTTATTTATGTACTATTAATACTTTTAAAATTTACAGTCCAGCTTTAACTGCTGCACTTCATGAATTATCTGTACAAATTCCACAACTGAAGAAAGATATCCAAGATGGTCTATTAAAAATGCTATCTTACATTTTAATGCATCGTCCACTTCGTCATCCAGGAATGCCAAAACACATTCAATTTCCCCCACCATCTTCTAGTAAGACATTATAATTTAAATATTTAATTTAATAAATTATTATTTTCTTTGATCTTTTATATTTAACCCTTAACTGGTTTCGTAAATTTTACAATCATAACTGGTATCATGGGGGCTGCGCAGCCCCCAAGCAAAATTTGTTTTTAGAGAGCAAGTTTAACAATGTGACAGTTCAAAACTGCATAAATGCTAAATGGAACCCTTTAGTATAATCAACTTTTATTTATTTATATAATTTTCTTTACTTAATTATTACAAAAGATCACAAAATTGTTACAACTTTTGGTGTATGCTTTTTTTAACAAAACAAAAATCTACCCTATTGTAAGTTTTTACCAAAGATATTTTTTTTTTCTTATTCTTAAGAAAGTAATCTTATAAAAAAGTATCTCTTATAGCCTCTAACTATCATTTGTTAAAAAACCACAGGTAATATAATCACTTCTATTTTTAAGACTCAGGAACATATTAATGCAATTACGTAGTTCAGTCTTGAGAGTTATCACATAGTATTTTTATAGTACTATGCACTTTGCAAATAAATTTCAAACAACTGTTGCACTTAGTAGCATACTTACCATCTTTTTTTCCAGCACAAAATGACAACATACTCTTTTCAGGAGATTTNTTAGGGAGCATCAATTATACACATGTTGGAAAATTTTCTTGGAATGGATATTCTTCAGCAAGGATTGTCACATTATTTGAGCAAATATCGTTTTAAGAATGCTCGAACCAAAGATCTCTGGGATACGTTCACAGAGGTATTTTAAATATTTTTTTTATAACATTATAATGCACACATGTGTTCGGTGGTGCCCTGTACTTTGAATTTAATTTATTTAAAACATGAAATCAATAAATAGAATACGTAAATATTGTATAATAAAATGAAAATTGCATTTACCAGTTAAACATTAGCAACTTTGGCATCTTAAACATGGCAACTAGATCCATTAATCAAAATTTATGAATCTATCAACTGGATAGATTACAATAAAAAAAACACACCTTTAACAAATCCAGCAATGAAATTTACTAAATAATAATGTTTTCGATCAATTTAACTGATCTTCTTTAGTTAAAAAAATGTTATTACTTAGTAAATTTCATTATTCATCTATTTTTATTTTTATTGTGTATTTTATTTCTGTTGTTATTTATTTATTAATCTCAACTACAATTTTGGTTATTTATTTATTTTAGAATTCTTGTTATCATTTATTTTTAAAGTTTTGTATTTACAATCTATTTTCATGTTCTATTTTATCATAACTGAAGATGATCAGTTAAACTGACCAAAAACGTTATTATGTAGTAAATTTCATTCGCTGGATTTGTTAAAAGTGTGTTCTTTTGATGGCGACTAGATTCACCATACATGTACCACTTTAATGCTTTATGTTAACTTCTTTTTTCATCTGAATTGTCAATATTACAGTTTTCCTCTTACTTATTAGATTTCATTCCTATCACACATTTCTTGTATGTCAGGATTAATAAGTTAAAGTGATATTGGATTGAACAAAAAGTTTTTACATATTTTTTAACAACTGTCATTATTTAACACAGAAGTATGATTTAATTATAATGGTCATTAAATTTAGTACATTATTACATTAGCAATAACTAATTTGAGATTGTATTCTTGGTTCAGAAGCTTACACTTCAAATGCACTTTTTACTGCATGTGCAGTTTGAACTCTGAAGCAAATTTTTGTCAAATTTAGCATTCAAATTCTAAAGGGTTTGAAGTTAGAGTTACTTGAAGTGTGAGATACCACTATATTCTAATTCTTAATCAATTAATAAATATTTAAAATATGTGAAAGAAAATTATGCAATATTTTTTTCCTAAATGTTTTTGATTTGTCTGTCTAAAAATATTTTTAAAATTGATTTTCATTTTTATAAAAAATGATTTGTGTTTGAATATTGTTATTTTTTTAAAGTTATGTATGTTTTGTGTATGTTTTAAGAATTTATAATTGGTATGGTATTTTCATGAGGACAAACATGGATTCATAAAAATTTATATCAATTATCAATAAAATAAATCAGTTTTAAATCAACTTTAAGTTTATAATTTGAATATTCATTTGAACTATAAAAAATTACTTAACTTTCTTAATGTTGAAACTCATTATTATTATTGTTATATTAAGATTGGAAGCTATTAAAAAAAGGAGTTTTTAAAAATACACATGAATATGAAATAATGTGTCTCTCTTACAAATGAAAAAATTAGAGCTTATTGTTGATATTAACTTTATTAGTATTTATATTAGAAGTTTTATTATACAGATACTCCTTGTATAACACAGTAGTTACATTCTGAAAAAGTGCTGTGTTATTTGAATCCGTGCTATACAAAACAAAGGACTAATGCAAAACGTAGGATTACATTCCATAAGTTAGCAAAAAAAACTATTATACTATTCTTTTTCATTACTAAGAGAAATATGTTTTATTAAAGCAATTGATAATTTATTTCCAGTCAATAATTAATTAACAATCACAATTAAAAGTACTGTATTATGTGTTAATATTAATTTTAGTTAAATGATGGCATTTTCTTTTTACAAAGTATTGTCGTCATCTCAGCTTTTTTGTTGATCTTGATCAAAAGTATCAGCAAAATTTTCATATTTTTTATTTTTATCATAAAAATTTTTTATGGATGACAAATAAAAATATGTTATTAATTGAAATTTTGTTTTATCAGGTCATATTTTTTCACTCAAGTAACAAGCACCTTTTTTCCAGAATTTGTGTTTGAATACTGAGATACCGCCATATTTCATTCATCATTTTACAAATGATTGCTTACCTACAGTTAAAAAAGTTTAATAGCACTTATCTAAAAATGTTTAAATAAATTTTACTAAATATGAAGATTAATCTATAAAAACAAAACACAGTAGGTCTTAAAGGATAAAATCTGAAAGCAATGACAATGACATCTGGGATAGGAAAGTTAGGACAAGGAAGAAGAAAAAATTCTACTGTTAGTTTGTTAGTTTTCATTAAAGTAAACCTGATGAAAGGCACAAAACAAATTGAAAATTTCAATATTTTAAAATCCATGAGCAAATTTGAGACAACATTCATGCATGCTCACTTGAATAAAAAAAATTAAGCAAATAATGGAGTGTACACTTAAAAATTGGGAAATTTTGTATAGCAGATTCCCAAACCATGTTAGAGTGAAACCGAAAGTTGTGTTGTATGGGGGATATCCCCAATTTTCAAACCATGTTAGAGCAAAACTGTGTTGCAGAAGTACTATGTTGTACGATACCCATATATTATTTAATTGATATAATAATTTTCTACTAAATGTAGTTTTTATTCTTTTTTTTTCATTTCCATATTTTAATCATTTGTTTTTTTTTTATTTGTATTAGCATATTTGCAGTCTTTAATGGAATCCTCAGATGTTGCAAGTATTACTTTGGCTTTAAGGACTTTAGGAAGTTTTGATTTTCAAGGTTAGTTGTTTAAAATCTTTCACTAAATCAAAAGATTGATAAAATTATACTAAATTATATTAATGAATATAAGTAGCTGAATTTAATATTTAGTATTAAGTAATTAAGTATTTAATTAAGTATTTATTAAATTAAGTATTTCTGAATTATTTGTTGCTCAGGCTAAATTATACTATCTGTATAAAACTATATTAAAAAGATTCAATGAAAAGTATTTAGAAAACCAAAATTAAGAAACCTCATTAAGACTAGATTTCTTAAAGGCTTTTTCATTAACCATAGGAAGAAACATGAAAAATTTTAATATAACTATTTTTGAAAAATATGACATCAAAACTTGTTCAATTACAGAAAAGTTATTTTACTGTAAACATTCAAATTATTTCTTTTTTGTGAGGTTTTGATAGCAGTATTATACTTTTGAGATAGGTTAACCTCATATGGATTCTAGAATAGAAAGTGATGAAACTTGTGTTGTGATATGAAATACTTTTTATTTTATTACACAAAATAAAATAAAACAAATGTTAAACATAAATCTATGCATGTTTCAGTTATGAATTATAAGATAGAAACTGTAAAGAAATTAATTTTATACAGATAATTTTTTACTGTGTGTAGAGAGAACTTTGAAGAAAGTTCATCGTTACATTATAACAGTAAATATTTTTTCACAAGATGTGTGCAAGAGTTATATAGTTATATCTAACCTGAGTAATTTTAGTTGATTTGTTCAGTTATTAAAAGAAAGCAGAAGTTATGGAGTTGACCACACAATATTGTTAAAAACTGACCAAAGATCTGGCCAAACTAAAGAGAAAAGATTCTACCACTCTCTTGTCAGTTAATAAATTTTCTATTCTTCTTTGTTTGAAAACAGATGGTGATGATAGAGAAAGTGTTAACTATGTGGAACAGCTTTTTCTGTTTGACAGATGTTCTTAATTAGCTAGATAGTGTTTTTTTAATGAATAAAAGACATTAAAATTTTAAGCTATGGGTTAATAAAAATTATTATTCATATTTTCATATATTTTCAAAATTTCAATTAGTAATATTAATGAATATTACCAATGATAACTAAAATATCATATACAAAAATACAGGTTAATATATTATGATTAAATTCATTAAAATGAAGTAATTATGAATAATTTTTATGAAGAACTTTGGACATCTTTTCGTGACAGCAACATTAGTTTTTTTAATTTAAATATTTTGTGAATTGAAATTATTTTAATTTTTATCATCTAGGTTAGCAAATATCTGTTTTATTTTCAATTATTTTGATATTATGAAACATTTTTATTGGGTAATTATTATAATTGTTAGCTATTTATAAAACTGATTATTAAGATAATTATTTGATAATTATTAAATCAAATTATAGTTAAAAATTTTTTATTTACTATTTTTCATTAGTTTTTAAATATTCTTTATAAAAAGTTTAATCTTTTGTATATATATAATTGATTGATATATATTTAAATAGGAAGATCACTTATGCAGTTCATTAGACATTGTGCTGATACATATTTAAATAGTGAACAACGAGAAATCAGACTAGAAGCAGTAAAGACCTGTTGTCGTCTTTTATCTCCTGCTGTACAAGTATATTTCTTTTCATAATTTATAATGATAAATCAATAAGAGTGGTTTTATAACAAATTAAATCCTTTCTTGTTTGATATATAAATTGCAATTTATTTTTTTTAGTCAATGAAAATTAGTGGAAGATATAGTGCAACATTGATGCATACAGTACAAGATGTTCTTGGAAAATTACTTGTTGTGGGAGTTACTGATGCTGGTAATTTTAATTTAACAAAATTAAACTTTATCAAATTAAATATTTTACAGCTGAAATGATAAAGTTAAAAATAGATTGATAATTAATAGTAATTATCAAGTTTTAAATTCCTTTTTTCTGTAAAACTAACTATAATTTTAGTCTTGCAGTCTTCCTTGATATTTTTTACAAATTCATGTAGGGAAAAAAATATTTATAATTTCTTGGTTTTAAAGAAAATTTTCAAGATGAATTAAGTTACTGGCTAAATAAGTAGAAAATTTTGCAACTTACAATTTTTTATGAAATTCATACAACTGTTAATTAAGGAAACCAAAATTTTTATTTTAGAATGTTCTTGTACATAGTTGAAAACATTTTTCAAATAAATATTATGGTTTCCTTAATTAGCAGATGTATGAATTTCATTAAATACGGTGCCAAATTCCAAAGTTTAAGTTTGCATTTGAAATTTTTATAATTTTATGTCTCAAAGTTTTAGAATCATTACTTATGCTATTCTGGACATATTAAAGCAATTTTCAAAATCAGAACTTATGCAATAAATTCAGTTGTATTCCAATCTAATTTGTTATTATTTTACCTTTGTAATTTTATTTTAAATATATATGTTACTGTGAAAGACCGAAATTAGAGAATGTCGAATTTCTCTGGTGAATGTCGACACATACAAAATACGTCGGTGAATGTCCGAATATTTGGTTATATTATTATACATTCGAACAATCGCTGGTGTATGTCGACNTTATTTTAAATATATATGTTACTGTGAAAGACCGAAATTAGAGAATGTCGAATTTCTCTGGTGAATGTCGACACATACAAAATACGTCGGTGAATGTCCGAATATTTGGTTATATTATTATACATTCGAACAATCGCTGGTGTATGTTGACGAGCACAGATAAGCTTTGGTGGAGGTCGAAACGATATCCGAGAAGCTGATGTCAACAGAGAAGCGATAGTCTGTTGCCAAATCCTTTGTGGGTAGCTGGAGGTAGGACAAGGTCGTATTGTACCTCTTTTCCCGGCAACAGTTTGATGGAAACCGCCCATTTTGTTACTGGATGGCGTTTTTGTTCTTTTGATCCCGTGAGGTGGGGATCAGTTTGTCAGGTCAAGTGGTGGAGAATGAGAGGGATCATCAGTAAGGCGTCGGCAATATCAGAATAAAAGACATCATTAAAAGATCAGTTCGTAATTTGTAAAGAAAAGTTACTTTCCATACATGAGATTTCTTCTCAAGAATTATCACTAAGAGAAGCAGCTGCAGCTAATTCGAAAAATGAAGGGCAAGGCTATACACGCTGTCGTTACAAAAAGAAGTCTTCCACGAATAAATGAAGTTGTAAAAGCAAGAGACTCAAAGTGTCATAACAGTTTAAGTTGTTGCAATAAATAAGATTGTATAATGTTAACCACATAATTTATATGTAAGTTTATTATTGTATTATTTTCTTTAATGATTTAGAATGTACTGTTCGTTTTAGGTTCAACGGTTTATTTACATGTGCTGTTACTTAAGCTTTCTTGTATTTTGACATATTAAAAGTTGCATTTTTGTCTTAACGTAATAAAAATGTTTTTATTCAACAGTCACCATCAGTGCATGCTGAATGTTGACATTTGCCGGTGTAGGTGAGAAATAATGATATTTAGCAAATATTTTGTACATACACGAAACGACTGTGTGAATGCTGACATTAATCGGAGAATCTCGACATTTGCCAGATATCGGTCATTCACAGTAACATATATATTGTTCAAACAGAGAAATCATTATCACTGTTTTTAATGAATTTAAGTACTCTGTAATTAGTTGTTATAAAGAGGAGGTTTTTTTTACTGTTCATTTACAATATATTATGTTTTAATAAAATACATAAAATATCATGTCAGATTATGAAAAGTACAATCTTATTAATTGTAATAATTATTAAAAAAACTTGTTAATTTAAAGAAATCTTAGATAAAAACCTTGAAATTTATTTACCAAATGTTTGAGTGGATCCAGTGCTTCAAAAAATTTTTTGAGCATTCCAATAAGTTTTGCTTGTTGTAAAAAATTATAAACTTGATGATTATTTTTATAACTGAATGCTTTTCAAACTTTTAGAAACAACAGGACATCCTAATAAAAGAAAAAACATATTAAGATATGTAAACTTAGTTTTTTGAAGGAGCATCCAGTATATAGGCATCCATACATTAATATGTATATGAATGTATTTTTAAAAAAAACTAACTTTACATATTTTAATAGATTTGTTTTTATTAAAGGTGTGTTTTTGATTCTATAGATGATAAACATAAGCTTAGTATTTTGTACAAAATGTGTGTAATTTGTTTGAATGTTCTTCAACTCAGCATTTTTTTTTTTTTTTCTTCTTATTTGACTTGTTTTTATGGACAAAACGTTGAAAATTCATATATAATGAAATTTATTTACTTTTTTTTATTTTTTATAAATAGACTCTGATGTTCGTTATTGTGTACTTGCCTCATTGGATGAAAGATTTGATGCACATTTAGCTGAAGCTGAAAATCTTAGTGCGTTATTCATGGCATTAAATGATGAAATATTTGAAATTCGAGAGTTAGCTCTGTGTTCTATTGGTAGACTTAGTAATCTCAATCCTGCATATGTTTTGCCTCCACTTAGAAAAGTTCTGATACAGGTAGCATTTTCTCATATATTCATAAATTTTTATATGAGAATATTTTTTTCTATAATTAAAATATTAAGAAATGTTAACTATTGAAGTAACTTTTTACATTATTTTTAGTCTTAATTTTGTTTTATAATAAAAATTAGCACGTGTATATATATAAATAATGAATAAAATATTCATTTTAAGATTTGTATAAATTTCTTAATTTTAGATATTATTGGAATTGGAACATTCAGGAATAGGAAGAAATAAAGAACAAAGTGCTAAAATGCTTGGACATTTGGTTGCTAATACACCTCGTCTTATTAGACCTTATATGGAACCTGTTTTAAAGGTATAGAGAGTTTATACTAATTAATTATATACATGTAAGAGATACTAGATCTATTTATAACATTTTGTTATTATGTTTTTTAATATGTTTGTACAAGTTTTTTGCTTTTAGTAAAGTATTAAATGCAGGAATTCTCTCATAAATATTACTATAAACTCACTTGGACTTATATGTATTATATTTATTGTATTAGAAATGGCAAAATAAATAAATGAATATTAAGTTAGATGGAAAGATGCTATATTGGTTTGTTATTTTTTTTTATATAAGTGATGATATTTAACAAAAATGACAAAAATATATTAACACAAATTATTTATTGTGACATTGTTACAATGCTGAGCTGCAATTTTTAATAATCTTTTAATTAAAAAAATGAATAACATGACTTCCACTCCAGACTAGAAATTCATATATAGCTAATTTGGGTCTTCTAGCCTAATCTTACCATATCTGGTCTCAATTTTCATCTACCTAACTCTATTCTCAAGATTAATGAAGGACAGACAGATGACAATGGGAATGTATAGGTCTGCAGTTTGAAAATTGCAGTCCAATAAACTAAATAAACATCTTAAATATTTCATACATAATAGATTAATACAAAATTATATATTTTTTAACTTTTCAAAACATTGAATAGAAAGCAGTTTGTAAGCGCACATTGGTTATTGAAAATTTCATTTTATCATAGTTTGATATTTTAATTATATGACAAAACCATAAAGTATTAAGATTAAAAATGTGCATTTGATCAAATTATAAAGAAATAACCTTAAAATTTAAATTATTATTATAAAATAATAACAACAATAATAATAATAAGAAAAATTTAAATATTGTTATCATAACTATACAAATATACTTTATACAAGATATATCTATAATATTTATTTTAATATTCAAATATTAATATATTGATATTAGATATTAACAAACAATAAGCAGCATGACAACTATACTGTTACAAATACATGATTGTCAAATAACAAATGAAGTAAAAATTTTATTTAAACGTTTTAAAAGTAACTTTAATTTTCATAAAGTTGAAATAAAATGAACTAAATATGTTGTTAATCAGGAATTAGCAGAGAGAGACACAGACTATACATGTTGTAGTGGTCAAAGTAGTTTCGTTTAATCAAGGAATTGATATAAAATAAGTCTATACATAACTGTGGGACAAACATCCACATGTGTCAGCAGATTGCAGTCAGAACAAAGGGTCAAAAAACTTTCTATGGTCCTTAGGAAGGTCCCTCTGGTGGCTAAAATGGTTTGTGTTGAGAGTACAGGTAACCCCCGTATAACAGGGCACTTCTATAGCACGGATTCACTCTAACACAGTTCGAGAATTGGTACCATCCCCCGTATAACACGGTACTTTTATAGCATGGATTCACTCTGACACGGTCCGAGAATTGGGTAAAACCCTTGTACAACAGGAAATGAAATAAATTTTTACATACTTAAGTAATAATAGTTCACAAAAATTATTATTTTCATGAACTATTAGTACTTAAGTATGTAAATTTTCTCTTTTAGCCTTCTGTCGATACACATGGTCCTTCTCGAAACTTGTTTCAATGTTGCCACATCGCGACGCTTCTGCTTCTGATGTTGCCGAATGTTTTTCCCTTATTCCATACTTGCTTTATTCTTCATAAGTGCTTAGCACCATATAAGGAAATTTATAAAGACCTTTTAACTAGAAGCAAGCAATCTAAAATTACATACATTTTGCAAAAGGTAAAGCATGGATCTGAAGATAATGCAGAAAAATGCTCAGAGGATAAGGATAACTTGCCAAAAAGAAAACGCTCTCGGTTAATTAATAGTGTTTTTAGTGATGACGAAGAAAACATTGTTTAATTTATATTAATATGTATCACTTAAAAAAATTTTAATGAAGATATTTATCTTAATTATGAAAATATAGTAGCATGTTTTTTAATTTTTGGAACCTAACCATCCTTTTCGTATTAGTTCTTTGTTTCGTATAACACGGATTCGCATAACACGGCAATTTTTTGGAACATAACTACCGTGTTATACGGGGGTTACCTGTACCAACAAAATAATCATTCCTTTTGGATTCATTTTCTAATGTAAAAAAGTTTAGTAAAAAATTGCATCTATTCTTCAATGTTAAATTGTTATAGCTAGTATATATAAAATTTTAAATGAAAACAGGTTCATACCTTTAGATTTCAAATATCAGAAAGTCTGGAATTAACTTTGAAATGTTATATTTTTAGATGTAAAATTACATATTTTAGTTATTACATGTTTTCTAAGATTACAATTAAATATAAGAATGTATGATATAAAAGTTTTCAGTATATTATTTAAAATTTAAAGTTATACAATTAAAAATTAGAGGTAACAAATTTTTTAGAAAATAGCATAATCTGAAACCCAAAAAGTATTAGTGGTATCTATCCATTTTTTTACAATTCTTGTCTAACAATTATTCAAAATTTTTCAGTTTCTTTAATACTCAGATTCTTGAATTTATTTCTGAATTATCTACTTTGTTATTAACTAAAAATTAAGTTATTGTTTTTATAAATAATTTTACAGTTTTTTTATTATTTTTTAGTTGCATGTTTTTATTATATATAAACATGTCTGGTTAATACATTACTAATAATTATCTGATGAAAATGTTTTTGATTTATACTTAATATCATTTAACATTCAATATCTCAATATATTTGAAACTATATTTTTAAATCATCAAAGGAAAAAATTTTTAATTTTACTCCTTTGAAGTTACAGTAGAGCATCAATTATTTGATCCCCGATCAACCGTCACATCGGTTAACCGACCTCATTTTAGTCGGCAAATTCAAATGCCTGCTAGTGATGTGGTGCTACAATGTTTGACTATGTCTTGGCTGCTTTAATATTATTTTTGTTAAATTTTTGCATGTTTTAGCTGGCAACACTAGCTCAACCATGAAAGGGAAGCCAGTATTTAAATGAGGCTTAATTTTCTAATTATGAGTGGTGGTTTGTTTTGTGTGGATTTTTCTGAGGACTGTGTGTCATGCTGAATCGGAATCCGTTTTTATTGGAGATATAAATTTTGGACTTCTTTTTCTAATGTATAGGCCTACTTTATGTAAAATATGTAACCCAAATACTGTATATTTTTTTTGTTTTATATTTTTCAATATACAATACAGTACTGTATTTATTTTGTGCGAGATAAAGAAATAATTTTTAATGATACAATTGCAACGATTATTATTTTAAAAAAATTTTGTTAGGCTTAACATCAACGAAAATTCAATGCGAAGTAGGTTAATAGCAATATACTAATATACTAATTACATGGGATATACTAATATACTATACTAATAATGTATTTTTTCATACTTTTCAGTTATCCGTTTTTTCAGTTATCTGACCAACCCCAGTCCCCAGTCGAGTCAGATAATTGATGCTCTACTGCAATGGTTCCCAATTAGTGGTACGCGTACCCCTGGGGGTACGCGAAATTGCATGAAGGGGTATGCGCGGCAATCTAAAATCGGTCGATTTAAAATTTAAATGTATGAGATGAAGCAATAAAAAAAATAATGGATGGACCATCAAAAATTTGGCAATTTACAACATGATGTCGAATGCACAAATTTGTTTATTTATAACTAAAAATATTCTTGAAATTTCATCAAAAAATGCATTTGCGACAATACCTAAATGAAATTCTTACACAAGAAACAAAAATTGTACAATTAACACAATTTATTTTCACGAAATTAATTTTGAAAATTTTTGTCGCTGTTGTGAATAACTCCATCTATTTAATTCCTCTTGGTCAGAGATGGGAAGATGGTCACCTTCCCATCTCTGACCAAGAGGAGTTAAAAGACATTTCATGCAACAGCAGAATCAAGAGTTGTTTTGCAGAGCAATCACTGAGTAATTTTTGGGCTAACCTAAAAGACATTTATCATGTCAGCGAAGCGGCAATAAAATATTTACTACCATTTTGCACAACATATTTCTGCGAGAGCAGATTTTCGGCCATGACAAACATGAAAGCTAAACATCATCATTGACTTCAACTCAAAGATGACTTGAGACTGAAGCTGACAAAAAAGCAACCAGATTTTACAAAGTTGTGTAAAGAAAATCGTGGACATTTGTCACATTAAAATTAAATAACCTTCTGTTATTTTCATTATTATTAGAATTGTATTTTAAAGGTAGTAAATGTAAAAAAACTTATTCTATTTATCACTAGCTGTCTATCACTACCCACAGCTTCGCCCGCATTATATCAAATTTTCTCGTGGAAGTAAGATATTTGCTCGCAGTAAAATATAGCCTATGTCCATCTCCAACATGTAAGCTATCTCTGTGTCAAATTTTATTAAAACCTGTTCAGCAGTTTAGACGTGAAAAGGTAACAGACAGACAGAATTACTTTCGAATTTATAATATTAGTATAGATTAATATGAATTTCTGCTATAAGGGGTACGTGAGTTTGAGCTCTTTCTTGAAGTGGTATGCAGGAAAAAGTAATTGGGAACCACTGCTCTACTGTATTATTGAAGATTGAAACTTTAAGAATCCTTAAAGTTTCAATCTTCTAATAAGATTAAATATATCTTGCTTTTCCCTTAGAACATTGTTTAATTCTCAAATTTTTAAAAATGATTTTTTTTTCTTTCTCTCTCTTCTAATGCTTGATTATGATTAACTAAAGTTTAAAAAAGTAGTTGAACATATTCATAAAAAAGGTAGTTATTTCAATTAAATATGTAAATTGTGGTTTATAGTAGTTATTTCAATTATCTGAATTTTTTTATTGTATTTTAAATGTGCAGATTTTCCTTATTTTGAAGTTATGATATATTGGTATGAACACACAGATAACACAAGAAAATAAATATATTTAATTAAAATATTAATGTGTAAAATATATTAAGAAAATTAATATATTTATAATTTTTATAGTTAATTAAAATTAAAACCTTCATTTATATAATCTTAGGTTTTAATTCCAAAATTAAAAGATCCAGATCCAAATCCTAGTGTTGTGATAAGTGTCTTGGCTGCTGTAGGTGAACAAGCTCAGGTAAAGACAAAATATTATTATTAATGAATTTATTTTTATTTACTAAATTAAAAATTTAAGTAATTATATTTTAATGATTTTTTTAGACTATAAAAATCTGAATTTGATGATTTTTCAACAGTGTTTGATTGTGCAAAAATAATAATAATGATGCTATATAATCTGTTTTTAGATTAATAAATACAGTAGTCCCTTGTTATATCATGCTTGTTGGGAGACAAAGAAAAAGCATGATATAACGGAGTACTAAAAATTCTGGGCATTTACTAAACAGATTATACATGCTTTGGAATTTTTATATGCTATTCTTTCATCCGCAAGTGTTTCTGATACAAAATAAGCTTAGTTTTGCTATACTGAATTTTATTTGTGGTTATATTGTATTAAATGATGTTTACATAAACATTGATATAATGAACATTCATTTAGCATTAGTATTTCTTTAACAATGATGCCTACCTCTAATGTCAAATTACTTAGTTCCAATCATTTAAAATAGCCATATTATAGCCCGATAAATTAGGCGATCGTTTGGTGTTGTTTTAACAATGACATTTAAAGACAAATACTGTTGATATAAAAACAAAATATTAGTTGTGATTTTATTATACAATACTATATTTCTTAATTGCTTATTAAAAATTTGTGTAATTTCTATTTGTCAATAGAAATTATAAATACAGTAATTGAAAATTTAATAAATGAATATTAAACATATAATAGAACATTGAAACTTATGAAATTACAGAGTAAAAATTCTCTAAAATGCAAAATAAAGTTACTACTGTGTAAAAATTTTAGAACTTTCTGTTCAGAAATAAAGAACTGTTTTCCTTACACAACATGCAGTGAATTTGAAATTTCACTTTGAATTGAGATATACAGTGGTACCTCGGTATACGTCTGCTTTAGAACACATCAAATTCGGAATATGTCCTGTTTGGACGAAACAGATTTTGCTCGGTATACAACTTTTGTTTGGTATACGACTTAATTCAATTATACGCGCCATCTATGAACAAGTAGCACTATCGGTATACTAGACCAGACTAGATGTTCGCAGTGCCACAGTTTATAACTTTGTTAAATTTCTTCTGATTTTAATTTGTAAGTAAAATTTTATTATTTTTATTAATCATGAATTGCAAAAAGGGAAATGAAAAGCAACAGAAAACTAAAAAAATGACTAGAATTACAATGGAACTGAAAAAAGAGATTTTGAGAAATATGAAGGTGGCATGAGTGTTCGAGATTTTAACTGTTGCATACCATATTCCGAGAATGACAATATCGACAATCGTGAAAAATGAAGACATTATTAAATCTGCTAACGTTGCGAAAGAGGTTAAAACAATTTCTAAACAGAGATCGAAGACATTAGATTATGTTGAGAAATTGCGTTTGCTTTGGATAGCTGAAAAACAGTGTGCTAGAGACAGTGTATCACAACCATTTAGTTGCGAGAAAGCTAAAAAGATACATGCTGATCTCATGAAAAATTAAGCAGGAACTAGCCAGGAAAGCGAGGTGTTTCAAGCTAGCCATTTTTTTAACATGAGAATGGAATAATTATTTTTACATTACTTCTTATGGGAAAGGTTGGTTCGGTATAAGTCCAAACACGAGGAACGGATTAAGGTCGTATACCGAGGTTCCACTGTACCTCAATTCAAAGTGAATACAATACCTCAATTCACACAAAGGTGTGAAGCTATGAATTCACAGAAACTTGTAAATAAGGAGACAGAACTTAAAACAAATAAATAAACAAGTTTTAACACCAAATGGAAACATAAATGATAATTAACCTGTCCACCTGTTTTGCTTATTTATTAATCTTGATGAATTTATTCTTTCACCTGCAGTGGTAATTTCAAGGACAATGATAGGAATAAAGTACAATATTTTGTTGCAAAAATAAACTCAGTGGCAATTGATAGTTTAAAATTTATTGACTCAAGTGCTTTTAAAATTTGGAAGACCAGAATAAAGTGCGATATATCTGAATTCACAATACAATGAGGACTACTGTATTTAAACTTTAATCTTATTTCAAAATTATTCAAGATGCATTCTTTTTATAACTTCTTAGTATAAAATTTTAGGAATAAAAATATTCTTATATATAAATTATCCTTCCACGTTATTGAAATTAAAAAAAAATTTTTAAGATTATCTCAGGTTTCGATTATTGGCAGAACAAAATTTTTTTAATTGAAACACTAGCACTCCAAATTTTTGAAAAGATATTTTAGATATTTGGCATGTATCCAGAACTTTGTAATAATGATACTGACATCCTTAAAGTTTCAATCTTCTAATAAGATTAAATATATCTTGCTTTTCCCTTAGAACATTGTTTAATTCTCAAATTTTTAAAAATGATTTTTTTTCTTTCTCTCTCTTCTAATGCTTGATTATGATTAACTAAAGTTTAAAAAAGTACTTGAACATATTCATAAGTGTTTAATTTAATTAAACTTAATGCTTATTCAATGTTATATTTATATATTGTATGCTTTTTCTAATTATTTAGGCTTAATCTGGATACAATTTGCAATTTAATTTACATAAATTGTTATTTACTGTAATAAATTTAAATAATTTCTATTTATACTGGTAAAAACACAAAATAATACATTTTTATAAATAGATATTGTTTTTTTTAATATATTTTAATTACTTAGTTTTTTAATTGTATTTGACTTCAGATAATATTTCACAAAATAAACTATTAATATATTTTTTCTTTTGTTAATGTTGTTTACTTATATTTTTTTATTAAATCAGACTTTGGTTGCTAATTACGTATAAAATATCAAATACTGTACTCGATTAATAAAATTAAGTAAATATATTAGAAGAAATTGCATCTTTTATTTTGATTTGTAGTTTTTCTATTTTTTTATTAGCTAAGTTCTATTTTAATAACTTGCATTTATAATAAAAAGTAAATTAAAATTCAATGTATTTTTTTGATATTTGATAATAGGTTAGTGGAAGAGAAATGAGAAAATGGATGGATGAATTGCTTCCAATTATTATAGATATGTTACAAGATTCTTCTTCACTTCCAAGACGTGAGGTATTATTATTATTATTACATATTATAATATATNTTTTTTTAATTTTGTATTGATAATTCAAATGGATGTGCTTTGACTATGATTAAATTTAAAGTTTTTAAAAAACTTTTTATAATTTTTGTAGGTAGCATTATGGACTCTGGGACAGTTAGTTGAAAGTACTGGATATGTTGTTGAACCATATGGCAAATACCCAAATTTATTAGAAGTTATATTAAGTTTTTTGAAAACAGAACAGTCTCCTGGTATTAGAAGAGAAGTAAGTTTAAAGTTTTGATTTGATGGAAATTGAATGTTAATATAATTTTAGATTTCATTGAACCATATGTTATCGAAATTTGTAAAGTGAATTTTGAATGTATTAATTCCAAAATTTGCTTTATTTTTTATTTTGACTAATATATGGAACAAGTATCATAATCAATAGAAAATTAATTGTGAGACTTGTTCCATATATTAGTTGAGATAGAAAATTGATATTGCTATGAAAATAAATTAAACAAGATAATTAAAAATTATACTGACTTTATAAATTTTTGCATGTACTTTTATATAATTAACAATATGAATGTATGTCTGTCAGTCTGTCTGTCTGTATGTCCTTCATGCATTACCACACTGTTTATCCGATTGCCATGAAACTTTGGGAAGTTGTTTAATATACTTCTGCGAAGGTTTCTGGCATAGTACGATTGCCATGAAACTTTGGGAAGTTTTTATTACACTCCCACGAAGGTTTCTGGCATAGTAAATTTATCCTATGATAGATGTCATGAGTGTATACGAGCATCGTGAGTTCGATCGATTTCAAATTGTGAAGACTATTTCCCCCTCCAAAAAGTATCTCTATATATGCATTTGTGAACTGTTATTTATGATATTTGTAATAATTTTTGTTTAATCACTTTATTTCAACTTTTTTTTGCTAATTATGTATTCGCTTGAACTTTGTTAAAACCTTAACTGTANAAATCAGAATACTGCAGATTAAGTTTCTAAATTTAAAACTATTATTTATCTCAAATTAATATTAATTTATAGTTATGCAGTAATCTATATATATAAAAATGAATGTATGTGTGTCTGTCCTTCATGCATTACCACACCGTTTATCAGATTGCCATGAAACTTTGGGAAGTTGTTTAATATACTCCCGCGAAGGTTTCTGGCATAGTACGATTGCCATTAAGCTTTGGGAAGTTTTTAATGCGAAGGTTTCTGGCATAGTACATCTATCCTACGATAGATGGCGCGAGGTGTATACGAGAATTTCACTGTGTGTTCGATTGATTTCAAATTGCGAAGACCATTTCCCCCCTCCAAAAAATATCTCTATATATGCATTTGTAAACTGTTATTTACGATATTTGTAATAATTTCTGTTTAATCACTTTATTTCAACTTTTTTTTTGCTAATTACGTATTCGCTCAAACTTCGTTAAAACCTTAACTGTATCCCGAAACAACAACCGAAGTTGTAGGAAGAAATTCGCCTATTTTACCGATCTAGGTATCCCCCTTTTCAAATTTTAATATAGACTCAAAATAATTTAAAAAGACAAATTACAATAAAACGGTTTATCCAACTATCAGAAAGGAAGAGAGGAAGGAGCAATTAAATAATCAAAATTATAAAGGATTAAAAAATATATATAAAAATGGGGAATATCGCACTTTTAACAATCTCTGCGAGTATGTGGGCTAAATTTAAAGAATCCGTGCTTCTCGCATGTACAACTGTATGTGTCGGAAAACCTGATTTATTCGTGTACGCATCAGACGGAAAAACAAAAAATATTGTGTATCCACAAGCACTCCAATAAATAAATAGAACTGAAACGACACTTTGAAATGTTTTCCCAACGAAAATGAATAATAATAATAATAATAAGTTTCAATAAAAATGATAAAATGTAAATTGAATTTTATCATAACGAGTTTGCTTGAATTTCGTTTCTTCTGAGATTGCAGCAATGCACGACGGGTAAGCTAGTTTGACATAAAACATAAAAAGGATTTTTTTTCTATGTTTAGAAAATTATCAGAAATAAGTTTTTTTAAGTTTTATGTATTTGATGATAATATATTTTGAGATCTTAAACGGATATTTATTTTAAATTATAAGGTATTGTTATGATGTAAGCAACTTAATTACATTTGGGATAACATTAAAGATAAATTTTTCATCTAAAGACTGAGTCAGTAATGTAATTTTAGTTTATTAACAACAAATTTTTTATTTCATTTAAAAAATTATTATGGAAAAACTATTGAATAAAATTTCAAATAGTTTTTAATCATGATTTCAAATTTATCAATGTTAATTATAATTACAAACTATGCGGACTATCAAAACATTAATCTGTTATCCTTGGGTCTATCTGAAATATGTATATATAATATAGAAACACACATACACTATATGTAGTGTATTAACAATATGCATTTTTAAAACAATAGGTATAATTTAAAGGTATGATTTAAAGGTATGATATAAACAATAGGTATGATTTAAAGAATGCTAACATTTTTGACTTATATCACAGACCATCTTCAGGTGAGTGAAACTTTCACAGGGATAGATGAGAGGAAGTCACCCTGGCATGATTGCATGTAGGACACAGTTGCCTCATGCATCATTACTTTGTGAGGGGTGAAGATCCACCCAAATATTTTTTATGCCAATACACAAAAAGGCATTAGTATGAAGAGTATTCAGGTGCTCTAAAGCATATTTTAACTGCATGTCAGATTTTTACCAGATTAAGTTTGCAATATTTTAATCAGTCTAATCTTAATTTTTTAGTCTTTATTGGCAAAGATTTTTCTTTATGCTTTGAAACAGAAAAGTGACATCAGTTTTCTGTTTCAGGAGTATTTTATACTGATGTGGAAACTAACCTTAATTGTACTTCTTGCATTGCAAACAAACAGTTTAGCGATAGAATGTAAATAAAATGTGTGTGGAACCCAAAGCTGATTTTAAAATTTTATTTCTAAAATTAACTTTGAATAGCATTTTCATTTGTTCCTATTGAAAAATATTGATTTTATATATTTTAATTGATCAACTTACCATGCCAATATCTAATTATTAGATCACAGTTCTCCAACATTGTATCTTTGTAGAAAATCATTGAATAAAGCTAATTTTAGAAGAATCATAAAAATATGATAAATATTTATTGATTTTATGATTTTCATGAAGAATTGTTGAATATTATTATTATTGTTGTTATTTGTGATATTTTTTATATTAAAAGTAGTCTTTCTCTTTAATTGATCACATGATTATGATATACATTGTAATTAAAATATACAGTTTATGAAAACAGCAATTTCATTGTATTTTTAAAATTTTATTAAAAGTGTACTTAAAATTTTTGTACATTTAAATTTGAATTTATTTTTTAAAAATGCTTAGAAATTTTAAGTTCAAAAATTTTTGCATTATATCACATTAAATTAAAATTTTAAAATAATATTTTTTAGGCTATACGAGTATTGGGATTATTAGGTGCCTTAGATCCTTATAAGCATAAAGTAAATTTAGGAGTTATAGATCATTCTGGTGAATCTGGAGGTGTTCTTAGTATGAGTGATTCTAACCAAGATAATCAAGGTAAACTGCATTATATTGAAAGTTTACAGTTATTATTTTTGCATTAAAATTTAAAAATTTAAATTTACTTTTTAAATCTATGCTTAGAAATTTTAACAATTTAAGAATTTTTGCATTAAATCACATTAAAATTTTTCAGTTTTTATTTTAGAATCTTAATTTTGTGTGATTATATGAAATATTGTTAAAAATAAACTTATAGTTAAGTACAGAAAGAAAACTTCTTATTTAATAATTTGAGATCCATCACTCTCACAACATCATTTTAAATTAGAAATAATAATTAAAATTAAATGTTTTGTAAATTTATAAACATCTCAAAGACTGATTTTTTAAAAAAAATTATATATATAATAAGCCAAACAGTCACTGTAATATGATTCATTATTGCAATCACTTGGCTTATTATTAATTTATTGATTGATTTAATTTTTATTATTGTATTGTCTTCTTAATATCACTAAATTATTATAAGAAAAATTTAAGGTTTTAGGTAAAAATGTTTTTTATATATACTGTATTATTGAAAAATTATAATTGATATGAATAAATTTAATATTTACATTTATACAGTAGAGCGTCATTTATCCGAAAGTTGGTCATCCGAAACGTCAGTTATCTGAAAGAATTCCAGTTGGCAAATTTAAATTTTTGCTGTGCTGTGGCGCTGCAATCTTTGGCTACATCTTGGGCTACTCCAATATTTTTTATGCTTGTATATGTGTTTTAGTTGGAAGCACTGGCACTTTTGTGTGATGTTTTTCTGAGGACTGTGTGTCGTGCTGAATCGAATGTTTTTGATACTAGATTAACTTCTAAAGTATAATTTTTTTTTGGTTTTTTTGTTTTTCAATAAATTTATTTCATTTGTAAAAAATAAAGAAATAATTTTTAACGATACAATAGACACGATTATTATTTTAAAAAGTTTACATTACACTTAACATTGACGAAAATTCAACGCGAAGCGACACACAACGGAGAAAAATTTCAACGTGGGATAGGTTAATATATTTTTCCTACATAATCGGTTATCCGAAAAATAAGTTATCCGAATAACCTCAATCCCCAATTGATTCGGATAAACGACGCTCTACTGTATTCTATAAAAGCAAAAGTTAATCTTTTCCTCCTTTAAATAGTGATATAATAATTGTAAATCAGTTATTAAAATTTTATTTGAAGAACTGTTAAATAATTTTAAAAAATAAACAGATTAATTTGTTTTAAACTATAATTTTGTTATTTGCATTTATTTAACTTTTCTTCTTCTTGTCAGTCAGTATTTAATTTTTGACTTAATAGTTTTATTTTAAAATTATTTTATCTTACATTGTTTAATAAAAAATATAAAAAAATAAATTTAATTTATATTTCAGCATATTTTCAAAGAATTCAACCTATAATAATTTTAATTCCTTTTTTATAAATGGATTCCAATATTTTTATAAAAAAAAAAAATTATTAGGCCAAACAAATTCATATGATATTCTGAATATGTATTTGTTATTTTATTGGAAAACTTAATAATAATTAATTAATATTCTGGAAATTGAATTTATTTATTTATTATTATTTTTATTTTTTATTTTTTAGAATTGAATGCTAGTGAAATGTTAGTAAATATGACTGGATCCTTAGATGAATTTTATCCAGCAATTGCTATTGGTACTCTGATGCGAATAATTCGAGATCCATCACTCTCACAACATCATACTATGGTTGTTCAAGCAATAACATTTATTTTTAAAAGTTTAGGAATTCGTTGTGTACCTTATGTTCAACATGTAATGCCTTCATTCATAAGTGTTATTCGTACTTCTGACACTACAGTTAGAGAGGTAAAATTTAAAATGTTAAATATGTAGAAATTAGTTACGTAATTATATTTTAAAATTTAACCAACTGTTTTTAATATTGATTTTAATGCATTTATAATATGAGAATTTTACTTTTGATTTTATACATTATTAGTTCTTATATTTTGTTCAAAAATTATAAGTATCAATAGTAAACCATTTACATTTTGATGAATTTACAATATTTATTTTGTATTTTTTATCTTATAAAGCTTATTGTTGTATTGTCATATTGATTTTTTGGAGGAAAAATATTCTTTCACAGTATAAGATGCATTATAATTTTCAGATAAATTTTAGGTACAAAAAAATATGTCTTATAAAGAAAAAAAAATAGTAAATACATTTAGTTCAACTTACTGTTATAGACATAATTCAGAACTCAAATTCAGAATAAGTAGTCTTTTCTTAAAATTTTTATGATGTAGTTAATAAAAACTGAGTGATTTAATTCTATATTCAGTTTGTTTATGAATCTTAAATTATATTAAATACATTAAGTGACTTTTGTTAATATTTTATTAAGTATATTTTTAGAAACACAATTTTACAAGAGATGTACTTCTTTTACTTCTAAAAATAATTATTATATTTTAGAAAAAAAATTACATAAAGGATTATATATTATTAATGACATTAAAAAAACTTAAGGGCAACAGTTACTAATATATTTATAAAGTCTCTCCCATTAACAGTGCTGGATGTAAATTGCATATTATTGGTGTTTTGTGTGGCTAATGACCTTGAAAATGTCATTGATTATTGGTGTTTGGGACATACTTTTACAATAATAATTTCCAGGCTGTGTCATCTCATGCTGGCCACAGAAGTTGTGCAATCTTTTTTCTGTGAGAGTTTTCAAATCTCATATCAATGCTACAACCCACAAACAATTCCTGACCTCAAGACAGAGATTCACTGTGTCATTGGTGAAATTGAGTTGAATCATGCAGTCGTATAGTAAGCAATTTTGTGTGAGGAGTGTTTGCCTCCGAAGTCATAGGAACATTCGGTGGACACTGTCTTCTATACATAAATTTCTTAGCATTGAAATGGATTATAATGTTACTTTATACTAAAATAAAAATATCCACAGTTGTTCAATAAATGATGCATTTTATTCCACAATTAAATCCAACGCTGCTGTTGGGACACACTATATATTAACAGTTATCATCATTATCAAGTAGTAACTAAGGAAATTTTAATATATTAATTTCATGTTTTATATTTTAATTTTTTGAGAAAGAAAATATTCTATTATAATTATTATTTTGTCTTCTTTCAGTTTCTGTTTCAGCAATTGGGTCATTTAATATATATTGTTAAACAACATATTAGAAACTATTTGGATGATGTGTTTGATCTAATAAAAGTAAGTAAAGAAAATTTTTTTCCAGTTTATATAATATAATAAGTTTATTTAATAATACTGATTTTAAGCTATATTTATAATACTAATTTTCATTAATTTTAAATTAAAAATGAGACTTCAGCTGAAATCATTTAGAATAAAACTTTTTAATGTAGATGATTGTTTACATTTCTACAATTTGTTGTTTCATGTTATACTATATGTAATATTTATTATTAATAACATTCGATCATATAAATAATTTCTCATAATAGATGAGGAACTGAATTAATTATTTTCAGTCTATTCATAATTCAATAGAATAAATAAAGTTTAAAAGTAAAATAACTACCATAATTTATTATTATAAATATTTTATTTGTACTAAGATAAGCCTTGTTACAGAGGGTTATTACATGAGTGATTTATAAATTTACAACAGTTGGTCAACAATTATTCCAATTCACCTTATTTTTCTTGAATATAATAAATAAAATTACATTAAAATATACAGTAATTCATATAAATTTTTGTTTACATTTAAATATTTTGTTTTGTTTAGCTAGATATATGATTAACAATATTTTATATCAATTAATTTTATAATTATTTAACTCATTAGTTATTTGATTAAAGAAGTTATTTATTCTGTACATTTGATTTATTATTAGATTATTTAATTTAGCTCTATAATCTTGATTTTGATTCATGTGTATTATTTCCATGATATCATATTTTTCATGTTATTTTGCAAATCTATTGCAATCTTTTAAAAGATGGATCAATGAATATTCTTCAGAGCTACACCAGTAACATTGGTCCTTAGTAAAGTCCATATAGGTATTATTAATAAACAATGAATATTTATTAAGTCTAATTTGAATTAATAGTCTTTTTATATTCATATTAGTATTTGCAGTTATAATATTTGAAATTGAGGGAATATTTAAAGTATTTATATACCATGGATGGTAAGAAGATTGAGTTAAAAGGTTTTGATTCTTAATTACAGATTGAGAGAAAGCAGATTCCATCATTAATTTATATCTATATTTCCAGTCTGCTTCCAACTTATCAAATATTTTACTTGAAATTCCAAATGTTTGCAATAAATTATTGAATTTATTCTGCCACAGATTTTTATTATTCTTTGAGTCATTATTCTGTTTTAACATAATTTGATGTATAAATCTGATATTGTCTTCATTAGTAGTTTTTTAATCTAACTACCATAATTAATTTCATAAATACCATAATTAAATATGACTATAGTATATTGGAGTATACTATATTGGATATGGAGTATAGTATATTGGAGTATAATATATTGGAGTATAGTATATTGGAGTATAGAGATTCATAAGATATATTTTCATATTTCTAGTTGAAAATATATTAGCAGTTATTATCATATTAACTATTAATCGTCAAATAGCTTAGTTGCTATATAGTAAAGTTTTAATATTATTTGACTTCTGTTTTTGAAAAGAAGACAAGCTATTTAACGTAACATTTCTTTGATCTCTCAAAATGCTACTGAATGACTTTTGTATGACAACAAGTTTTAAAGTTTTCTAACACATAGTAAATAATCAATAATTTAAACTATTGATATTGATATATTCATCTGTATTTTAGAAAAAACAATGGTCATTCAGATTCATAAATTATATATTTTTTAAAAGATCAAACTGCTAAGTTTAAGGAACCAAAAATAATTTTATTATTTGGTAATGTTTTCAACCATAAAATGGTTGAAAACATTACTGAATAAAATAAATGAAGAACATAAATTTAAAATTGTTTCATTAAGTTCAGAGAGTAATTACTATAGAACATAAATTAAAACAAAAATTTTTTATGACAAATTATTTAAAAAGTATTTTTAACTTACATTAGAAGTAACATTATGAAATTTAAAAAATTTACTAGAAAACTATTTTAAATTTTAACAAGAACAAATTAATTTCATAATTAAGAAATTTTTGTAAGGGGCTGTCCATAAATTACGTAAGGGGGATTTCGGCCATTCTAGACCCCACCCACTCCTGTGTAAGAAACCGTAATATTTTCTTTGATCCCCCCCTTCCCTATCTTACATAATATTTTGAAGGGTTTTTATAAAGTTTTTAATCAAAAAATTCTTTTTATAATCTTTAAAAACCTTAGGTCCAAAATATATAATTATTAATTAGTTAATTAATATGTTCTATTATTTATAAAAGACTTTAGGTGATCAAATTTAAAAATATAAGAATTTAATAAATTCAAATGAACAATTTATTTTAAGAACTTTATTTTTTAATTATTAACAATATTACTATTATTATTATTATTATCATTAATCAACGTCAAAATATTTATTTTTATATTAATTTTAATTTTCACAAAAGACGCAAAAAACTTTGCCAGATCGACTAGTTAGTGCACGTGTAAACAGAAAAGTCATACAAAATAAAACAAGAGAGAATAGAGAGAAACCACATTTCGTTGCCATATTGATTACATCTTGTCTAAGGCCAAGAAAATAAACTACATGCTGCTAAAATGTGATAGGTGCACCTGGGGACTAAATAATAAAGCTTATAAAACTCTATATGATGGGGCAATACAACCAATGCTATTTTACGCAGCCTCTGGCTGTGGTCATGTAACTAGTAAAAATTCAGTAGCAAGTAAATTACTCTCTCTTCAAAGCCAGTTTGCCATCAGAATTTCAAAGTACTGCAGAACTGTTTTTACTAATGCCTCTCTGATACTAGTAGAGCTCCTTCCTTTGCCACAACGTATTGTAGAAAAGGTTCTAAACTACTACATTAGAACTACAAACGTCAAGGCTCAACAATGGTCTCTACTCCTATCTACGGCTGTTCATATGCTACCACATTGCAATTACCCTACTATCTCTGATCATCATTCTGTAAATAAGGTTATTTGGTGTCATCTGCTTCCTCCATGGATAATCTTGCAGGCATCAATATCTACACAGATGGGTCCAAAAGCTCCCTATTTGTCAGCTCAAGTATCTCTATCTTCCTCCAAACTTACATATTTTGCCAAAAATATGTTAGAAGGTACAGATACCTCCCATGTACCTCCATCTATTAAGCTGAACAAGATGCTGACTACCAAGCAAAACTCTGTCTATCAACATTTATAGTGATTCTGTCTGTCGTGAAAGCTCTATTAAATCCCAATTGCAATAGGAATATAATCGCATATATCCAGCACCATATTAAAAATCTTGTAAATAAGATAATTTTTATATTTGTTCCTGGCCATACTGGTGTACTAGAAAATGAAAATGCCAACATTGAGGCTGTCAGCTGAAAAGGAAACTGACTTGGTCTACACTCGCGTTCCTCTCTCACATAGCAGCCTTAAAAATTATGTTCATGACAACACTATGCAAAAGTGGAATCAGTAAAAGTAGTTGAGCAGTAAAACTTGTAGAATAACAAGACTTTATTTTCCTAGTGTTGAATTTAGGTTCTCATCACTACTTAGCGATTTAACGTTTGCTACTGCTCAACTACTTACTGAGCATGGTAATTTTAGAAGCTACCTGGAGATGTATAACCAGGCAGAAACTGCTTCTTGCTTTTGCTCTACAAAAAACCTAGACACCGTCGACCATGTGATCTATCATTGTCCAATTTACAATCAACATACACTTATTCTGAAATTAGAAATCTTGGCCACTTGAAACCAAGCATAATGTCCACTCAATAAGCTTGTTCAGAAGCCACTGTTTGATGCTTTTTACAATTATGTTCAAAAAATATGGAAGAAAAGACTATTTATAATTTATAATTTCTAGTTTTACATTTTAGTTTTCACTAAAATCTGAATACTAATTTTATGTTTACTTTGTATCGTGTATTTTGGTTTATGTATTCTTAGTGTTAAACATCCATAGGAGTGGTGCACTTATTCTAATAAAAAACAAGAGAAAGAAACCCACCACATGGACTTTCTCCCATGACAAAAAATGTGGAGCGTGAATCTGCTAGCATTATTACTCTATCACATCACACGAGACAACGAGCATTCTTAATAGAAACTGCCAAATTGAAGCCAAATTCAAAACGCCATCACTCAACGAGATCAAAAAATAAAAAAAGAATATTACGTAAGACGAGATCTATTACCCCCTACCCCTGAGTAAGAAATCGTAAGAAATCCTTGACCCCCACCCACCCCAAAATACCTTATGTAATTTATGGACGGCCCCAAACCACTTTATGCTTGCTGAGAAATATTTATATATATCATCAAAAAAGTTTTCAACCTAAATTCTTAGGTCATCTTCAGTTGTGATACTGTATCTGAACAGTTTTTAAGTGGGTCATTTCATGATGGAACATTCAAAACACATAATTTAAACATATAAATTTAAAATAAAGAATATAGAAATGTAAAATGAAACAAGCAATTATTTATTGTGACATCATCACAATGCCAGGTTGCAATTTTTAATCATATTTTTAATTTCTTTAATTTAAAACATTTTCTCTCCACCTCAAATTAGTAGTGGCTTGCTCCTGTACATCATACTTTTCTTTTAATAACATAGTTGTGCTGGTCATCTATCTAACACCTTTTAGGAGAACATTTTTGAACTGAAATAACATGATTTATTGTTTGCATCAGAAGTTCATATATAGTTTATTGGGACCTCCTCCCCCTACTCTTTCCATATCTGATCTCATCTTTCATCTATTCAATGTCCCATTTAAAAACTGTTTAGATACAGTATCACAACTGAAAATAACATAGAGAATTTAGGTTGAAAACGTTTTTGATGATATAAATAAATATTTCTCAGCAAGCATAAGGTGGTTACAAAAATTTATTAATTAATAATTAAAACTTTTATTATATTTTTAATTACTAAATAAATAATTAAACTGATTTTTTCTTTTTTTTTAAGGAATTCTGGACTGTAAATAATCCAATGCAAAATACGATCATTCTTTTAGTAGAACAGATTGTTGTTGCTCTTGGTGCGGAATTTAAAATTTATTTACCTCAACTTGTTCCTCACATTTTGAGAGTTTTTATGCATGACAATAGTCCACAAAAATCTGTAACCTCAAAGGTATTTTGAATATTGAATATTTTTGATGTGTTAGAATTTCAGTATCAATATAAACTATAAATGGCATTTTAAATTTACTATAACAACAACGTTTTTTTTACAGCTTTTAACTGCTCTTCAAAAATTTGGTTCTAGTTTAGGTGATTATCTTCATTTGTTATTACCANAGATAATGTAATTATATAAGATTAATTTACTGGTTGACTATTTGAGCTACAGTTTGAAAAAATTGTAGACCTATAAATTTCCACTGTTGCCCATCTGCCTTTCCTTAATCTCGAGAATGGAGTTAGATAGATGAAAGATGAGACCAGATATGGAAAGAGTAGGGACAGGAGGCCCTGATTAACTATATATGAACTTCCAATGCAAGCCATAAGGCATGTTATTTCAGTTCAAAAATGTTTTCCTGAAAGTTGTTAGATAGATGACTGGCATGACTATGTTGTTAAAGGAAAAGTATGATGTACAGGGACAAGCCACTACTAATTTGAGGTGGAAAGCATATATTTTAAATTAAAGAAATTAAAAATATGATTAAAAATTGCAGTCCAACATTCTGACAGTGTCACAATAAATAATTGCTCTTTTCTATTATTATTACTATAAAGAAAATTTATTAATTAATAATTAAAACTTTTATTATATTTTTAATTACTAAATAAATAATTAAACTGATTTTTTCTTTTTTTTTAAGGAATTCTGGACTGTAAATAATCCAATGCAAAATACGATCATTCTTTTAGTAGAACAGATTGTTGTTGCTCTTGGTGCGGAATTTAAAATTTATTTACCTCAACTTGTTCCTCACATTTTGAGAGTTTTTATGCATGACAATAGTCCACAAAAATCTGTAACCTCAAAGGTATTTTGAATATTGAATATTTTTGATGTGTTAGAATTTCAGTATCAATATAAACTATAAATGGCATTTTAAATTTACTATAACAACAACGTTTTTTTTACAGCTTTTAACTGCTCTTCAAAAATTTGGTTCTAGTTTAGGTGATTATCTTCATTTGTTATTACCACCTATTGTTAAATTGTTTGATTCTCATGATACGCCAGTTATTGTTCAAAGGTATGATGTAATTTTTTTTTATTTGATATATATTTATCAGTTATGTTTTTAATTATTAATATACTTCATCCTAGTTTATATGAAAACTTTTTATTGATAAGTAATTTTTTTATTTTAAGATATTTATTCATCATTTGTTGTTTTACAAAAATTAATGTTTTCAGTGTTTTCTATCCTTTTATTAGGTATAAGACATTTAACATTGCAAATAAATATTAATAAAAAGCTTAAATATTTAAAAAGTGTAATACAATACTTTTAAAAATTCATTTTATGAAAAATAATAAGAACTAAGATGAATGCATGGTTACTGTATGGTTAACACACACATATATATAATATAGTGATAATTATTACTACTAATTAACGATATTCTGTTTTGTTTCTAAATTATTCCATCAAATTAGAGATTTTATATATAATTTATTTATTTCTTTATTGTACAATTAAGGAAATGTCCATAGACAGTTGATTTCCACTTCCCCATTTAAACAATTATACCCACATTAATGTATTAAATATAGATAAAGATAATGAAAATTATGTCACACACAAGTTGTATTTTCAAGTATAATTATAAATTTGACTAATAATCTTTTTTATAAAATACTTTCTTTATTTCTGCTAAGCCCTATTTTATGTTTGGATCTCTCTATCTCTCTCCTTACTTCTTTCCTTTCTCATCATCCTAGACTGACTTATCCTCATGCCTCTTCCTGTTGACCTTCTTTTTGATCATTCTCTTCTAGATTTACTGCATTTTTGAGGTGTTGGGCAATTTGACCATGGTGTCTGTAGAGATTTTTGATTCATCATGTTTAGATAACTCTGAGCTTTTACAAAAACATTCTTTAAATTATTGTTCAATTTCTGATCAAGAGGACTTATCTTTGTTATTTCCACATGATCATATTTTATTTGTGGGGAGATTATAAATTTGCTTTCTTGTTTTGTTAACTACAGACTTACCCGTAATGATCATCTACTTCAGAATGAAAGAAGCAAAATAAGATATAATAATTTGAAAGTATAATTTTTTTTAACTGATTTTTTTTCTTCTGGGAACAAAGAAGGCTTACCTGAACTTGAACTGTATAAATTGTACAATCATTGATGTCCTCAAAAAATACCAAGATAGATATTGTAAAGATTGAATTTTATGCTTTAATATCTTATATGTTAATTGTAACTCAAACTATTTTTCAATAACAATTGCTATTACTAATTTTAAAGTGTTTGTAAATAAAACATAACAATTTTAAAATTTCTAAGTTGTCCTGACCCTGCATCTATTATTGCTAATAAATTTGTTTAAGAATGAGTAATCAATATTTACTAATAAATAGAATTTGAGCATTAAAAGAGTATATATATTTCTAATGGTCAAATTTTATTATGTATATAAATGGTTGAGTTGTTATTATAATACAGAATTTTAACTATTAGTTTTAGTAAGTTCTGTAATCTATAGTTAATATTAGAATAACAAATATTTTGAAAGTTCTTAATAAGTATTATTAAGAGCTAAAATAGTTAGGGATTATATTATATGATTATTATTTATTTCAGTTATGCATAGTTATTTTTGTTTATTGTAGACTCATCTTAATATTGAGATTTTGATTATGTTCAGAATTTTTAAGTAAAAATATTTTTTTTAATTATGCAAATCTTTTGAATATAATGATTTTATAAAGTTTAAGAGATTACTATTTAGTCATAAATTATTTCTGTTTTAAATCATAAATAAATCATAATGTTTTAGAAATATATTTGTAGTTACGTATAAAACAATTCATATTATTAACAAGGGAAGGTAACATGGTCATCAGTTTTCAATGATATTGTTTGGGTGGATAAACATTTTTTTTATTGAACAAAGAGAGAAAGCATACTTCTCAAACATTTTCAAGAAAACTAAAGTTAAAAAATCCTAAGCAACTTATGAGTATGCTTTGCAAAATTTTTCAATGATGATTTCATTGCTTTGCAGCAGCCTGAATGGTAATTGTGAAATTACCAGTTCATTTCTCTGTGAGTATAGTTTTTTCTTAAATCAATGCAATTTTTACATTTAAAAAATTTAAATGACTGGCTTTAAACATTTTGATTTTTTATTTTCCATTAAAAATGTGCATTTTCTATTCCTTGAAAATTTATTTTTGGAACTGTTTAAAGTAAATTTAAAGTTTGTTTTTAAAACTAGAATGATTAATTATTTTAGTTAATTTTTACTATTCTTACTTCATTACTTTAATTTATTTTACTATCTGCTTGTTTTATTCATTATGAAAAGGCAAAATACTTATGATGGTAAACAATAAGAAAGCAGAGAAGTGACATTGAAAGATGATTATTTATTGTCACACACAATAATTCAATTTGATATTAGAAGTTATTTATAACTAATAATTTTTTGAGTTTATTTAATTCCTTAAAATTCAAGTTGTTTATAATAATCTTACATTTCCAATTCTGAAAATGAATTTTTAAAGAGAAGATGCACAATTTTAATAGAAAATAAATAGACATAATGTATAAACCCATGTAATTTACAATTATTTTAACATAAAAATTGCATTGATTTGAAAAGGAATATTCACAGAGATGCAAACTAGCATCTAGCAATTAGCAGTCAGGTATAATGCTGTTGAGCAATCAAGTCTTCACTGAAAGATTCCGCAGAGCATACTTATAATTCACTTGGAAGTTAAAAGAAAAATCAGTTAAGTTTTCTTTTAAACATTTGATATACACACTTTCTTTTTTTGTTCAATAAAGGTTCATACCAAGGCTTATTTATACAAACAATATTGTTGAAACCTGTGATGACTTCCTCTTGTATGATAAATAATTTAACATCTAATTTGAATAATTTTATAAAATATTTAACAATCTTTAAATTACTTATATATATATATATATATATATGTAGTTTGTTGATGGATTAGAAATTATTTAATAGAAAATGTTTTATTTGTGGTTTCATAAATTTGAAAATAACTTTTTCATAATTTTAGACTTGCATTAGAAACAATTGATCATCTTTCTGAAACATTAGATCTTACAGAATATGCTTCTCGCATTATCCATCCACTTGTAAGGACACTGGATAATACACCAGAATTGAGACAAGTAAGATATTTTTATTGAAATAAATAAATTTTAGAATAAAAATATAAGTTTTTATATTGAGATAAGTATATATTGTAAGTAAAATAGACAATAAATAAACAATAATGGAAATAGTTCATATACAGTACATATAATAGACATATGAGGCCAAATCGACTAACTCCATTTGTAAATCCCTAATATAATTATTATTATTTTCAAATTTTTCATGTAACTAATTTTATATATCATTATATTAAAGCATAGCTATAATATAACAATATATATCAGTAAAAATATGTTCTGCAATGTTTATTTAAATTTAAAGTTCAAAGGGAATTTTAAAAAGTAATTTATATTATCAATTTTTATACTTTTTGTTTATGGAGTTAATTGATTTGGCAAGTGAGTGGCTCAGATAATGTTAATTGGAAAGTTAAAATTTATAGGTTATTAATAGAAATTATTTGATTGGATATAGGATTACAACAATTTAAAAAAATCATTAATATTATACAAAGAAATTTTTATAATTTCAGATCATTAGATATACAATACAAAATACATTTATAGTTCTATTAAATACCAAATCTGCATTGATAATAATTGATAGGAGAAAAACAACTTGTAAGGATGGCTGCTTAGTGTCTCTTAATTTTATTGTGTTAACTTACTCTTTACTTAAGACACGAGGGTAATATGGCACTGAGGAACATCCAAAGGAAGGAAACACTGTCAGGCTCCTTCTGGTCAGTTCCGTCTGATACAAGTGACAGGAAGAATATGATTCAGAGATGTGAATTAATTTGTGACTTCAAAACTAAATTACTTTATTTACACTAAATAATCATAGAAAAATGATAAGATTAACATATAAAAATTTAAAATTCTACTGAAACTGCAATGACAAAAAGTAAACTCATAATTTGCAATAATTACAAAAGAAGAGGAACTACAATAATGCACTAGTAAAGCAAAGCTAAAGAATAATGTCTGAAAATGATCTTGATTTTCAGAACTAATATAGCGAAAAATGAGTGCAACTGATAAAAAAGAGCCCCCAAAACTGGTTCTGATCTTGTTTTTAAAGGGCTAACAGCCAATAGGAATTACTCTGGAGCATTGAATGAATGGGCCTGTTTTTGATCTGACCTACTCCAAAATTCTTTAGGTCCAAATCTAGACATTTTCATATTTTATCAATACTGACCTGAATGACTACCAACAGAAAAGTTCTGGATGGTGAATAAATTTACCAGAGGATATTTTTGACATTTTTCATTAAGAAAGATCTCTAATTAATAGCTGTATTGTATTTTCTTTCTTTCTCTCTATTTTACAAAAGTTTATTATTACAGGTGCACATACACTGTAAGGCTGTGTACACACTAGGCATTTTTAAATGCGCGTTTTGGAAATGCGTGTTAGCTCAGCGTTCGACGAGCGTTTTTGGAGCGTACGCACTGGCTCAGTTTGGAAATGGATATGAAAGTAATTGCTTGTGTGCCCCTCCTTCATCGTCGCTATAAAAGACGATGGCAGAGGCAAAGAGAATTTTGGGTGCACCCAATATTACAAGATAGACTGACACATGGAATGTTTGTGACGTTGTATCCAAAACTAAGACAAAATGAACCCAAGTTTTTTAATTCTTTTAAAATATATATAAAATCCTTTGACGATGATTGGTCTCTTTTAGATCTCATCAATAAATAGATCAGTATCGAAATGATCGTTCTCCATTTCAGCACATATATCTCAAAGTGCTCCGCTGACGCCCGCAAAACGCGCAATCGAATGTACAGTAACATGGCAGCACATATATCTCAAAGCGCCCGTAAAGCACCCGCAAAACGTGCATTTTAACAAAAATTTATAAGCGCGCGTTTGAGTGTGTACGCCTATATAGAACTCTTGGTTCTTTAAAACGCGCGTTAAATGCGCGTTTAAAAATGCCTAGTGTGTACACAGCCTAAATTGATGTGGGGTTTCATTTTCCACATTCCCAAAACAAAATGTAGATGATTAACTTCAGTTAACAAGATCTGTAATGAACAACAAATGCACAAAATTCAATTATAAATGAAGGGGAAAATTATTAATTTTCATATTCATATTAAATTTTCTTAAACTTCACTGCAATGTCAGAGATTGACAATGCAATGCATGCCCACTGGAGAGTGCCTCTTTCAAGACTCCAAAGTATTTCTATATCATTATATGATAATATGAATAAAAATATAGAACAATATTAATATTGTTCTTTATTTTACCTTAATTGGAAGTAGAAATTTTATAGAATTTTTATTTACTTTTAAAAGTAAAAAGATAAATATTTACTAAGATGAAATATGTAGATCATCAACTGATAAAGAAGTTTTAAGAATTTTGAAATTTTTCTTGCCATATTTTTGCAGATTGACTGGCATGCCACATATAATCAGGTGAGATCAGCATGCTAGTTAAACTGCTACTAAAAATTAAATTAATTGGATCTAACAAATCTAGTTGTTACATGTTAAAGAAAACATTATTCTGAGTACAGTAACATAACATTTTAATTTGACTGACTTAAAATCTGGAAGAAAGTTTTTGTTTACAGGACAATAAAAAAAATCAAGGGTTTATTGACATTAGTAGTAGAAGTTGTTGTTAGTCAAGTGTAGTCTGCACTGACAATCTATCCTGAGCTTAAAAATAACACCTTCCTCTTAAATTTCACATAAAGTGGATGTTAATAGGTGTTAAGTTGAGATAATTTACAGAAGTTTCTGAAATTTAATATTTTTATTTTTGTGTTTCTGAATCAAATCACAATAAAATAAACATAAATAAAGCACTTTCTGAATTTAAGAAGACAAAATGAACTTAAACATGTGATCATAGTTTTTGATGTAATGCTGAAAGTTACACAGTTTTAGAATAAAAACTCGTTTGATTTTTAATAGGATCTCTAGAGGGGGATGTATAACCTCACTTAAACTGGCATGCCAGTTTTTACCATATGGAAATATCTGATTTCATGGTCTTCCTGATAGACTGACATGCCAGACAATCAGCAAAAATATGGTATAAATAAGTCTCGCTGTTCCTTTTTTTGTCTATATTATAAAAATTTTGCTTATCAGTGGAAATGAGGTTTGTCTGATTTTGCAATTGTAAGCTTTGAACATTTTAAAAGTAAATGTAGTTTGGCATGTATTTTCAATCTTTTAATTCACTGTTGTTATTTCAATCTTTATTTTTATAGTTTTTTTAAATAAAGCATAGTTAGTATTTATTTTATACATTTAGATAAGAATAATTTGTTTTGTTAATTATGAAAAAATGTTTTGATAAATGTTGCTCAATAGTAGCATTTTGAATTCAATGAAACAAACTTTTACATTCAAATAATAATTATTTTTTTATTATCTATATTTGATAATTTGTATTTTTCATTGAAAAGTTTAAATGCAGCATGTACACTTATGTCATGCTGAAAATTGATAAGCTACTTGCTTTAGGTCAGTAATTATTGTTAAGTTTTGTTTGTTAAATTTTAAAATATATCTAAGGTATTTGGAAATGTTATTCTTTTTTGATTGAATGGCTTTTTTTATGCATATATTTCATTGTATTGTTTGATATTATTTTAATGCTGCTATTCACTAAATAAGCCATTACAAATGAATGATTGATAAGAATTAAAGATCATGTCAAAGAATTATAGATAAACATTTCTTTATCATAATTATTGATTTTTATAAAAAAAAAAAATAAAGAAGAATACCAATAACAGAATACCAATAACAGAATTTGGGTGATATTTATTTATTTAATTTTTATGTTTTGATCTTTGTATTCTATGTATATAATGTCTTACATGTAATTTTACTGTATATTTAGTAAAAAATAATGTTTAAAAGATTTTGTAAAGAAATTATATTTTGAAAATGTAATTAATACAGTTGTGCATTTTTTATTTTACAGGTTTGTATGGATACATTATGTGCTTTGGTTTTACAACTTGGTAAAAAATATCAAATTTTTATCCCAATGGTTTGTAAAGTAATAACTAAACATAAAATTGTTCACCAACGTTATGATGTACTCACTTGTAGAATAATTAAGGTAATTAATTTTATTCATTATTAAATTAAAGTGATAATTTAATTAACTAAATTGATACTTTTGCTTGATTATCAGTTAAACATGAGATATGCTGAAAAATGATTGGTTTTTTTCATTAGATCTAAATGTGATTTAAAATGGCAACATCAGTTACTGCCAGTATCAAAATTATTTTATAATTAGATTACAATCACTCTAAAAATGGCATGATTAAAAAACATCTGACATTTTTCAGTGTGCTTTAGTTTAAATTATTTTTTTATGATATTTGAATTAATAAAACTATTTAATTAAAATTGTGTATGTGAAAGTTTGATCCACCACTAACTTTACTGACCATCTGGTCAGCCCTGCAGTTTTATTGTTTTACTATATGCAGGTGGGATGTGTGTGTGGGGAAAACTAACATTGGTGTGGCTTAATCATTGTTCAGTAAACATCTAAGTCAAGCACAGTCAAATTTTCTTTGTCCAATTGTTCTCAGAAAACAGTATATCTGTTTGTGTATGTTAACATATGCACTATTATTCTGATAAATGCAAATTGTTCAAATTATTGATGATTGAAAAAATTTAGTCATATTACAGTAGTTTTGAATATTAAGCAGTAACTGTTGTTTTTACTTAATTATGTATATGAAACATGAATTCAACAAAAAGATTTTTAAAACTTGAAGGAAAAGATTTATATTAGAAATACATGATGATAAAAATTATAAATATAAAAATAAATAACATTTATGAGTTAAAAATTGATTTATTTTTATTTTTATGATTTTTATAAATAGCTTAAATAAAATTAAAATTACTTTCTTAATATTGGAACAAATCACAAACAGTGTAAACCTTTAAAGTCCTGTAACAAAAATTTTTTTAATAAAAAACTTTACAAATGTTTTCAGTCTTGACCAAAGTCTGCCTTAAGTCTTTAAATTAATGAAATTCCAAATTGGAATATGCAGAACAAATTTTTCAAAATATTATTTTTAAAAATTGGAACAAAAACTGAGTCTGATGTGTGAGCTGATCTCCAAAATGCCGTGTTAATAAGACAATTGTTTCAAACAGATCATATTAGGGCCTAGAAGCCTTGAAAATATACAAGGCTTGACCAGAAAATGTATTAACTTTAAGGACTGAAAAACAGTCTTATATGCATGGCAGTACTTTTACGAAAAATGGGGGAAAGCCAACATAAATTAATTTTTATTAATTGGTATTAAGTTATATCTTAAATTTTTATATGTATATTAAATTTTATATTTATCACTATTTAATTTTTGTTGTTATATAGTATTATGTTTTTGTTCCAATTTTTAAAAATAATAGTTTGAAAAATTTGTTCTGTGCATTCCAATTTGGATTTTTGTTAATTTAAAGACCTAAGGCAGACCTTGGTCAAGGTTGAAAGTGTTTGAGTGTTTGTCAAAAGTTTTTTTATAAAAAATAAAGATTTTTGTTACTGGACTTTAAAGGTTGTTTACAGTGAGTTTAATAAAATTAAGATATTTATAATTACTTCAGAATAAACAAATAGATATTTGGAGGATTAGCTGATTTGGTAAGAGCATCAGTCTACTGCTCTGGAATATGTCTGAGTCTGGATTAGCTTAAATTTCATGGATTAGGTTGGTTTTGATATTAGGCCATTGAAATTTATAAAGTGAATCTCTTATTATTTCACTTTCAGAATTTTTTGTTATGTAATTATTTGAGTTTTTTGTAATTTATAAAATAACTTATAAAAAATTCAGATCTATACAAAACTGAAAGATATGTCACTACTTGCATTTTATAAAATATTTCATTAATTATGTTGCATTAATTTTTTATAAAACTCATCCATACCCTCAAAATTAAGCTTTTTGCCATTTTATAATAGTTAAAAATGTAAAAAGTTTTTAAAATAAAATATGATAACAGATGACACCACCAAAATTTTAAATGTTGCCAGGAAAGTTGAGCAACTCATTGCTGGTTTATTTGCATTAGAAATGCAAATAAACCAGCAATGTTATTGCAAATAAACCAGCAAAGAATAGCAATGTCTCACATGCTATTCTTTGTCATTAAGAAATTGTTTCATATTTGTATTTGACTAATTCATTGTAGTAAGTTTTCCTTGGTGTAACTTTTTTAAGTCTAAAGGCTTGCTTTATTTTTTTGTTTTTTTATTGATTTAATTATTAACCATTTCAGCTTCTTCATATGCTAATTCTTGCTCTTATTTTTTTTCTATTTTATCATATATTTTTTTTATTTTATCTGAGAAATATTTCTGTTATATCAAACTATTTGGTTCATTTAATTATTAATTAAAATCTTAAATTTGTCTCCAATTGTTTAAACTGTATATTTAATATGAACATTTTTTTCTCATCTTGGATTTTTGGAAAGAAAACTGTTATAAGTTGGAAGATAAAAGGAAGTTCAAACTATTTGTTAATGAAGCCAAAAGTAATTTATTAGAAATATTAGTGAAGAGTGTAGCTGGCATTAGATGTGCTTTTTACTTTAGTTGTATGTAATTAATTGAAGCTGGCTGAATGGTAGACTGGAAACATCCCTATGAATTATTTTTTGCTTCTTTAATAAGCCATTTGAGTTTTTTTTTAATTTAAATATGGTGTTGAGTTTGTTTATTCCTGAAGTAAGTAGGTACACAAAGACATGCAAATAATTAGTTTGAGTAGAATATATGAACTTAAAATGTAATGGAAAAGGAACATTAAATATCACATGGATATATGAAAGAAGTTTTGTTGTTTAGGAAAGTTTTAGTTTACTCAGCTTATTTCTGAGAAATTTATTATATTCATGACAGCAATGGCAATTAATATAAATTAGAAATGTTTTTTATTTTCTGTAATTATATCAACATCTCAAGAACCTGATGTATTAATAATCAACCAAACATCAGCCAAATTAATTGGGCAATTTGTAGCATAAACTACAAATAATAAATAGAAATTAGATGTAAATGTTAGGTGCCATCTCTTAATGAAAGTAGTAACTATAATTTAATTTTAGCGTAATATTGCCTGATTAATTTGGCTGATGTTTGATTTTTTCTATAAATGTTAAGAAGAAAAATTATGATTAAATTATTCTCAAAAGTGTTTAAAAGTAAAGATTTTATTTATTTTTTATTGGTTATTTTTATTGTTATAAAATACTAATTTATTTATTAATATAGAGTTTTAAACAATACAGTATAATTATTAAATTATTGATATTTTTTAATAAATATTAATTTTTGAATTTTGTTTATAATTTAAAAATATATTTACTTAGGGAACAACAGTTGCTGAAGAGGAAGATGATCCTCTCATGCATGTTAAACGTCATGGAAGATCTAGAATACATGATCCTGATGGTAGTTCAGTTTCTGGTGATGGAACAGGTACAATCAAAAAATTACAAGTTAGTTCTGCTAATTTACAGAGGGTAAGAAACTTTTCAAAATTTTAAGTAAAATTACAGTTAAAATTATATGCTACTAGCAGATAGGCCCGACATTGCTTGGGCAAAAAGTAACGATAGCGAAGATTATTATGTTATAGTCAATCTTACCCATTTTCAAAGAATGCAAGAATTAGGTCCCACTGTTTCCAGACTAATTAGAGAATTTTTAGATGGGTTAAAAAAATGTTCAATTTCCTGCAAAAACGAAAAAACTGCATCTGCGCCTGTAAATCTTGCACGTCGCTTTCTTTTAACACTTCCATTGTTAAAATTTTCATTGTTGACACTTCCATTCTTAACACTTCCATTGTTGATACTTCCATTGTTACTTAACACTTCCATTGTTGATACTTCCATTGTTACTTAACACTTCCATTGTTGACAGTTCCATTCTTAACACTTCCATTGTTGATACTTCCATTGTTACTTAACACTTCCATTGTTGATACTTCCATTGTTACTTAACACTTCCATTGTTAACACTGCCATTGTTACTTAACACTTCCATTGTCAAAACCTTAATCCTGTCTCTCTCCCTGGGGAGGAATTTCGAAAAATCCCTTCTTAGTGTGCGTTTTCGTGACGTACCCTAACTGTGTACCAAATTTCAACTTTCAACTCCTAACCATTTGGGCTCTCGCTTATTATTATTATTATTATTGTTGTGTTTAGTGGGTTATACTCAGTTCACACAGGTGGCTGTGTACTATGCCAGACCAGAGTCAAGGCATAGCAACCAAAATAAAACTAAAATTAAATAAGTGTGTCAGTGTCAGTATTCAGGAATTTCCTAACAATATGGCATGTATTCAATATAGTGGCCTTCTGTAGTGTTATGTATGTATTTCTATTCAATTGTAATGTTCCCAGGCTTTTGTGTAGTGTGTGTGGTNACTAGAGAAATTTAAATAAATAACTTAATAAATAATAAATTAAATAAATTGTAGTAAAAATAAATAATTATTTACTCAGTTATGTAAAAAAAAAGAGATTGCTTTACAAAAATATTATTTAATAATCAAGTTAAAAATACCTGTATATAAATTAATTTTTGTTTCTTACAAGATGTGAATTTATGATGACCTATTATATTAAAACATAAATGATATTTTTTAAGGTAAATCCAGTTACTACCAAGTCTAATTAAAAAAGTTGGAAATTCAAAAAATTAATGTTATTTCCAGATTAAATTATAATTATATTATTACATGCAATGTGAAGTGAAAAGTTTTGTAAGAAAAAATTATAGGAAAGAGAAATAGTACTGAAAGTCATATGAAATTTTTTGATTACAGGAATGAGTGTAGCTCAAATACTTTAAAAACAATAAAGAAAATAAACGAAAAGAAAAAATTTTTGTAGTAGTGAAAAGAATAATTGTTTTTTTAATATAATAAGGAATGAAAGAAGGCATAAAATCAAAGCTCAAGAAGATATACTAAATCAGAGAAGATAGAAGAGATTAAATTGAAGAACATTAGAACCAAAAGAAATTACCTCACTAAAACTACAAGGAATACCAATACATCACAGTACCTTGATCTAATCCATCACCAGGTTACTTCTCTTGAAAACTAATGTTTTCAATTTTCTCCTAAGATCTTTGTCAGGTATTATATTGGTTCAAAATGGAACAGTCCAAAGAACAAGATGTAATTCAAATTCGAAAGTACCAATCAGATGTGTATAGATAGTTGACATAATTAAATTAAATATTTATCAAAATGTGCCTGCAATGCATTTTTCTGTAAAATTAATGCAGGATCCATGTTAATCAGATTTAAAGATTTCAAGGGCTTTGAATTCTGTAAGTTGTTCAGTACCAATAGAACATCTTATCATAGAGACCTGATCTAATTTTTCTATAACATCGTTGTCCAATGCATATGTGGATAGGAATCTGTCATAGATCAAAAGATCCACAATTCTATTTATGCAAACATGGATAGAACTGTGGATCTTTTGATCTATTGTGGATTTTATAGCAATGATGTTATAAACAAAATTAGATCAGAGCTTTATGATAAGATATCCATTCAGTTTGATAAGCCTCATATCTCTACCAATTGGTTATTTGAGATAATTATTAAATTAATTTATTAGAGGCAAGAAGTCTACAACTATATAGAATATGTTCTAAATCGAAATAAACAAACACTTTATGAGCAGTGACTCTTGGATTTGTAAAACCTTTTAATTTAATTTTAAAATTAACATACAGTTTAATTTTACATAAGGCATACAGAGCATAAATTTTTTGCCTTTAAATCCAATCTGTTAAATCTGTTAAGTTTTTCTGTACTTTCAGATCAATTTATTTACAGTTACAGAATTTCAAAAAATTATCACTTTTGACAGGCATGATTTATTCTAAACTGAATTAATTAATATGAAAAAACCATAATTTTGTTTACTTTTTATGTTAAGAAATAGTTTTAATGTAAATTTTAGTGAGTTTTTTATTATATTATATATTCCTTAGGCTTGGGGTGCTACAAGAAGAGTGTCAAAAGATGACTGGTTAGAATGGTTAAGACGCTTAAGTATTGAATTACTGAAAGAATCTCCTTCTCCTGCTCTTCGTTCTTGTTGGGCATTGGCACAATCTTACAATCAATTGCCCAGGTAATTTTAAATTGGAAATTAGGTGTAGAAATATGTATTTTGCCTAAACTTGCATCTATTTTTGTTATTCTGAAATTATATAATATTTTCATTTTATTCTAATAATATTATGTTACAGTTTTATCAATTTAATATAATGTTTTAATTTTTAAACAAAAATTTTAAAATGAAACAAAATCTAAGTTTAAATCAGTTACAAGTTATTTAAATTTATTATATTATAAGTTGAAATCTGTTTATAGTTAACTATTCAGTCTGATCAAGATATATGAAACATTTTGAAAAATGTTTATACAAAATAAATACAATAGACTTTTTGAATTGTTTAGTGATATTTTTGTTTGTTTGATTCAAAGAAAAAAATTCTATTATTATAAAATTCTAGTTTATAATTCATCCAATTTTCAGTATAAACATAAATACAAATATAATTTATTAGCAAGAATATGCAGATGTACTACATGCTATTATTTATTTTAAACTTCAGATGTAATCATCATCATAATTATATTTCTTTGTAATGTATTTATAAAAATTTTTTCTAATATACTAAGTTGATTTTTTTCTGTTTTGTAAATTTCTTATAACTTAAAAATTATTTTGATAGGGTTTAGTAATAAATATTATTACCTATGAATAAACAATTACAATTGATGTTTTTTCTTTTGGTTTTTAAAATTACACATTTATTTAAATTATAAAAATAAAATACAATATAATTTTTATTTACTACTAATAGCCACTCTCCTAGAGATTAAGTAAGGAATATGAATTTGTAACTAAGGGATATGAACTTTAGCAAACTATTCAAATTTTTTTTTGTTTTTGTGCTTTAAATTAAAATGCCTTATTTAGTTTTTTTTAAATTAATTTTTAAATTGATTATATATTTATATGTTTATTTTAAAACTTGAATGAAAATTAAATTTACACTATGTAATTTACATCCTGCTTAAATTTTTTAAACTAATATTTTTATTTGTAACAATTTGTTGTAACTAATTAGTATTAATTATGAAATGTTTTGTTCTTATATTTAAAAAATTCCTTTAAAGCTAACAGGATGTTATAAATGTTTGCATTGCCTTATTTTTAAGAAAAAGATAGTTATATTTTAATACATTATTTAACTTCATTTATTTATTTATTTTAATATCTATTCACAGAGATCTTTTCAATGCTGCATTTTTATCCTGTTGGACAGAGTTAAATGAACAACAACAAGAAGAATTAATTCAATGTTTGGAACAAGCTCTTACTACTCAAGATATTCCTGAAATTACTCAAACACTTCTGAATCTTGCAGAATTTATGGAGCATTGTGAAAAGGTAGCATTTTATAATATATTATTGTAGAAACTGTTCTTTGAAAGTAGAATTTTTAATTATTTGAACTTTTTCAGGAAAAGAAATAAAAGAAATTACCATTAATAAATTTTTATATTAAATAACTATTTCAAATATAAAAAGAGGTCTAAAGTAATAAAAATTGTTAAGATATTTATTTATTATAATAAATAATAATTAACTAGAGAAATTTAAATAAATAACTTAATAAATAATAAATTAAATAAATTGTAGTAAAAATAAATAATTATTTACTCAGTTATGTAAAAAAAAAGAGATTGCTTTACAAAAATATTATTTAATAATCAAGTTAAAAATACCTGTATATAAATTAATTTTTGTTTCTTACAAGATGTGAATTTATGATGACCTATTATATTAAAACATAAATGATATTTTTTAAGGTAAATCCAGTTACTACCAAGTCTAATTAAAAAAGTTGGAAATTCAAAAAATTAATGTTATTTCCAGATTAAATTATAATTATATTATTACATGCAATGTGAAGTGAAAAGTTTTGTAAGAAAAAATTATAGGAAAGAGAAATAGTACTGAAAGTCATATGAAATTTTTTGATTACAGGAATGAGTGTAGCTCAAATACTTTAAAAACAATAAAGAAAATAAACGAAAAGAAAAAATTTTTGTAGTAGTGAAAAGAATAATTGTTTTTTTAATATAATAAGGAATGAAAGAAGGCATAAAATCAAAGCTCAAGAAGATATACTAAATCAGAGAAGATAGAAGAGATTAAATTGAAGAACATTAGAACCAAAAGAAATTACCTCACTAAAACTACAAGGAATACCAATACATCACAGTACCTTGATCTAATCCATCACCAGGTTACTTCTCTTGAAAACTAATGTTTTCAATTTTCTCCTAAGATCTTTGTCAGGTATTATATTGGTTCAAAATGGAACAGTCCAAAGAACAAGATGTAATTCAAATTCGAAAGTACCAATCAGATGTGTATAGATAGTTGACATAATTAAATTAAATATTTATCAAAATGTGCCTGCAATGCATTTTTCTGTAAAATTAATGCAGGATCCATGTTAATCAGATTTAAAGATTTCAAGGGCTTTGAATTCTGTAAGTTGTTCAGTACCAATAGAACATCTTATCATAGAGACCTGATCTAATTTTTCTATAACATCGTTGTCCAATGCATATGTGGATAGGAATCTGTCATAGATCAAAAGATCCACAATTCTATTTATGCAAACATGGATAGAACTGTGGATCTTTTGATCTATTGTGGATTTTATAGCAATGATGTTATAAACAAAATTAGATCAGAGCTTTATGATAAGATATCCATTCAGTTTGATAAGCCTCATATCTCTACCAATTGGTTATTTGAGATAATTATTAAATTAATTTATTAGAGGCAAGAAGTCTACAACTATATAGAAGAAATGTGTTTATCATGCTTGGCAAGTACATTTTAATAAATATTTATAATTTAATAACATCAACGTCTGTACACATTTGATTGGTACTTTTGAATTTGAATTATATCTTGTTCTTTGGACTGTTCCATTTTGAATCAAAATGATACCTGATGAAGATTTTAGGAGATCGAAAACATTAATTTTCAAGAGAAGTAATCTGGTGCTGGACTAGATCAAAGTAGTGTGGTGTTGTATTAGAACAAAAAGAGCTTGACTTATGTAATAGTGAAATACAGAGATGAAATAGATTTTTATTATAATATAGCCTAGTATATAATGTTATCAAAAGTCAAAATATAAAATAGCACAAAAAATAGCATATTCATAGTTGTAGTAATGTTCTGCAGACATAACATGTGTAATTCAGAATAATTATAGCATAGCATAGCATAACTACACCTCTGATATAGTAAGAAAGTCATGTAATATGTTTTTTCTATGATATCCGAAACTATTTTTGAACCTGTATAACATTGGCATGTCAGTCAGTCATAACTTGTATCATGACATTGTAATACATTAAACATATATACAAACATTCTTCAGAAATGTGGCTGATAAGTTTTACACAGTTCTTTACTGTAAAGTAAAGAACTGTGGATATGTATTGAAATCCACAATTACAGGAAATCAACGTTTAAATATGTAAATGTGTTATTTCACATTGATATATATTGAAGCAATTTGTACATTTTTCAAAATTACTAACATTTAATGTAAGTAATTTTGAAATTTAATTTATCTATATTGTACTAATAAATGTAAGGTATCATTATCATTTCTAGTTTGTGGAACATTGAGGTTATGTTTATTGTGATGTGCATCAGTCAAAATATTTAATGTATTTCTGTTCAGTAAATTAATTAATTTTTATTAATGATATAATATTGTGAAGCTTATTAACAAACACTGATTTTGCCTTATTTAATGTATTCTGAAGAGGACATATGTTTTGTAATTAAGGTGAAACATGTTATGAAAGTTAAAGGATTTATCTTTAGGTGTGATGAGAATATAAAAATCTGTTATGTTGGATTTTTTTTTTACTGTTTTTAGCTAATAAATGCAAACATTTCAATGTGAAACTATAACCTATAAGGTTACATAATTCTAAATTATTAAATGTCTAAAAAGGATTTTGTTGGGTCTCTAATGGTATAATTGGTAATGAACTTGCATGGCTTACAAAAGTTTGAAATTTAATTCTTGCTGTAAGTCAATCTTTTCTTCAAACTTCTCAAAATTATTAATCTCTAATAAACAGTTTCAAATAATTAAATATTATGTATGATGGCACTTTTTTATATCTAGACCAAATATCATTAATTAAAAATTAGCAAACATTTAACTTTTGAACAATTTTATGATTTTGGTGATAATTTGAAATTTGTTATTATTGGCAATTTAATGATTTAACAAATTAGTCAATTGATACATACTATATACAATTAGTTCAAATTTATCTGTGATAAGAAAATGTCATAAGATTTTTAGTATACTTCTACATTTGTAATATAGATAGTGATAAAACATTACATATTATATAATTCAAATATTTTATGATTTAAATATTAATTTACTTAATAATAATAACTGTTAATAGGGCCCTCTTCCACTTGATACTACGTTATTAGGAGAGAGAGCGATGAAGTGTCGTGCTTATGCAAAAGCATTACATTATAAAGAAGATGAATTTCATGGTGAGNCATTATTTAACTTCATTTATTTATTTATTTTAATATCTATTCACAGAGATCTTTTCAATGCTGCATTTTTATCCTGTTGGACAGAGTTAAATGAACAACAACAAGAAGAATTAATTCAATGTTTGGAACAAGCTCTTACTACTCAAGATATTCCTGAAATTACTCAAACACTTCTGAATCTTGCAGAATTTATGGAGCATTGTGAAAAGGTAGCATTTTATAATATATTATTGTAGAAACTGTTCTTTGAAAGTAGAATTTTTAATTATTTGAACTTTTTCAGGAAAAGAAATAAAAGAAATTGTTATAATACCATTTTCTAATAATAGACGTATCCTGACGACGGTCTATCAAACAGACTGACGGCGCTGTTTATGGTGTGATTGTTTGTGTAATAGTCAAGCATTTGGAATACATTAAATTGAATATGATTTAAACAATCAAAGCAACATCAGATAAATTAAGCATATAAGTTTTTAAATACCATATAGGAAAAAATTTGGAATCAGTCAATTTTACTTTGTTGCTCCATCTCGAGCTTTTATAANTAAAAATACCTGTATATAAATTAATTTTTGTTTCTTACAAGATGTGAATTTATGATGACCTATTATATTAAAACATAAATGATATTTTTTAAGGTAAATCCAGTTACTACCAAGTCTAATTAAAAAAGTTGGAAATTCAAAAAATTAATGTTATTTCCAGATTAAATTATAATTATATTATTACATGCAATGTGAAGTGAAAAGTTTTGTAAGAAAAAATTATAGGAAAGAGAAATAGTACTGAAAGTCATATGAAATTTTTTGATTACAGGAATGAGTGTAGCTCAAATACTTTAAAAACAATAAAGAAAATAAACGAAAAGAAAAAATTTTTGTAGTAGTGAAAAGAATAATTGTTTTTTTAATATAATAAGGAATGAAAGAAGGCATAAAATCAAAGCTCAAGAAGATATACTAAATCAGAGAAGATAGAAGAGATTAAATTGAAGAACATTAGAACCAAAAGAAATTACCTCACTAAAACTACAAGGAATACCAATACATCACAGTACCTTGATCTAATCCATCACCAGGTTACTTCTCTTGAAAACTAATGTTTTCAATTTTCTCCTAAGATCTTTGTCAGGTATTATATTGGTTCAAAATGGAACAGTCCAAAGAACAAGATGTAATTCAAATTCGAAAGTACCAATCAGATGTGTATAGATAGTTGACATAATTAAATTAAATATTTATCAAAATGTGCCTGCAATGCATTTTTCTGTAAAATTAATGCAGGATCCATGTTAATCAGATTTAAAGATTTCAAGGGCTTTGAATTCTGTAAGTTGTTCAGTACCAATAGAACATCTTATCATAGAGACCTGATCTAATTTTTCTATAACATCGTTGTCCAATGCATATGTGGATAGGAATCTGTCATAGATCAAAAGATCCACAATTCTATTTATGCAAACATGGATAGAACTGTGGATCTTTTGATCTATTGTGGATTTTATAGCAATGATGTTATAAACAAAATTAGATCAGAGCTTTATGATAAGATATCCATTCAGTTTGATAAGCCTCATATCTCTACCAATTGGTTATTTGAGATAATTATTAAATTAATTTATTAGAGGCAAGAAGTCTACAACTATATAGAAGAAATGTGTTTATCATGCTTGGCAAGTACATTTTAATAAATATTTATAATTTAATAACATCAACGTCTGTACACATTTGATTGGTACTTTTGAATTTGAATTATATCTTGTTCTTTGGACTGTTCCATTTTGAATCAAAATGATACCTGATGAAGATTTTAGGAGATCGAAAACATTAATTTTCAAGAGAAGTAATCTGGTGCTGGACTAGATCAAAGTAGTGTGGTGTTGTATTAGAACAAAAAGAGCTTGACTTATGTAATAGTGAAATACAGAGATGAAATAGATTTTTATTATAATATAGCCTAGTATATAATGTTATCAAAAGTCAAAATATAAAATAGCACAAAAAATAGCATATTCATAGTTGTAGTAATGTTCTGCAGACATAACATGTGTAATTCAGAATAATTATAGCATAGCATAGCATAACTACACCTCTGATATAGTAAGAAAGTCATGTAATATGTTTTTTCTATGATATCCGAAACTATTTTTGAACCTGTATAACATTGGCATGTCAGTCAGTCATAACTTGTATCATGACATTGTAATACATTAAACATATATACAAACATTCTTCAGAAATGTGGCTGATAAGTTTTACACAGTTCTTTACTGTAAAGTAAAGAACTGTGGATATGTATTGAAATCCACAATTACAGGAAATCAACGTTTAAATATGTAAATGTGTTATTTCACATTGATATATATTGAAGCAATTTGTACATTTTTCAAAATTACTAACATTTAATGTAAGTAATTTTGAAATTTAATTTATCTATATTGTACTAATAAATGTAAGGTATCATTATCATTTCTAGTTTGTGGAACATTGAGGTTATGTTTATTGTGATGTGCATCAGTCAAAATATTTAATGTATTTCTGTTCAGTAAATTAATTAATTTTTATTAATGATATAATATTGTGAAGCTTATTAACAAACACTGATTTTGCCTTATTTAATGTATTCTGAAGAGGACATATGTTTTGTAATTAAGGTGAAACATGTTATGAAAGTTAAAGGATTTATCTTTAGGTGTGATGAGAATATAAAAATCTGTTATGTTGGATTTTTTTTTTACTGTTTTTAGCTAATAAATGCAAACATTTCAATGTGAAACTATAACCTATAAGGTTACATAATTCTAAATTATTAAATGTCTAAAAAGGATTTTGTTGGGTCTCTAATGGTATAATTGGTAATGAACTTGCATGGCTTACAAAAGTTTGAAATTTAATTCTTGCTGTAAGTCAATCTTTTCTTCAAACTTCTCAAAATTATTAATCTCTAATAAACAGTTTCAAATAATTAAATATTATGTATGATGGCACTTTTTTATATCTAGACCAAATATCATTAATTAAAAATTAGCAAACATTTAACTTTTGAACAATTTTATGATTTTGGTGATAATTTGAAATTTGTTATTATTGGCAATTTAATGATTTAACAAATTAGTCAATTGATACATACTATATACAATTAGTTCAAATTTATCTGTGATAAGAAAATGTCATAAGATTTTTAGTATACTTCTACATTTGTAATATAGATAGTGATAAAACATTACATATTATATAATTCAAATATTTTATGATTTAAATATTAATTTACTTAATAATAATAACTGTTAATAGGGCCCTCTTCCACTTGATACTACGTTATTAGGAGAGAGAGCGATGAAGTGTCGTGCTTATGCAAAAGCATTACATTATAAAGAAGATGAATTTCATGGTGGGCCAACAACAGAAGTTTTAGAAGCTTTAATTAGGTATAATGGTAATCTTATGTTAAAAATTTAATTCTATATTTTATATTTGTAGGGTTCTATAATACATTATAGAATCCTACAAAAATATTGTTTTTCCTTCTTTGATTATTATAACATTGTTTTTTTATCTTAATAATGATAGACCATAACTGATATTGAGTTTCATTAATAATTTATTTTAGCATAAACAACAAATTACAACAACCAGAAGCTGCAGCAGGAGTATTGGAATATGCCATGAAAAATCATGGAGCAGATCTTGTAAGTAAAAAAATATATTTTAATAGTGATAAGATGAATTTATCATATTTTTATATTCATGTCTATTAGTTAACTACATTATGTAATATGTAAATCCATAAACAGAATTATGTTTTCATTTTAATTGAATGAATTTCTTATTACACTCATTGGCAAAACAGTTATGCACCAAGAAAACTTTATTTGTTTGAAGACAATGGTGATGATGATGATGATGATGATAAATGATTACAATATTGTAGCAAAGGGACAATATCCTGTGGAAAAATAATAATACATTTTAAATAAATCTTTAGTAGTTTGCAGAACCTTTACTTGTCTGGATACATGTAGCATTACAATTAGCATTCAGGCATTATATGCTATCCTGTAAAAGATTTGCCCATAGATGTTGCAACTGTTGCTCCACATTCCTCACTTGTAGCTGTTTAAAGCTGGCATCCCATCTGATCTTACAAATGTTCATGGGTGACAAATCTGGAGACTAGGCACACTAAGCAGGCGTAGCAATGTGACAAACATTCCTGGAAAACCAAACCTGTGAGCAGCCAAGCATTATCTTGCTGGAAAATGCCTGTTTGCAACTCTGACACAAAAGGTAAATTGAGGGCACAGGATTTCTTGAGTTTACTGCTGTGCTGTCAATGTCCTTTGTACCACTACTAAAAATGACTGACTATCATACAAGATAGCTTTCCAAATCAGTATTCCAGCAATGGGGCAGTATGCCACTCAATAGTATAGGCAAGATTTAAGTGCTCACCAGTGATCCTCTTCACATTTAACATCTCAAATATCTATTATGTAAGAACATGAATGAAATAACATATAAGAATGAGGTGCCACAGACTATCATCATTTACAAATGATATTAAATACTTTATTTTTTTTTCAGACCCTGCCAGAAATTTCTGCTAATAATAAATTATGTATAAGTTTATAAGTTAATCATAAATTTATATGTTCAATTTTAGAAAAAATGAATTATTCCATATTTATAAAGTAATTTAAAATTTTATTTTATTTTTAGAAAATTAAAGAACGATGGTATGAAAAATTACATGATTGGGAAAATGCTTTACGTGCTTATCAACAAACCAGAGAACAAAATCCTGATGATGTTGAATTAATCATGGGTCAAATGAGATGTTTAGAAGTTTTGGGAGAATGGTAAATTAATTTTTTTTAGAAAAATTTCAACTTAATATTGATAGTAATTCTTTTAAAATTTATTTTTAAGGATTTTTTTGTTGATAATATTAGTTTCTAATTAAAATTTATTAATGATAATTCTTACTAGCAGTGTTTGTATATAATGTTAGAAAATGATTGCTATATTATTATCTGGTATTATAAGAGACATAGAAAAGAAGAAAGAAAGAAATGATTAGCTTTCAGTCATACTTTATTCTATAAGACAGCGGTCAGCTACCTTTCTGACCTCATGGATCACTAAACTCACAATTTTGAATCCCGCGGACCACTATCATGAATTTTTTTAAATGATACAAAATCTGTAGAAGAATGATCATAAAAGTTCAGTTTTACTATATTAATATGAAGCTTGCATGTTTAATTATAACAAATTAATGCAAGCCTAAAGTTCATTGCTGCTTGTTTGAAACAAGTTTATGGATTCTTAGCACTTTTCCACGAAGGATGACAATTGCACTCACAATATTGTTTATTGTTCATTATTTATTGATAACAGTCACTTCGTATTTGGTGTTAGATTCGAATAGAAACCCCCAATGAGTGAAAAAAGTAACTAAACATTTTGCATTTCTTTCGTAATACTTCGTGTAACCTTCTGTTGATCAATGTCCAAATTTCTCCATGGACTACCAATTGCTGACCATTGCTATAGAAGACAATCTTAGTTATATCTTTAAAAAAACTATTTTTTTTTACAAAATAATATAATACTCCAAATAAATTTGTTAACAAATGATTTTAAAATTCTGATTGTGTTGTTTGAAAAGTATGTGAACATATTAAAAATATTTAGTAATATTTTGTGTTAAATAATTATATTAAATACAAAATGTAATCTATCAAAAATAACTCATTATTCATTTGGTAAAATTCATAATGTTTTTTATAAATTCTTAATGGTGAGCAAAGTAATCTGTAAAAAACATTGAGAGAAGAAATGAGAAATTCGATTTTAATTAAAATCATGCAAACTTTATTAATCTGTAAAATTTTTTTATTTTGCAAAGACTGTGATGTCTCTTAATAAGTTGCTTTTGAATCCAAAATATAAACTTCAAAGTTTTCACTGTTACAGCAACATAATCCTGACTTACCCAAATTTTATCAGCCTTTGAATTTAGGCATACATTATTTGGCACAATTGATATATTTAGCTTCGATAAAAAATATTATTTATCATAGAAACTACAGGGTTGTCAAAATTAAACTTTCCGAAGTCAGAAGATCTAGAGTTTATTCTATTGCTTGAAATGGAACATTTGGATAATGGGTACTTCAGGTGATGCACTCACCATTTATTAAATAAAAATTTTTTGTACAAAAAGTCACCAATAGGTGGCATTGAAGTTATGCAACTGTGTCTGAACCTGTACCATTATTGGAGAATAGTATCTTAACATGCTAATGACTTTTTGATCCCAGAGATTCAACAAAGCCTTCAAGATACAATATTTATGAAAGATGGTGCACCATTTCTTGCTCTTTTCAGCATGTGTTATGGCAGACTTTCACAGATGAACAGGTGATCAGTTGTTACTTTCCAACAGCTTGGCCTCCTTGTTTACCTGATTTTACCCCATATGACTTCTGATTATGGGATTTTTGAAAGATCAGGTGTATCATGAAAGATGTACATTTGTGTCAGATCTAAAGGATAGAGTTTATTGGCATGTTCCTATGATTAAAGCAGACTCATTGCATCCAGAAGTGGAAAACATGTTTTTGTGAATGGAGTACATATTGAACATTTGTAACAGTGATTTGCATAGCTCCAGCACCTCCTATCAGTGACATCTTGTACAAAAAATTTTTATTTAATAAATTGCGAATGTATCATCTGAAGTACCTGTTGTCCAAATGTTTCATTTTGAGTAGTAAAACTCTTCAGAGCCCTCTGAGTTGGGAAAGTTTAATTTCAGCACCCCTGTATTATCCAGTTAATTTTGTCAATGCTGTATTTAAGATACCAGCAGATGAGCTCAGTATTGCTCAGGCAAAAAAACAACAACAAAGATTAAGATTATTAGATTATTTCATACTTCTAATCCTTCTATTCTAGTAGTCCGTGACACCCCCTAGTGAGCGTTCTATCAGCAGCAGTGTCATTCCATGGTTAAATAATAAATTCCTGTTACAAATAAAAATAATAATATACTGAATTTCTCATGGTGTACCCTATTAAAACGCAGCCAAAAATGCAAAAAACTGCATCAAGTAATAATATACTGAATTTATCGTTAATTTAAATAATAGTTAGGGGCACTTAATGGCCATTTTTGGTATACAGTGACAGAAAGAAAGAAAGAATCCAGTTTTTCAGCTTTATATAGTTAGATAATTTAATAATAATTTTTGAGTTTTGATTTGCTTGCATTCAAGAAAATCAATTACTTCTGGTGTTATGTTTGGCTTGAAATTTATTAAAGTACACTGCAAAAAGCAATATATTGCAGTCAGGTTTATTAAATGGTTGAAGAATAATGGGTTATTAAGAAATTAACTATTTTTGCTTACCATTAACACTTTGTAAAAATATTTCCAATTTTACCAAACAACAATAATCAAAACTTTAAAAAAAAATATATGATTAACAAATTGTTCTAACAAGTAAGAAAAATTTAAACATAATTTCCATAGAAAGATACATTCCATTAATAAAAAGTGGTTTGCATAGAACTGGCAATATATAGATGTAGGATATTATATTATTAGGTATTTCTGATAAACTTGCTATTTTTATAAGTATATGTGTACCATTTCTAATTATTTATAGATATTATTTTAGTTAATATTTTTCTTTGTTTATCTATTTATTTAAATAATTTGATATTTGAATGTATAAATGTTAGGCAGTACTGTTTTAAATTGATCAAATATTAGGAAAGGTTTTTTTTAATTACTTATACTGACAAATGAGTACTATGTTATATATTTTCTTATTTCGTAAATAATAAATTTTATGAGCGCTTTATTGGTATTTACTAACATGTTTCCAAAACATTTTTTAAAATTTATGATTGAAAGCAAGATTTTATGTTTGTTTGTTTATTAATAAATATTGAAAAGTTAACTTAATAAGTAAATATTTGGTATTAAAATTAAATTGAAATAAAAATGAAGTTCAGTTATACAAATACAGTTATACAAATATTTTTTATCCTTATTAAAACTGTCTTTAATTTTAGAATGATGATAAAATAAAATAAAAGCACATTTAAAAATTACATAAGTTTATAACATAAAGTAAAATGCTTTTATTTTATTTTATAGATTGTATGTTCTGTGTTGTGTATTTTTGTTTTTATACATGATTAGCAAGTATTTGTGTGTGTGTTTGATAATGAAAAATTAATTGATTGCACTTACAAATAATAACTTTACTATTAAATGTAATTTATGTTTTTGTCAGGAACAAAGAGTTTTATTGCATTTAATTTTTATAAATTGAATAATCTAATGAACTTACTTTAGGGCTCACCTCTATCAATTAGCAAGTGAAACATGGCCAAAAGCAATAGAGATTCATAGACAGAAGTTGGCACCAATGGCTGCTGCTGCTGCCTGGGGATTAGGTAAAAATATTTTTTAATGATTTACAAATAATCTTAATTAATAAAAATGTATTATTTGATGTGAAGAATGTATGTTACATAAAAATTTCTGACATTTATGCTTATGATAAGAAAAGTCTTATTACACAAAAACAATTGATATTCAAACAAAAACATCTGAGATGTAAAAAAATCTCTAAATAAAAACTTATGACAATTTAGATGACAGTCAAAAGTTTTTTTAGAAGTTTTCTTTTGGTAAAGATAAGCTTGGCACTCCAAAGTGATACCCACAAAATTTTTACCTGTATTATTCTTTTCTGCATTTCACTTCCAAGTGCCAAGCTTATCTCTACCACAGGAAATCTTTACCAAAAGAAAAAATTTTGACTGTTGTCTAAATTGTTTTAAGTTTTTACTTGGCAAAAGTTTTTACATCTCAGATGTTTTTGTTTGTCTTAGTATTTACATTAATTATGATATTTAAATAAGGTAAAAAAAATTTTTTTTTACCTTATTTAAAAAAAATTTTTAAATAAGGTTTTAAATAAATTTTTAAATAATTTTGTTTCTGTAAAAAAAAATTTTTTTTTTTTACAGAAACAAAGAATTTTTTAGAAAAGAGACATTCAATATATTTATTGGAGAAGCAATTTCTATAAAATGACATATATTCCATTAAAAAGTGGCATTGGTAATTCATAACCTGCCCATATACTTGAATTTGAATTAAAAAATTATATTTTTTGTTTTGGATTATTTTGTTGTTGTCAAGCAAAGGTTAACTTGGCACTAAATTAAGAGATCTTGAATTTTAATGGTTGCATTTAATATAAAAATTTTTTATTTTTAACTGCTTGTCATAATAGAATATAAGAACAATATTTTTCTAAGTAGTTGGATTCAAGTCTTTTCCAATTATAATATTGAATAAGAAACTTGTTTTTTGAATTATGAGAATATGAACATAGAGATATATTTCTTTTATATTGAGATTTATGAAATAGTACATTTACTTTGTTAAAAATATTCACTAAACCAAAAAATCTGACAGTAAAACTTTAAGAAATACTTAATAAATGTAATTCAGATCTCTTCTGAATTACATTTTAATTAACCTGAAGATGACTACTTATTGAAAACATTCGTTTTTATTAAGTATCAGTCTGGAGGCTTGGTAGTTGGCAACACATCTACATGGTAAGCAGGAGTTGGAGGTTTGAGTTCTGCTCTAGGCCAATTCTTTTCTTCCAGAATATTCTAAATTATTTAATTTTTTAATTATAATTATTAAATTTAATAAGAGATGGTGCTTAATGCCTTCCTCTAGTTACAAATTTATTAAGTATTTCTTAAATTAATATTTTACTGCTGGATTTTCTAGTTTGGTAAGTGTTTTTAATATTATATTATCCAGTTCTCAGTTGTTATAATCAGTACATTTACTTTTTAAAAATATAATAAAAAGTTATAATGCCTTGTTTTTGGTAAGTGTTTTTAATATTATATTATCCAGTTCTCAGTTGTTATAATCAGTACATTTACTTTTTAAAAATATAATAAAAAGTTATAATGCCTTGTTTTTTTATTTTCATTTTTATTTTTTTTTGTATATAGGGCTAGCTCAGATGTCTGTTTTTCAGGCTTAAGACCAAAGCTCCATGCTGAGAGGGGTCCTAACTTTCTATTTTCTAAGAAAATTTAATAAAATGTTTTTTTTGCAAATATTTTGGTAGGACTAATAACTTTTCCTGAAGATACTCAAAACCTCCAGCTGGTCCCATTAGTAGGTGTTTATTGAGCAAAACATTAAATCATTGTTTCTTGGCTGCAATTTGAAAAATTTATAGACCTATAAATTTCCACTGTCATTCATTGTCTGTCCTTCCTTAATCTCAAGAATGGTGTAAGATAGATGAAAGTTGAGGCCAGATATGGAAAGCTTATGGGGCAGGAGGCATCAATTAACTATATACAAACTTCTAGTTGAGACTGGAAGTCACGTAAATTCAATTAAAAAAATTCCCCTGAATGGAGTTACATAGATATCCAGCATGACTGTATTGTTATCAGGAAAAGTATGATGTATAGGGACAAGACACTACTAATTTGAGATGGAGAACAAAACATTTTAAATTAAATAAATTAAAATTACAGTATGATTAAAAATTGAAGCCTGGCATTATGATGATATCACAATAAATAATTGCTCATTTTCTTATTAGGTCATTGGGATAGCATGGAAGAATATACTCAAGTTATTCCTAGAGATAGTACAGATGGAGCATTTTATCAGGGTGTTCTTGCAGTGCATAGATCACAATTTCATTTAGCTCAACAGGTATTTATTTAATCATATATTTTGAAATATAATTAGTGAAAATTGTTTTATATATTATTTAATACATTCTAAATATAAAAATATAATTTACTTTCAGAAAAAGATTAATCTTTTGTGTTTATTTTTAAGAATAGATTTTTTATAAAAACATTTTTTGATCAGTTAAATCATTTTAACAAATAGCATAATTGATCAAATAAATTATGTTTTGGTATAAAATATAATTTTCATTTATGGAATGCTTATCTTAATTCTACAATATGCATTGTCAGTGGCGGAACTAATGACATGAAGTGATTAAACTGGACCTGGGTCTAAACGTATCAAGCAAACAGCCTGCAACCTGTTGAAAAATCACCTGACCATGATCAAAACAGTTGTTTTGATTAGATGATTTTTTTCAATGGCTAAAGGCCCAAAGTGAAATTGTTTTGCCTCTGTGCATTGTCATTTTGTAAACCTGTAGTTTTGTAATAGTAGTAGATCAATTACACAAAACTTCAACTAAACATTACTGATGTCTTATTCATTGTTTACTCTTGTATAATTTCTATTAATTAAATTTATCTAAATAAAAAAAATATTCTTTGGGAGAGTTTAGATTTTATTATTATTTATTTTATTGTTATAAAATAAATTATTTTGAATAAATAACTGTTTAATGAAATTATTTGATTATAGTTTATAGATAAAGCAAGAGATTTATTAGATACAGAACTTACAGCAATGGCTGGTGAAAGTTACAGTAGAGCATATGGTGTAAGTTATTTTAATGTTGCTTTAATTAAATCTGAAATATATAAATTTTATCTGTTTAAAGTTCTGATAAATATCTGTTAAAAATCTTAACAAGTTTGCGTCTATTTTAAAAATTTATGTTTTTTTTATGTATTCCTATTATACTCTGTGCTGTATAGCTCAGTTTAGCTTTTATCCAAATCAGTTACAGATACAATAATTAAAATGTTTAGCTTAGTTTAACATCAATATTCATTAAGAGAAATCATTTATGCAGATAATTTACACCACAGTTCATCGTTATTATACGTACATCAATTATAATTTTTTTGCTAACTAGGCATAGACTTAAAACTATCATTAAAGTAATAAAGAATGAAGAATTACTAATTTTTTAAAATAAGTGCTAGATTAACAGTGTTGTACCAATAAATTTCTACAGCATAAAAATTTTAGTTGACTGTTTAACATTGAAGAACAAGCATAATTAAAAGATATTTGGAGAGGATAATGTTTACTAAAAAAAAAAAAAAAGGAAAGGTGTTTAGGATATAAACCAGTAACTTAAAATAAAGACTATAATAGAACCTTGTTGGTTAGAAAAGCTTGAATGGGATTTTAGAGAAAAGTTGCAGTTTTAAGATCTGAAAAGAGAACCAGATATATAAGAGACATAAAATGGATTTTCTAAAAGCAAATAGGCAATAGTTTATAGAGAGGTTGGCCTGTTCTTGAACAACATAAATATGTACCAGAGTTTAGAATAAATAAAACTGATTCTTTCTAAATTTTACACATATTAAGTCATTATATGTGCAGAGCTGGATGAGACATGTAAATCTTTCTTCATTAAAGAGAAGCAAGTTACTAAGTGGATGATGGCAAGAAGCATAATAAAGATGACAAAAACAAATATCCTGGTATTTTTGAAATTGTGTCGGTAATTTATTTCAATTCAAACACAAATTATTTATCGTATTCAACTGAATAAAATTTAATTCTGTGATTTGCCAAGTGTCTGTATGAATACGATAAATAATTTGTGTTTGAATTAAAATCAACTAAATAAAATTTAATTCTGTGATTTGCCAAGTGTCTGTATGAATACGATAAATAATTTGTGTTTGAATTGAAAAAAACAAATATGTCTTTTAAATTTGATCAATTTGTTGACTATGTATAACTTGATTAAAAATTAGACATTGGAGGAATGACAATCAGTTAATTTTCACATTACCATATGCAGGAAAATTCCTACAATCACCAAGAAAGATAAATATATCAAAGGACTACAAGTACATTTAGTGGACATAGGACTCTAGACCCCAGCATAAACCAATAGAAGGAATATGAACCTCTCAATGACTTAGGCATTTTGGATACCAACTAAACAACTACCACCTAAATTATTTGGTTTCCAAAAGCCACAAGGAGAATTGGGCTATTACATCAATTGTTGAAAAATGCTTTCCCTCAATTACAGAAATGGAAAAAATTCTGTCCAGCTTTATCAAGAAAAATAGGATGTTTCCTGTCTATGTTATTAACAGTTTTTATGAGATGATTAAGAGTCTGAGAACAATCTCAGTTTCTCAAGTTTGTTAGATTATTATTTTAGACTATAAAACATTTTTCTGTCTTTGAGATTGTATAGTTGATTATTGAGCTTTCTTTAAGAAATCTTATAGAATTAATGGGACAAAGTCATTTCTGATTTTACATGACTATACTTATTTTATTTCTTACATGAAGATCATATACTGTACTTCCTCTAAGTACAAGATAACATAGTGGCAATGTGTTGGTATGCAAACATTATGATCCTGAAGAACATCTAAATAGGAATATTTTTTAAAATTTTGTTTTGAAGGTTAACCATAATAAGGTTGGATTGACATTGGAAACAAGTTGACAGTTACAGCATTCATTATTTAGAGATTTTCATAATGATAAAGTTTGTTGACAGCATTTATTTATAGAAAGCCAATGATGATCCAGTCCCATTTTCATTTAAAATGTTAAGATTTTTTGATAGCAGCATTTACAGCACTTGATACTAAAGCCATTATATACTCTTTCCATAGTGAAAATTATGCTAAAGAAGTTGATTATGTCAGAAAGATTACTTTATTTGTTGGTTGTGCATCCAAATTATTACAAAACACCATAAAATGTATTTGGCATCAGATATATGGCAAGAAAAAGTTGAATAAAGAATCTTTTAGACCATTAGATGCAAAATATCAGTAAGTAATTAGGATGTTAGCCACTATGTTGTTAAAGCTGTACTTTAAAAAGGTTTAAAACTGTTACAGTAAGACCCTCTATAATATTTGATTTGTAAGAAATGAAAAAGCAGCTCTAAAGAAAGACTAAAGAACTTAAACCTACAAAATACCAATAGATATAGATAGGACTGGAGAGTCTGTGTCAGTGTTTGATTTGGTGTTGGAAGTTTAACAAGATGTCAGTGTCAACCAAAAATACTCATTAATTTGCCCTATATTTCATAATTATTTCATATTTCATAATTAGAAGCAGTTAAATAGTTTTCAAGTGTAGGAAGTTTAAAAGAATTGTATGAATATGAAGTTAATCTAGCAGCCCAATGCTAAGAAACTCTGAAATTGAAATTATCAATGAATTTCATTTGTTCGTAATTTAAATTCTAAATTTTAAGTATGAATGCATTATCAACAGCTAAACCATTTCTAAAAGATTTCATTGGATTCCTGCCCATTTGCACTCTACATTTTTCTTTGTTTCAACTGTTACAAAGTTTTAAAAATATTTTTTTTTTTTAGTTTGGAAAACATCGGAATTTTTGTATTCAAATTTTTTGGTTGTTTTTAAGGGATTTTACAAGAATATAATTTACAGATTGTCCAAAATATAGCAAAATATTATAGAACAAGAAAGATTATTTCATTGATTAGAGAATTTTAATATAAATTACAAAGTTAATAATAAAATCTTTACACTGACTTTTTTTAATTTTTAAATAAAAACTCAGGCTTTTATTTATGAGATGAAAATTAAATTATTTTATTTAGCATTTCTTAATTAATTATTTTATTAATTAGTTAAATTAATGTAATACCTTAACTAAACAGAATAATTTGATTAATTACATATAGTGTATGTGTGTATTAAAGTTTATTTAAATTTGTTTTCACTTTTCTTCTAGGCTATGGTTCATGTACAAATGTTAGCTGAACTTGAAGAAGTAATTCAATATAAATTAATTCCAGAAAGAAGAGAAGTGATTAAACAGAAATGGTGGGATAGGTTGCAGGTAAAATTAAATGATAAGCTTATTTTGATTAGTTTAATTGTAAATTCTTAAAATGATGATAATTCAGCTGAATCAAGGAAGATTCATAGAGGATTCATGAAAATTTTCATGTACAGAATATTTTGATAAATGCTTTTCTATCATAATTTTCATTTTTTATATTGTTTGGAATATTATTTAATCTTCTTATATAATACAATGATTTCTCATACTTCAAATTTAATTCATTCCATGAGACAATTTGAATAATAGTTTCAAGTCCAAATCAATTTTGTGAATTAATTTATTTCCATACTTTAAACAATATTCATTTCAATAAACTTAAACACTAAATACATGTAATTTAAGGTAAAAATAACACAGTTAAAAGTCTTAATAATAAATTAAAATATGAAAGCAATAAATAAAATACATACTGTATAATAAAATGAAAACTTTTTTATTGCTTTCACACCATTGACTTTGGCATTCTAAACATGACTTCTGATTTACCATACATATGCCACTTTCATGCTTCATGATAAATTCCTTTTTCATCTAATAGTCAATACCTTTCCCTTAGACTTCATTGCTTCCATATTCTTCTTGGTTGCCATGGTTAATAGATACAGGTTATATCTATAATTAAATACACCAAAAATAAAGTGAAAAAAAGTACAGAAAACACACAAGAGTAACACAAGAGATACTTTCAGTGATAGTGAGAGATAACTTGGGCACCCAATAGATGGTATTTACACAGTGACTGCATTCTTTCACTATGCACGAAGTTTGAATCGAGAACCATTGTTCAAACTCTGGAACATTTGAAGTTACTGTAGAATTGTTCAAAGTATGTGGTGGTACTATATTTTCTTCATAAATGAGAATAATTTGGATAATATATTAATAAGTGTTTCTTTTCACAAACTTCTCATTGAGATTGCTCTATTTCAATCAATGAATAAAATGGCATACAAATGTTTCTGTCAAATTACATTAAATTCTTCATAGTGATGTATGAAAGAAACTATTTGTTTTTCAATAAATAACAAATTTTAGATAAAAATATTTATATCATTTTTTATAAAATTGATAAAAAAAATGTTCACAGCTCTTTTTGAATTTATTATTTTAAAAATTAAATACACCTAAGTTTGTTTTTACATGATAGCTTTGTTTCCATATTACATGTAAAAAACCATGTAAAAAATACATTGTATATATGGAAAATTAGACGATTGTTATGGACCTAAGAAATTAATGAAAATAATGAAATAAACCATATGAAAAAATCTTGTTACAATCTTACTTTTTTGTGTGTTATCAAATTTTATTTCATATACATTGCATATAAATAAAAATGAATTATAGGAACATACATTTTATTTTAAAAACAAAAAAAGTAAAGAATTAATGAACATAAAAATTAGGCAGAATATGTAATGTGAGTTATACATAAGATTTTATTCACTGTCACTTTCTGACAATAAATGCATATGTTTGTGCATGATTGAAATATCACTGCTATCACTAAAAATGCTTTGGTTATCATGTTCTTCATCACAGGTGAAGTTCTTTCTGTTAACTCCTGAACAATTTAACACTTTAGCAGTAATGTCCTGTGGTGCTGATGTTACAGTGGTTTTATGAACAAATTCAGTTATTAATGGCTGGGTTCATATTGTGGCTAGGCCTTTATATAATTCTCTATATGACAACATTAACAATTTCAGATTATATTGAATCTTTAAATCTCATTCCTCATTAGGATCATACTTGACAAAATGATTACCCAACTTGTTAGCTAGTTCAAAACCTTCTTTAATTAAATTTGCATATAAAACTGAATCATTATCTTCATTATCACTCTGTTTTTTGAAATCAGGAGTATTAAGAACAACCTCTATGATTTCATCCTCACTTAGGGCTTTGTCAACCAACAATTCATGGATATGTGCAGATGACAGATCATCAAATCCTTCTCTGCCAATTAAGTGGATCATTGTTATGATGTTGGGAAATTCAGTGGTACTAGGGATGACAGGATCCTTGCTTTTGACACATTCTGGCCAAATAGCTTTCAAACATCCATTCAAAGTTGATGGTCTTAATTCAGCTAACACTAACCCAACTTGCTTCACAAAATCTATAATTAAAAATTTTTTCCACACATCAATGACAGTTAATGTTTTATCATTCATTTTGTCCAAAATGTACTGAAATGTTCATTTTACATAGTAAGTTTTAAATGTTGCAATAATTCCTTGGTCTAGTGGTTGAATCAAGGATGTGGTATTAGGCCACAGAAAACAAAATTGTACATTTGGGTGTTCCAAGATTGGATGGCAGGAGACTTTATCTGGAATCAATAGAACTTTAAATTCTAGACCTTTGGCATTCATATATTGCCTAACTTTTGGGATGAAACATTTGTTGAACCATTCAGTAAAGATTTCAGTGGTAACTCAGGCCTTTTTATTTACCATTCACTGAACTGGCAATTTAATCAAATCTACATCTTTTATTGAACATGGTCTTTGGGTTTGATTAACAAGTAAAGGTTTCAATATAGAATCTCTTGAAGTATTAGAGCAAAACCCCAAGGTGACACAATCTTTAGCTATTTTGAAACTTAGCAGTTTTCTGATTTTACTAAGTAGGTTCTATTTGGCATTCTTTTTCAAAAAAGACCACTTTCATCAACATTTCAAACTTGATCAGGAGTGTATATCTTTGATAATTTTAGCTAATTTTTTTGGAAATTTTTTGGCAGCTGTTTCACCTGCAGATGCAGTTTTCCCTTATATTTTAATGTTGTGAAGTGCATGTCTTTTGAGGAACCCTGCCATCCAGGCTGTACTTCAGAAAATCTATACACCTTGTTTGGCTCAGATGGAGTGCCTGGCTCCATTTCTTTAATTTATTTATAAATTCTTAGTGTTGTTTGCTTGATGGCATTTCCATCTACTAGTACTCTTTTTTGTAGATATATTACCAAGACTTTTTCCATTTTCTCCTTAACAATATCTCTTATGTAAGATGATGACTTAGCAGTTAATTTTGTTCCAGGAATATACCAACATCCTAATAGCAGCAGCTTCATTACCTTTAATAGTTCTTATGATAACTTTATGTAAACCAAAATGCTTTCCTACAGACATTGCCCCTTCTCTGGTCGCAAGATGAGCTAAAATTTGAATTTTAGCATCCAAAGAAATTACTTTCCTCCTCCTTTTTTTTTGTAGGTGGATTATTTGACATTATATGATGGCTACTGAAAAATATTTCAGATTTAATTAACAAACATAGATTTGAAAATATGCATGAAATGTATAACTTACCATCTATTAAATTTTAACAAAATTAATAAATTGAATCTTGTTTTAATTTTTATTAAATTTTTTGACATCAACTCCAACAAGGTACTGTACACTTTTTAAAAATCTAATATCAAAAACATCAAAATGCAAACAAAACATTAACACCAAAAAGGTACTGTACTTTCCCTTTCAAAACAAAACCAATTTTTGTGGACCTCAGACACTTCTGCACAACCTTCAGATTGTTCCATTTTTTATGTTCAAATTATTTAATTTTTTATAAAAAAAAATACATTTTGCAAAAAATTATAAAATTATATTAATTCATATAAAATCTTCTGTATATTTCATTAAAACAACGTATGTAAAAAAAATTATTTTTTAAAAATTGTGTTAAATCAAAATTATTTAAAAAAGTTTGTATGAAAACGGAATTAGGTGTAAATCAATTAACATGATATAAATTTCCATCTCTTTTTTAAATTTAATAATAAAGACAATTTGTATAGATTACATAATATTTTTTACACTATTGTCATATTTGTTTTTTTACTACTAAAANGGAAAGTATGGCAATCAGTCAAAAAATGACAACTGAAGATTTTTATAATTTTGGACTTAGGACACCTTGAAACGTTAAGAAATGCAAAAAAATTCAAGGATTATTTCTGTGTGTCTAGATGTTAATATTTTTATTTTATTTATCTATTAATATTTAATTTGTATTTAAGGGTTGCCAAAGAGTTGTAGAAGATTGGCAAAAGATATTACAAGTTCATTCATTAGTACTGAATCCACAAGATGATATGAGAACATGGTTAAAATATGCAAGTTTATGTCAAAGAGCTGGTCGTTTAGTAAGTTTATTTTAATCTGTCATTTCTACACTAATAAATAAATAATTTTTGCTAACAACTATAGCATACAGACTAAATTTTTTAAATTGTGTGAAAAACAAAAGATTTTTTCAAGAAACTAATACATTTAGTTCAATAAATTTAGCCATTCTCAAACTTTATATTCAAATAACTAATAGTACAGCTTTTAAATTCAAAGGATTGAAATTTCTGGATTTCAACAGTAGCCTGAACAGAAGAGTCTTTTTTTTTTTATTTTTTTATATTTGTGGTTTTAGGCCCCTTACTGCTCAGAGAGCACAAAGAGGCCAAAAACAGAAGAGTCTGTGGGACTTAAGGTTATTTTGTCATTTTAGAAACTTTTATTTGTCATTATATGAACTTTAATTTTACTTCTACAGTTTATTAAACAAATTCAATATTTTACCACCTTTTCCAGCTCCTCATTTTGAAGATAAGGTAATAGAAAAGACAGCAAAATATTGAGATTTTTATAATAAATAACACTCAGAATATTAATTTTGAATGGGTTTGTTTTGTATATTCTAGACTGTTATATATTAAGATTGTACGCTGAGTATGATCAGATCTTAAACAAATACATTTTTTTTAATTAATAAATTGCAGAATTTTAATTGTTTTCCTTAAGTCCTTAAGTTAATAGTTATTTATTCATTTATTTACCTTGTGGAATACTTACATTAAGCATGGTTTCTTATGATGACAGTAATCTCAGGTTTATTGTTTTCTAGCTATTGATTTGTTTGGATTCTAAAGTTTTTTGCTTGATTATTTTCAATGATTTTTATATGTGAATTCTTTTAGTTTCAGTAGTTTCTAGTTGCCTCAGAATCTATATTTTTCATAGACACCAGTGTAGTAATCTGCTTACATAATTATGTGTATTTTTGTAATGTTCAGTGTGCTTTATCTAATTATTTTATGGTCAACAATTTCATTCTTTGTATAATACTTATTATCATTACTAGTCTTTTTTCTGTTTTTATTCTGAAGGCATTTGTGCATTGTACCTAATCCTAGAGAGCAATTGTTTTTTCTGCTTTTTCTTAATATATCATATTTAAGATATTGTCATATTACGTTGCTGTCTGTTTTGTTTTGTTTTTTTTAATTGTGTAATAATATGATTCTTAATTTAGCTAATTTAATTTCCATCTGTTACTTTTTCTATATCTGTACAAAGTCCATTTCTACAAATAATTCATTTTTTTTTTTAATATCTGTCATTAATTTAGCAGCACAGATTTTGATATAATCATTCAGATCTCATTTTCCTTCTTTTTCAGTTTCTTTATTTTCAGTAGTACAAATTCATCAATTTTTTTGGCAGATAGAATCTACTGATGACTTTGACTAATGTCATTTACATTTATATTAGACATAAATGGCATTAATCACAATCATCATTTTTACTTTCCTGGCTGTTATATATAACAGAGGGAAAGTATGGCAATCAGTCAAAAAATGACAACTGAAGATTTTTATAATTTTGGACTTAGGACACCTTGAAACGTTAAGAAATGCAAAAAAATTCAAGGCTAATTTCTGTGGGGGGCATGATTTTGTTTACCCTGTTTGAAACTTAATAACTTCTGTGCTTTTTTTTGAAAATTTCTGAAATTTTGCAGGGAGATTTGTTTATTAAGGGATTGATGCTATTAAATTTTGGTGGTTAAAGATTAAGAGGGTGGGGAGATGATGAGAATCATGTGTATCTCCAGTAGGGTTGGATATAATGATGATTTTACTCGTTATTAACATTTACAATTTTTTGTAAAACCCATCCCTACTCTCAAAATTAAGATTTTGCCATTTTATAATAATTAAAAATATAAAAATTTTAAAAATAAAATATCATAACAGATGGCACTACCAAAATTTTAAATGTTGCCGAGAAAGTTGAGCAGTTTGTTGCTGGTTTATTCTTGTTTGTCTGTCAGTACTATCAAAGTCCAACTGACTTCATTCAATTATTTCTTCAGTATATTGAATTACCAGAACTAATTGAATTAGGTCCTGATCATATTGCTGTTATTTAAATTTAATTTTAAGATTCTTCTTAATCATTTTTAATAAATATTATTTTAAGAATTAATGTAGTATTAATTAACTACTATTTCAGGCATTATCTCATAGAACATTGGTGATGTTACTTGGAATGGACCCTACAATGCAGTCAGACATGCCTATTCCTACTGCTAGGCCTCATGTTACATTTGCATATATAAAACACATGTGGAAAAGTAATCAAAAAGTATGTTTCTTTTTAAATATTTTGCTTGTTAAAAAATGTTTAAATAAAGTTTTAACAGTATGCATGCTTTTGTAATTTCAATACATTTTATTTTTATTAATGTAAAATACATCTTGGTGATTTTTCATAATCATGAATTATTTTTATTATTTTAATATGTTGAAAAAATATTAAAAGAGAGAATGATAATTTGTTTATTTTTAATTAAATGTATGTATACACTATGATATTATGAATGTAGTCTATATGTACAAAATATACTAAGGGAAAATCTATTTCCAGTTTGTTAAGGTATTTATGTATGAATTACATTAGTTTTTTTTTACATCATTTTAAAGCTTATTTAATGTAGATTACCCCTATTACAACTTTTTTCTGTTTAATGTCAAATAAAATAATTAGAAGCAAAAAATATGCCCAATTTTGCTATTTCCATAGTGGTGCTCCTCACTGCCATTCTTGCTATTAAACTTACCCCTATCCAACATAAAAATGCTTCTGAAAATAACTTTTCAAGTTGACATTTTTTTTATTCCTATCCAATTATTTTTTAAATTTTATGTTATTAATAGAAAGGTTATTGTAAATTAAATTTTGGTCAGGACGACTGATGTCATTTGTTTTGAAGAAAGTGAAGAATTCTTACAGGTGGACAAGAAAGAAACAAAAACTTGTGTTTGACTAAATGTTGTCAACTTACAAAATCACTTACTCAACATTGGAGTGTAGTAAATTAACAATATCTTCAAATCTGTTACTGGTGTGTTCTCCCACGACAACTCACAACTTATTTGCATGAAAAAATTAATATCTAACTGTAAAGATATTTACACAAAAAATATTATAAAATTTCTCAGTATACAAGTCTTAAATTAATATTTATATGTAAATAAATTTCTTTCTTTCATTATTTTTTCTATTTAAAAAATAATGAAAGAAAGAAATAATTGTTGTTGTTACTTTCATTATTTTAATTGTTATTAACATTTTAATTTCATTATTTTAATTGTTTTTTTAATATTTTAATTTAAATGTTAAAAAAATAATTGTTATTACTTTCATTATTTTTTAAATAGAAAAAATAATGAAAGTAATAACAATTATTTTTATAGCAAATATATTTTTGCTAGGATGTATATGATAAAAAATTATTAATAGTAACTAGTATGTATATTTTACATACATAATAAATTGTATACATATACTGTATATAGGCCTGTATATATGTATATACAGGGGTTGCACCGCATAGCATCAAGATGGCCACTTGACAATATTTTTATTAAAGTGGCAAAAAAAAATATAATACTGATGAATAAAAATCCTAGTTCACTTATTTCAACATTTAGTGTGAAATTGAATCACAAAAACATGCTTCAGGAAAACAGCAGCATGTCAAGCTTCTGTGCAATGCGAATCCCATGCACATGCACCACACACCTATCAATTTCATGATGTCACACAGCAAGTTCAGACAGAAAAGTAGGAAGTGACATTGAGATCCAAAGCCAGTTTTGTGTAATGCCACCCAGCATTTCTAGATTGGGAATTTTTATTGACTGACAGAAAATTTAGGGAATATTTTGTGGTGACATTTTTTTCACTTTGATCTTTTTTCAGTAGACTAAAACAAAAATTTTGATATGATAGAACATGTGAAATACTGTTTATACATCATGATCAAATGTGTTATTCAGAATTATTCGTTAAAAAATTATTCAAAAATGATTCCTATTTCTAAGTGACAGCTTTACATGTTACTTTTGCTTTCCAGATTCCAAACTAGTAAGACTACCAGNAAGTTTGTATATTCAGATTTGTAAATATGGCAGTAAAAATAAGATAATGAAAAATAAAGTTAATAATCAAACTGTATTTAAAAAACAAAGAAATAGTGAAATACTGTTTATACATCATGATCAAATGTGTTATTCAGAATTATTCGTTAAAAAATTATTCAAAAATGATTCCTATTTCTAAGTGACAGCTTTACATGTTACTTTTGCTTTCCAGATTCCAAACTAGTAAGACTACCAGCATCTGCATTAATTAGTAAGTTGAGGTGGCAAAAAACTGGCAAAATAATTGGTGATTTTTTTTAAAAATTTATAGTGTGACCTCTACTATATATATATGTACAGTACATATACACACATACATATATACATATACAAAACACTGCTTGTGTGTATATGTAAAAATTTATCTAATCAGTGTGTAATAAAATTATTTATTTCCTTGTAGGAAAGTGCTTTTCGGCAACTTCAGTATTTTGTTCAAACAGCACTTCATCCACAAAATTTGCATTTAATTTCTTCAGAAGATCAACAAAGAACGGAACTATACAAACTATTAGCAAAGTAATTCATTAATATATATTTTTAATTTAGTATATTTATATTAATTGAAATGCATAAAATTTGGGTCTTAAATTATTAATAATATTTTAAACCATTACTAATATAGTAAAACCCCTACTTTGTGACCAGTAATGGTTCTGAACAACAGTGGTCTTTGTGAAGGGCAGTCACTTTGGTGGGTGATCTTTTAGAGGGGTTTTACTGTATTTTAAAATTACTAAACATAAATTTTTACTAAAATAAAATAAATAGCATGAAGCAAAATTTTGATTAAGATTATTATTGTTGATTATATTGTAAAAAAAGTAAGTTAACATTAAAACTAAATATTATATATGAAAGATATTTCTAATAATTATCCTTTATTCATTTATAAAATCTTTGTCATAAACTAAATTAGTTATAAGTATTTTTGGTTCATTTTAAATTATTGTAAGTCATTTATAATAAATGTAGCATGATTAAATTTAGTTAAGATTTTTATTTAAATTTATATTCTTTTGAAGCTAAGAGTTTTATCACCATAAATGTTCATATCTGTTTATCATGCTTTTTTTTTAGAAAAAAACTATTTTAAATAGACTGATAGATTTTTTGAATGATAAATGCTATATCTTCAGAAACATTTAATCAAAATAATAAGTGCATCTAATTCAATTATATTTGTGCTTATAAAAACAAAATTAGTTGATTATATTGTAAAAAATTTTTCATTATGAAAAATTTAGTTTAAAATTTAAAAATTGTTATTAAATGTATTATGTGCTTTTTTAATTAAAATTTGTAATTTTGAAAAATGTTTTAATTATAACTAATTTTAAAACAGATGCTATTTGAAGTTAGGAGAATGGCAAGAAAGCTTACAAGGCATAAATGAAACATCAATTCCTATGATACTACAATATTATGCTGCTGCTTCAGAAAGAGATAAAAACTGGTATAAGGTAATATTCTTATATTATTTATCTATTGATTCTTTATTTCTATAAAAATAATTTTCCTTTGTTAAAAAAAAATGAAGATTTTTGTATGATAATATTTGTTTTTTACAGTGGTGTTAGTTTCTGTTGAAAGTTATCTGAATTTATCTGATTTTACTGTATAATTAATTCTAAAATAATATATAAAAAAAACTAGAACAGCAAAAGCATTATTTATTTTTTTTTTTATAGCATTCTTATCATTTAGAAGAGATTTGAATATTTTATTTAATCCAATGATGTCATTTAGCACAGACATTTAGGTCTCATGTCCAAAATGTTTCATTTTATATTCCTTAAAATTAATACTTATTTGTTAGTTTTAAAATCAATTAAACTCTGCTTTATTGGAGAACTCATTTACAATAGAGTAATAATCAAGTATTTTTAACCCTTTTGGCTCATCTTTAGGGTGGTAACTGCTTAATACTTTGTACATATGCACAATGAAAATCAGTTTGTAACTTTAATACACTAAACATTCAAATTTCAAAGAATATTAAAAAGAGTAGATACTTTTAAATTTTGTTTGGTATGTATTATTTTGTTCATTTAAAATAATTTTGATAAGATTTTTAACCCAATATTGATATTTAATCCAAATTATAAGATAATATTTTAAAAAATAGTTTTTTTTTTTTAATTTTTACTTTTTTTCTGTTGGTCTTTGTTTTACTTTTATAAATTTATAATTTCCTTCAGAATAAAGTATTCTTGAATTTTTAGGCACGTGTCTTTGAATAAATTATAGAATTCTATGAAAGTTGTTTATTATCTTGTCTTTAGACATATTTTAATCTTTGTGAGAAACTTTAAATATGTGTAATGTTTTTATGTATAATCTAAAATAATAAAAAAACATTAAAGTTTATTTTTTAAGCATTCAAATGTTAATATGTTAATCACTTATTTAACCAAAATAAAATATATTATTTGACTAATTTACAATTGGTATAAATTAAAATTATTTTTCAGGCTTGTCATGCATGGGCTTATATGAATTATGAGGCTGTTTTATTTTATAAACATCAAAAACCAAAGAAACAAGATGAATTAACAAATTCTAATAATTCAAATATATCTTCTGATGTCTCATCAGTAGCTACACAAGAGTCAGAAACAGTAGATGCTTCAAAACTTGGTTTGGTATGTACTATTTTATTGATATTTTAAATAATTTTGGTTTGGATAACTGTCACAGGAATATTTTTCTTGCTTTTTTCTTTTTGATTATTAACGTTTTCCTTTGAAATTTTGTTTTTGTTTCCTTGTGCACTCTGTTTAATATATTGTTTATCATATTTTGAGACTGTATTTTTCTTCTTATTCTAGTGATTATGTTTTAGTATAGTTTAATTCTCTACAATGAATATTTCAAGATGATTATCTTAAAATGAAAATATGAATTACTTATGTTTATATCGGCTTGATATGTATTTTTGTATTTTTTTTTTTTTTTTT